AGACTCTGGCGAGTCACCTGCCTCCCCACCTCTTGCACCAGGTACAAGTCTTTCTCCCCCCCCTGCAGACCCGCAGCCTCAGCAGCAGCAGCAGCTGATGCACCCGGGGTTCCAGGGCCTTCCGCCTATGCAGCAGCAGTACCTGGGGCCACAGCATCACCCGGGATTCCTGGGTCCCCCCCTCCTCCCTTATCCTCCCCAGCCACAGCAGCCCCTTCTTCAGCAGCATCCATACCCTGGCTACCCCTCTGCCCCCCCAAGTGTCTCTGACACCCAAGGCAGTTTCCTTGGTCATGTTACCGTTGCACCCTCTGTCGCTTCCATGTATCCCTCTGCTATTAATGAGACGCTTTTCCAGTACCCCGTGTCACCTCCCCCTCCTTCCTCCCCCACCTTGGACTTTGTCCTTGATAGTGGGGCCACAGAAACCGCACTGAAGGATGCTGGCACCCTCACTCCCCTTCCTCTTCCCACTCAGGTACACGGTGCCGACACCAGCTTTTCCATCCCATGCACTCACCTCTCCACTCTACCTTGCACCGCTTTCCCATCTGGTACTGTCACAGGTCTCCACATCCCCACCCTTCGCAACAACCTCCTCTCCCACCGTGAGATACAAGGCGCTGGTATTACCGCTATTTACCCTGGTAATGCCTCTTACTGTGATCTCTACAACACTGCTTCTGGCCGCTTCCTCCTACGCATTCCCCTTTGTCCTCGCTCTCGCCTTTACACGCTCCGCACACCTCGTCCCTCCTTTTGTCAGGTCACCACTCGTGCTGGCACTTCCACCGGCCCCCCTCCCCCTCCCCCTACCCCTCCCCCCCAGGTATCCTCCTCCCCTACGTCATCCCCCTCATCCTCCTCCCCCTCTCCTTCCCCCACTCCACCCCCCTCCTCCTCTAGTCACCTCTCCCACCCTGCTGTGCTCTTGCATCACAGATTAGGCCACCCAAACTTCGCTGCACTTCGCACTGCCATCACATCCCGCCTCCTCGACAGCCTCCCCCCCACTCTTCCTCCCCTCCCTTCCTCCCCCGCACCCCCATGCCCATCCTGCATTCATGGCAAACTCAAACAGTCTCCCCATCACAGCCATCCCACTTTCGCAGCTGCTCCCCTTGACCTTGTTCACATGGACCTGTGGGGCCCCTATCCCATCCGCTCTCGCCAGGGGCACCGATACATGCTCGTTCTCGTCGACGACCACAGTCGGTACTCTACTGTCTTCTTCCTTCACACGAAGGATCAAGTGCCGGCTGTGGTCATTGCCTGGGCTGAACAGTGCCGCACACACTTTAAACGCCCCATCAGCCGCCTTCACTCTGATGGTGGGGGTGAGTTCCTCAATCATACCCTCGCCACATACTGCAAAACCCGCGGCATTCAGCAGACCCACACCCTCCCCCATTCCCCTCAGCAGAACGGCATCGCTGAGAGTCGCATTCGTGAGATCACCAAGATTGCTCGTTGCCTTCTTGCTCACGCCTCCACCCCTCCTTCCCTCTAGAGCTATGCCCTCCTCCATGCTGCCCTCCTCCTTAATCTCCGCTCCCACCCTCAGCATTCCTCCTCCTCCCCCACAGAACTTTGGTCTAAGGCCAAGCCTGACGCTGCTGGCCTTCGCGTTTGGGGCTGCAAGGCGTTCGTCCTCATCCCTCCGGCCGATCGCTCCCGCGCTGCTGGCAAGCTCGCCCCTCGCGCTCTGGAGTGCGTCTACCTTGGGCACAATCGCGATTCCCCAGGCTACCTATTCCTCCACCCTCCCACCAATCGCCTCATCCGCAGCATCGACGTCGTCTTCGACGAGTCCACTCCCTACTACTCCACTCCTCCTCCTGACCCTCTCCCTCCTCCCACTCGCCCCCTCGCTTGGACCGACACCGTCCTCCCGCCTCTTCTCCCTCCAGCGCCTCTCCTCCCCCCTGTCGCCGCCCCGCTCCCGCCTTCCTCCTCTGCCGACATCTACGACCCTGCCGCACCCGCCTCCCCCGCTCACTCAGCTGCACCCCCTCCCCCCTCTCCCTCCTCCTCTCATTCTCCCCCTTTACAGCAGCCGGATCAGCAGCAGCATCAGCAAGGGCAGCAGCAGCAGCAGCAGCAGGGGCAGCACCAGCAGCAGCAGCAGCAGCAGCCGGGGCAGCAGCAGCAGCAGCAGCCGGGGCAGCAGCAGCAGCAGCAGCCGGGGCAGCAGCAGCAGCAGCATCAACCGGGACAGCAGCAGCAGCAGCAGCAGCAGCAGGGGCAGCAGCAGGGGCAGCAGCACCTGCAGCAGCAGCAGCGACGCGCAACTTCCCGCTCCTCCCCTTTCCTCCTTCCTCGCATGCACACCCGCTCCCTGGACAGACTCATTGGAGCCCCTCCTCCCGCCTCCATTCAGCTCCTCGAGGACTCCCATGAGGAGTTCCTCAACATTCGGCAACACACACCTTTCCTTGCCTCCCTCTACCTTGACTTCCTCGGCTTTCCCGTCCTTGGCGCCACCTCCACCCCAACCATCTTCACTCCCACCACCTTCCAAGAGGCCATCACCTGCCCTGACGCGGACAAATGGATAGCGGCGATCTTCTTGGAGTGTGAGGCATTTATTCGCAACGACTCCTTTGTCGATGTCCCCCTCCCAGCCGGCGCCAACCTCGTCGAGGGCAAATGGGTCTTTCGGGTGAAGCAGCTGCCGGGCGAGGAGCCGGTCTACAAGGCACGCTACTGCGCCAAGGGTTTTACGCAGACTTGGGGCAAGGATTTCTGGTTCACCTACGCCCCCACCGCCAAACCACCCACCTTTCGCGCAGCCCTTGACATTGGCGCACGTGACAACATGGAGATATGCTCCATGGACATCTCCAATGCGTTCCTGCAGGGCGACCTGCACGAGCGCATCTTCCTCAGACGACCCCCTGGGTTCCATGCTGCCTTTCCTGAGAACACCGTCTGGCAGCTGCGTCGCCCTGTCTATGGCTTGAAGCAGGCGCCAAGGGAGTGGCACGCGAAGCTGTCTGCCACTCTGGGGTCCCTCGGCTTCTCTGCATCCCACTCCGATGCCAGCCTCTTCATTCGCTCCTCCCCTCGCCGCTTCTTCATTCTGGTGTATGTGGACGACATGATTCTCCTTTCTGACTCCAAGGCTGACATGGAGCAGATGAAGATGTCACTGCAGCAGCGACTCAAATGCAAGGACCTGGGCGACCTCACGCACTACCTAGGCATGACCATCACGCGCGACCGCCCTGCTCGCACCATCACCCTCTCCTAGTCCCACTACATCGGCCAGGTCTTGGAGAAGTTCGAGATGGCGCAGGCCAAGCCCGTGTCCACCCCCCTCCCTTTCGGCCACCAGCTCGCTCCGCCCACTTCTCCCTCCTCCTCCCCTCACCCCTATGCCGAGCTCGTTGGGTCGCTGATGTACGCAATGATGTGCACCCGCCCCGACCTCGCCTACCCCATTAGCGTGCTCGCACGCTTTGTTGACACCGGTCGTCACACTGAGGAACATTGGAAGGCTGCTAAGCGGGTCCTCCGCTACCTTTGTGGGACCAAGGACCATGTCCTCACCCTTGGCGGCCCCTCCCCTCCTCTCCTTTCGGGCTTCAGTGATTCCTCATGGGCTGACTCGCAGCCGGACCGCCGCTCCTCTCAGGGCTACGGTTTCACACTTGGCAGCGGCCTTATCAGCTGGCGCTCCACCCGCTCCTCTGCCATTTCTCTCTCCACCTGCGAGGCCGAGCTCTACGCTGGCACCATGGCCGCCCAGGAGTCACGCTGGCTCTGCTTTCTTCTTGCCGAACTTGGCGCCCCCCAGCCGTGCCCCACTCTCTGGTGTGACAACGCCAGCACCATCCACCTCACTCAAGATCCCGTCTATCACGCCCGCTCCAAGCACATCGAGCCCCGCTACTTCTTCATCCGCGAGCTCGTCCAGCAAGGCCTCATTTCAGTTCGGAAGATTGCGGCGGAGGCCAACTTGGCCGACATCTTCACCAAGGCCCTCCTTCGCCCTGCGCACTCTGCTTTCCTCCGTCTCATTGGCCTTGCTCGCCCGGGCGCCCCTTGATTCAGAGGTTGTTCTCTTCATGTGTTCGCATGCTAAGGGGTTGTGTTAGAATCTATATATTATAGCATGCGAACACTTGTGACTGTACACCAAGAGTGGTGTACAGTTGGGTTGGTTCAGGCTCTAGTTTTGGGTGTACTGCGGGTAGACACCCTAATTGGGGTGAACCCAAATATCCTAGCTTAGACTTGGCTCCAACCTTGTTGGCCAAGTGGGGCAACCAACTTTGGTTGGTTGGCCACCATCCCACTAGGGTTGGTTGGATGGTCCTTCCTCCCACTAGCCTACTTGGTCTTGGTGTCTTATGTGCTAGGTTTGGTGTTCTTCTCCAACCTTCTCTTCCTTGTATAACCTTGTGCTCTCTTGAGCTAATGTTAACAATTCTTCCTCAACTTTCTATAGCTCATAGTTTCTTTCATGAGGCGCCTCAAAACTGTTCGCTCTTCTAGGTTTGAGGCGCCTCAAAACTGTTCGCTCTTCTAGGTTTGAGGCGCCTCAAAACTGTTCGCTCTTCTAGGTTTGAGGCGCCTCAAAACTGTTCGCTCTTCTAGGTTTGAGGCGCCTCAAAACTGTTCGCTCTTCTAGGTTTGAGGCGCCTCAAAACTGTTCGCTCTTCTAGGTTTGAGGCGCCTCAAAACTGTTCGCTCTTCTAGGTTTGAGGCGCCTCAAAACTGTTCGCTCTTCTGCTGTCTCCCCTCTTCCCTTGTCGTCCACTCATGCGTTCCCCTCATCCCATCACCATCAGGTATTCCAAGCTGTGGATGTGGACGCTCACGGAGTACCACCACTTGGTCTATATGTCGATGCCGACCTGCTTCTAATGAGCAGAGCAGTCTAAACGAGCTCTTCTGCCGTGACGAGCTGACTGCTGTATTGCCTCACTTGTCATCCTTCTCTTCCCCCTCTTCCCCCACCCTCCCCCATCACCATCAGGTATTCCAAGCTGTGGATGTGGACGCTCACGGAGTACCATCGCTTAGTCTACGTCGATGCGGACCTTCTTGTAATGAGCAGCCTCGACGACCTCTTCTGTCGCGACGAGCTGACTGCTGCGCCCGACACCATCCCCCCTGACCGCTTCAACAGTGGCTTGATGGTGGTGGCGCCTAGTGACGACACTTTTAGGGATATGCTGAGCAAGGTGGGTGGTGGGAGAAGGCAGGAAGGAAAGGGATGGGGAGGGGGGGGAAGGGTAGAAGGAGGAGCTGACTGCTGCACCGGACACCATCCCTCCTGACCGATTCAACAGTGGCTTGATGGTGGTGGCGCCTAGTGACGACACGTTCAGAGACATGCTGAGCAAGGTGAGCAGGCGAGGAAGGTAGGGGTGAATGGTGGGCGACAGCACGGGAGTAGGGAGTTGAAAGGAATGAGTTGACTGCTGCGCCGGACACCATCCCCCCTGACCACTTCAACAGTGGGCTCATGGTGGTGGCGCCCAGTGTCGACACGTTTAGGGACATGCTGAGCAAGGTGAGTAAGCAAGCACTAGGTGAAGGAAGGAAAGGGATGGGGAAGGGGGTAGAAGGAAAGAGCTCTCTGCTGCTCCCTCCATCCAAGTCACCCAACGTGGGCGATCAGGGCTTTCTCAACAATTACTTTGCCGACTGGTACTCTCAAGGCCCCTCGCACCACCTGCCCTACGCCTTCAACCCGCTCGTTCGCCTCATCCCATCCCTGGTTCCACCTCTCCCTCTCCTGCTCCTTGTTCTCTCTCCTTCTCAGGTCGCCACCACCAAGTCACCCAACGTGGGCGATCAGGGCTTTCTCAACAACTACTTTGCCGACTGGTACTCTCAGGCCCCCTCCCACCACCTGCCCTACGCCTTCAACCCCCTCGTGCGCCTCAGCGGGTGGGAGGGGTGGGAGAAGTTTGTGCAGCCGCAGCTGAGGGTGCTGCACTACTCGGGGAGCACCAAGCCTTGGAACACCATGGAGGACAAGCAGGCAGGTGACTATAACGGGAGGGAATGGTCACAACGGAAGCAGATCCTGACAAAAGTAGCTAGAAGAAGGACAGGGCTTTATAGAGAGAAAGAATTTTGTGTTGCAGCAGCAAAACGGGAAAGATTAAGCATGGTGGGAGGGATGAGGTGGGCAGTATGTGCAGCCGCAGCTGAGGGTGCTGCACTTCTCGGGCAGTACCAAGCCTTGGAACACCATGCAGGACAAGCAGGCAGGTGACTATAACGGGAGTGGTTTTAACAAAGTGGCGAAACGGAGGTGAGTGACAGTACTGCAGGCTGATTTTTTGGGTGGGGAATCAGAGAATATATGTAGCGCAGTCACTGGCTCGCTGCACACATTGTCACCCCTCTTCTCCGCGTTGAATCCCACTCCACCCCTCTATCTCGCCCCATTTCCCCACTATTCGCAGCTTGGACCACATCTGGCTCGCTGCTCACAACAACATGCTGAAGGCCCTTGCACAGGTCGTTGCCACTCCTCTCCACCGCACTCATTCGCTCTCCACCACATTTAATCCTTCTTGCCCCAGTTCCCCACCACTCGCAGCCTGGATCACATCTGGCTCGCTGCTCACAGCGACATGCTGAATGCCCTTGCACAGGCCATGGCTACTGCAAAAGCAACTGGAAATAGTGGTGGCAGCAGCAGTGGCGCAAGTGAGCCTGCTGGTGGGGATGCAGCAGCAGGGGAAGGGGATGGTGGAGTTGAGACCCTCGGGGCGAGCGGTGAATATGCCCCTCTTTCTTCCATCTGCCAAGAGGAGGGGGCGACCACCAATGGCAGGTGCGCATTTCACTTGATGCTACAAGTGTCTGGTTTTCAGGCGCCTCAAAACTAGAGAGCGTTGGGGCGAGCGGTGAATATGCCCGTCTTTCTTCCATTTGCCAAGAGGAAAGACCGACAAGTGTCAGTCGATTCTTTGGAGTTGCTTCAACTTTCTCTTTCTCTTTGGAGGTGCTGGCCAGTGATGAATCGTCTCGAGGTTTCTGTTTCTGCTTGTGTAGTTAAGGTGTGCTCATGTGTGCGTACATCTGGTGTTGAGACGTCTCAAACTAGTTAAGGTGTGCTCATGTGTGCGTACATGTGCGTTTATGTGTACATGTGCATTTATGCGTACATGTGCATTCATGCGTACATGTGCATTTATGCATACATGTGCATTTGTGCGTACATGTGCATTCATGCGTACATGTGCATTCATGCCTACATGTGCATTCATGCGTACATGTGCATTCATGCGTACATGTGCATTTATGCGTACATGTGCATTTATGCGTACATGTGCATTCCATCCTTCTGTCCGAGCATTCATCCATCTATCCTGCTGCTTCTTTAGCTCTTTCATACACACGTGTTTATCTATTCCCACCCCTGCAGTGTGCGCTACGATGGGCTCACTGTGGTGCTCACAGCAACAGGCAGCACACGGCAGACCATCCAAGCCATACGCCACTACGCCTCAGCGCCTGTTGTTCGAGACATTTTCGTCCTTCTGTCCAATGACAGCCCGCTTGCCACAAGCAGAGACAGCAGCACGTTTCCTCTGGTGCAAGGAGACAGGCCCGTCGTTCTTCTCCCTCTCCGCAACCCACCAGCAACTGCTCGCTTCAGACCCATTCTGTATGTTTCGATTCTGAAAAGTTTCCACATGTTTCTCACCTCCATCTTGATTCTTTCTCCCCGTCCACCACTTTCCTTGTCTCCTCTTGTGCCCTCTACCCGTTTCCCCCATCAAATCTCTTTCCAGTGCTGCAGTCTTAGTAACTGACGACACCTTGCTGCTGCCGCCTCCTCCGTCCTCTCTACTCTTTTTCCTCAACCTGATGCCTCTTTCCTTTTCCTTCTCCCATCAGGTCACTCACCACTGCTGCTGTCTTGGTAATTGAAGACACCATTCTGGTGCCCCCTGCTCTCCTCACCACATCCCTCCTGCGATGGCGGGAAACCCCCAACCGCCTCCTCGGTTTCCTCCCCTCCGCCCACTTCCGCCTCTCCAAGGGAGTCCTCAAAGGGAGACTGGCCGTGCATGTTACCCTATGTCTCATTCTCATGCTGCCCTCTTCTCCCCGTCCAACCTTTCACTTCTCCCACCAGCTCCCTCACCACAGCGGCAGTCCTAGTAATCGATGACACCATGCTGGTACCCTCTCCTCTCCTCGCAAACCTCCCTCCCTTTTCTGTTTTCTACTTCCCCTCCCTTCCCCTCGCTTCCCTCCCACCAGCTCCCTCACCACAGCGGCAGTCCTAGTAATCGATGACACCATGCTGGTGCCCTCTGCTCTCCTCGCCACGGCCCTGCTCCGCTGGAGGGAAGCACCCAACCGCCTCCTCGGATTCCTCCCTTCAGCCCACTTCCGCCTCTCCAAGGGCGTTCTCAAAGGGCGGCTCGCCGTGCACGCTTCCCTGGGGCCCGGAGGGGACTACTCAGTGGTTACTGGTGCGCTGCTGCTGCATAGAAACTATCTGCACTATTTTACCTGCACTATGGGGGAGGAGGCGAGGCGGTATTTGGAGGGAGGGAGCGAGGGAGACGGTGGGGGAGAGGGTGGGGGAGAGGGTGCAGGAGGGAGTGAGGGAGGGAGTGAGGGAGGGAGTGGGGGAGGGAGTGAAGGCGGTCGGTCCAATCCGGCGGCGAGGGCGTGTGCTGACGTGGCGATGAACATGCTGGTGACTCATCTGTCTGACCTGTCACCATTGACTGTCTACGACTCAACACAGGAGGTCCAAGGGCCCTTCCCCTTGCCGCCTGCTCCTGCCATGTGAGTGGGGCTTGTGAGTGGGGCGTGTGAGTGGGGCATGTGAGTGGGGCATGTGAGTGGGGCATGTGAGTGGGGCATGTGAGTGGGGCATGTGAGTGGGGCATGTGAGTGGGGCATGTGAGTGGGGCATGTGAGTGGGGCATATGAGTGGGGCATGTGAGTGGGGCATGTGAGTGGGGCATGTGAGTGGGGCATGTGAGTGTGACACACAGTCCGCCATGCCATTTGTGCTCGTAAGCGTCTGCGCTCTGCCTCTGCCTTTTGAGATGCTCAGCTGTGTCTAGCTGTCTGCTCTGTGCGCTATGCTTCGCACCACTCGAGTATCCGAGAGTGCTGATTGTTATTCTGGTCCCTACCGAATAATGATCCTCATGCCTTCTCACTTTTGAGTCGACTCAAAAGTCACCGAGAGTGCTGATTGTTATTCTGGTCCCTACCGAATAATGATCTTCATGCCTTCTCACCCAACCAACGCATTTGTACCACCGACCAACCCTAAAACCTTCCCCCCCACCCCCACTCTTCCTCCCACCGTCCACCCTCCACAGGGGGAGGTGTCTCAACGATCTTGCCGTTCACATGGGCATCATGCCTCTTAAGAGCACAATCGATGCAGTCACAGTCATGCACAAGGATTCATACATATACGTGAGTCTGTGCAGCGCAGTGCAGGTATAACAGCTGTTGCGCTTCAGAGAGGGTTGCATTTCTCTTCTTAAGAGTATTGTCAGTGCACTGCAATCACAGTCATTCACGCGAACTTGTACAAGGGTTCGCCCAGGCCAATGCATAATATGCGAGTTCAATCGCAAGGGTTCTATGCCTCATAAGAGCACAATCGCTGCAGTCACTATCATCTAGAAAGATTCGTACATACTTTAGAGTGTTTATTTACAATAATGCAGTTACTTTAACTTCAATTTTGTGTCCTCCTCTTCTTTTCCCATGTTTCTTTCGAAGTGGGTGTGTCTCTCTCACTCCTACGTTCCCCTATCCTCAAAGCCTCCTTCATGTACTCTCCTCCCCAACCCCCCCTCGCCACCCTCCACTCCTTCCTCCGTTTCCTTCCAAGCAGGAGCCAAAGGTTCGTGTGCCCCCGGCGCCCCTCCTCTCCTCCCCAATTCTCAACGCCTCCCTCCCTCCCATCCACTCTCTCCAACCCCTCTCCCTTCCTCCTCTTTTTCCCAAGCAGGAGCCAAAGGTTCGTGTGCCCCCTGCGCCACTCCTCTCCTCCCCACTTCTCAACGCCTCCCTCCCTCCCATCCACTCTCTCCAACCCCTCTCCCTTCCTCCTCTTTTTCCCAAGCAGGAGCCCAAGGTTCGTGTGCCTCCAGCGCCCCTCCTCTTCTCACCCATTCTCAACGCCTCCCTCCCTCCCATCCACTCTCTCCAACCCCTCTCCCTTCCTCCTCTTTTTCCCAAGCAGGAGCCAAAGGTTCGTGTGCCCCCGGCGCCCCTCCTCTTCTCCCCTATTCTCAACGCCTCCCTGCCAACCACCCTCCTCCACCTCATTCCCCGCCGCTAACGCCGCTTCCTCCCCTCTTTACGGAGAAATACCATTCCCAGTGTTCGCCACCCTCCACCCCTCCCCTTTTTCCCCACTTTCTGTCCCACGCAGGAACCCAAGGTTCGTGTGCCCCCGGCGCCCCTCCTCTTCTCCCCGATCCTCAACGCCTCCCTCCCAACCACCCTCCTCCACCTCATCCCCCGCCGATACCGCCGATTCCTCCCCGCTTTGGACAGCGCCCACCCGCGCGTGCTATCTGTTCCGGGGGATGCTGCTCCCAAGCATGCCGTGTGCCTGCGGGTAAGTCGGGAGGAGCCAGATAGAACCTGTTTGCTGTTGTTTGTTGTCCCGGTGAGTAGCCTTGACCGCCGCTTCCTCCCCGGCTTAGAGAGCACCCACCCGCACGTGCTCTCTGTTCCGGGGGATGCTGCTCTCCTTGGCTTGGCCTCGGTATTTAGACCTTGGCTTCTCTCCTTCTCTCCCCGGCTTAGAGATCACCCACCCGCACGTGCTCTCTGTTCCGGGGGATGCTGCTCTCCTTGGCTTGGCCTCGGTATTTAGACCTTGGATTCTCTCCTTCTCTCCCCGGCTTAGAGAGCACCCACCCGCACGTGCTCTCTGTTCCGGGGGATGCTGCTCTCCTTGGCTTGGCCTCGGTATTTAGACCTTGGCTTCTCTCCTTCTCTCCCCGGCTTAGAGAGCACCCACCCGCACGTGCTCTCTGTTCCGGGGGATGCTGCTCTCCTTGGCTTGGCCTCGGTATTTAGACCTTGGCTTCTCTCCTTCTCTCCCCGGCTTAGAGAGCACCCACCCGCACGTGCTCTCTGTTCCGGGGGATGCTGCTCTCCTTGGCTTGGCCTCGGTATTTAGACCTTGGATTCTCGCCTTCTCTCCCCGGCTTAAAGAGCACCCACCCGCACGTGCTCTCTGTTCCGGGGGATGCTGCTCTCCTTGGCTTGGCCTCGGTATTTAGACCTTGGCTTCTCTCCTTCTCTCCCCGGCTTAGAGAGCACCCACCCGCACGTGCTCTCTGTTCCGGGGGATGCTGCTCTCCTTGGCTTGGCCTCGGTATTTAGACCTTGGATTCTCTCCTTCTCTCCCCGGCTTAGAGAGCACCCACCCGCACGTGCTCTCTGTTCCGGGGGATGCTGCTCTCCTTGGCTTGGCCTCGGTATTTAGACCTTGGCTTCTCTCCTTCTCTCCCCGGCTTAGAGAGCACCCACCCGCACGTGCTCTCTCTTCCGGGGGATGCTGCTCTCCTTGGCTTGGCCTCGGTATTTAGACCTTGGCTTCTCTCCTTCTCTCCCCGGCTTAGAGAGCACCCACCCGCACGTGCTCTCTGTTCCGGGGGATGCTGCTCTCCTTGGCTTGGCCTCGGTATTTAGACCTTGGATTCTCTCCTTCTCTCCCCGGCTTAGAGAGCACCCACCCGCACGTGCTCTCTGTTCCGGGGGATGCTGCTCTCCTTGGCTTGGCCTCGGTATTTAGACCTTGGCTTCTCTCCTTCTCTCCCCGGCTTAGAGAGCACCCACCCGCACGTGCTCTCTGTTCCGGGGGATGCTGCTCTCCTTGGCTTGGCCTCGGTATTTAGACCTTGGCTTCTCTCCTTCTCTCCCCGGCTTAGAGAGCACCCACCCGCACGTGCTCTCTGTTCCGGGGGATGCTGCTCTCCTTGGCTTGGCCTCGGTATTTAGACCTTGGATTCTCTCCTCTCCCCGGCTTAGAGAGCACCCACCCGCACGTGCTCTCTGTTCCGGGGGATGCTGCTCTCCTTGGCTTGGCCTCGGTATTTAGACCTTGGCTTCTCTCCTTCTCTCCCCAGCTTAGAGAGCGCCCACCCGCGTGTGCTATCTGTTCCGGGAGATGCTGCTCCCAAGCATGCCGTGTGCCTGCGGGTAAGTCCTCTAACCACCTGCAATCCGCCCAGCCTAGGCCATGACAGGTGCGGTTCAGAGAGCGCCCACCCGCACGTGCTATCTGTTCCTAGAGATGCTGCTCCCAAGCACGTCGTGTGCCTGCGGGTGAGTCTTTTGAGCAACTGCCAACCCGCCCAGCCTAGAACAGGGTGAGTTGTCAAACCCACAAAATTTGGACCTTTGCTTCTCTCCTTTCTCCCTGCCTTGGAGAGCGCCCATCCGCGTGCTATCTGTTCCCGGGGACGCTGCTCCCAACCCAAGCATGCTGTGTGCATGTGGGTGAGTCCTCTACGCCACCTTTCATTCCGCCCAGCCTGGACCTTCCTTTCTTCCTCCCTGTTTTCGAGAGCACCTACCCGCACGTGCTGCCTGCTGTTCCCAGTGCTGCTGCTCCCAAGCACGTCGTGTGCCTGCGGGTGAGTTCTTAAACCACCTTCTCGTCCTGGCTGTTACCAGTGCTGACCATTCTCAGTGCACACGCACGCGCACGTGCATGCACACACACATGCACGCACTTGCACACAAAAGTTTAGGGTTTAGGGTTCACAATGGCAATTCCAGTTGAGAATGAAGGCACAAAACCGATTCTCACGCAGGAGTATGAGGCGGGTCGTGAAGCGCCTTCGTTGGCCATTCACCGGAGCGCGGCTTTATCCATGGAAGAAAGCGACAAGTAAGTACCATGAGCACAAGTACATGAGAACTGTTTGGAGAGTAGTTTTTTTTCATGTTTGATGACACATTTTTTCTGCTTCACATTTTATCAGTTCAATTGCTCGAAATCACACCAGCCTGTTGAACAGCCAGCCCCTAAATCAGCCAGCCTGTAAATGGGCTAGCGTGTTAACGGGCTGGCTGTTCAACAGGCTGGTGTGTTTTCGAGCAATTGGACTGATAAAATGTGAAGCAGAAAAAATGTGTCATCAAACATGAAAATACTGATCTCAAACAGTGCTCATGTACTTGTGCGCATGGTACTTACTTGTCTCTTTCTTCCATAGACGGGGCCGCGTTCCGGCGAATGGCCAACGGAGGTGCTTCACGACCCGCCTCGTTCTCCTACGTGAGCGTCGGTTTTGTGCCTTCATTCTCACCTCTTACTCGCGTGCGCACACACACACCCAGGTCTTCCTCTTCCTGCCCTGCTCATCCTTTCGCAGATAGTTGAGGACTCTGAACCAGCACTGGAGCTCTGTAGTTTTGAGGTGCCTCATAACTATTCTCTTCCTGCCCTGCTCATCCTTTCACAGATGGCTGATGACTCGGAACCAGCACTGGAGCTCTCTAGTTTTGAGGCGCCTCATAACTATTCTCTTCCTGCCCTGCTCATCCTTTCACAGATGGCTGATGACTCGGAACCAGCACTGGAACTCTCTAGTTTTGAGGCGCCTCATAACTATTCTCTTCCTGCCCTGCTCATCCTTTCACAGATGGCTGATGACTCGGAACCAGCACCGGAGCTCTCTAGTTTTGAGGCGCCTCATAACTATTCTCTTCCTGCCCTGCTCATCCTTTCACAGATGGCTGATGACTCGGAACCAGCACTGGAGCTCTCTAGTTTTGAGGCGCCTCATAACTATTCTCTTCCTGCCCTGCTCATCCTTTCACAGATGGCTGACGACTCGGAACCAGCACTGGAGCTCTCTAGTTTTGAGGCGCCTCATAACTGTTCTCTTCCTGCCCTGCTTATCCTTTCACAGATGGCTGACGACTCGGAACCAGCACTGGAGCTCTCTAGTTTTGAGGCGCCTCATAACTGTTCTCTTCCTGCCCTGCTTATCCTTTCGCAGGTATCTAAGGAGTCTGAACCAGCACTGGAGCTCTCTCTCTCCGAAGCCATCTCTTCCCCGGTCACCGCACTCCACCTCTCCGGAACCACTGTCTTCGCCTTCACACCCTCCCCCGCCACCATCACAATCGCAAGCAGCAGCACAGAGAATGACGATATCGCCCACAAGGGGGCGGATGCAGGTCTGGGGGTGCTGCTAGGGTTTGATGATCCGTTTGTCGTGTTCCACCTGGCGTCACGGTTGGCGGTTTGGAGGAAGTCTGAAGGCTGCTTTGCTCCCTCCCGCCTTGTGCTCTTTCATGGCGATACACTGCAGTCAGCAGTAAGAGAACAGGGGTCTAGGAGCGCTGCTAGAATTGACGATCTGTTTGCCGTGTTCTGTCATGCGTCGAGATTAACTTCGTGGAAGAGGTAAGAGCGGTCCTTTGCTCCCTCCCGCCTCCTGCTCTTTCACGGCGATACATTGCAGTCAACAGTGAGTATACATGCGCTTATTCCGACCTCCAAGGTAGGGATTCCCTCCAAGGTAGGGATTCCTAGATCAGCACTGCTTACCCCAGTCAACATCCCTACTCCAACTGCTCACAGTCTCCCATCCTCCTGCCCTCCTCTTCCCGTTCTCACCAATCCTCCTCCCTCTCCCTCTATCACCCTCCCCTCTGCTCGTACTTACCCTCTGCCCCCCTCCCACCCAGCTGCCCCACGCCTCCCCATGGGCATCGCTGCTGCTCAAGTCCACCCTCGGAGATGCATCCTTTCCTCCCTTCGCTCTGCCTACTGCTGCGGATTCTTTGACTGACATGGGCGCTATGAGTCACATGAGCGCAGCCACCATGGGCACTGGCAACAGCTCTGTTGCCAAACGCTCTGGAGCAGAAGGCTCTCCAGTGGTGTGCTTTGATCGCGTGGTGCTGCTGCAAGATCCGGTGCTGCCTGTTGCTGCTGGGCAAGCAGAGCAAGCTGCAGCTTCTGCGAGACCAACGGAGCAGCAGAGCAGCAGTGGTGGTGGCAGCAGAGGCAGAGGCAGTGCGGACGGCAACATTGAATCCGGCTGTGATGGCCATGCTGCTGTCATCCGCTCTGCCCTGCGCCATGCGTGCCGGTATGTGTATCTGCCATTCTTATATGTAGAAATCACTTTTGAGAATTCTCAAAAGTGATGCCATCCGTTCTCCCTCTTATATGTACATCTCCCACGGAGTTGCTGATTGCTGATCACAAGGAGGGGCGAAAGAGGGGGGGGGAGGGAGAAGTAGTTTCGGGGCTTGCAGTGAGGAGGGGTGTGGAGACTGTGGGGCAATCACTAGAACAGCATGAATAAAAATACACTTTTTACAAGGTATCTGGCTTGTTTAGATGTTATCAAAGTGACTTCTGAACACGCCCTCTCTGCTCTTTTCTTCCTCTCCCCTTCTTTCTTCCCCCGCCCCCCCCCCCCCATTTTCCTTCCCCTTCCCCACCTCTCAGTCTCCAGTTGCCCGTCCGCTCCTCTCTGACCATCCTCATCGCGGCTTCAGACGCCGCATGGAGACAAAACATGCCGCCCGCCCTGCACCCTGCCAACCTGACTGCCGCCCTGCACAAGGAGTGCTCCCGCGCACATCTGTCGTGTGAAGTGGTGCGAGCTCAAGAGGACAAAGACCCATGCACTGATCAGGTCAGTTCTGAGATCCCGTTTCTACGCACCCCAAAAGGACCAACCTGTCTGCCGCCCTGCACAAGGGGTGCTCCCGCGCAAATCTCCCCTGTGAGGTGCTGCGAGCACAAGGGGACGATGACCCGTGCACTGATCAGGTCAGTTCTGAGATGCTGTTTCTACGCACTTCAAAAGGACCAACCTGACTGCCGCCCTGCACAAGGAGTGCTCCCGTGCACATCTGTCGTGTGAAGTGGTGCAAGCACAAGAGGACACTAACCCATGCACCGATCAGGTCAGTGCCTACTTTGCAGTACGTGTGTCAGAATTTCCGGCCTGACTGCAGCCCTGCACAAGGAGTGCTCCCGTGCACATCTGTCGTGTGAAGTGGTGCGAGCACAAGAGGACACTGATCCATGCACCAACCAGGTCAGTGCCTTAACACAGCTCACATACCACTGCAGGCACATTTCACGCACCCCAAGACAGCCATTTCCTGTGAATTGGTGCGAGCACAAGAGGACAATGATCCATGCACCGATCAGGTCATGTTTTGAGTCGACTCATAACACGACTCAGTGCCTTAACGTCGACCCTACACAATCCTCAATCACGTCAGCCCCTTCACACCACTCTCCCCACCACACTTTCTTTCCGCCCGTATGTTTTTTGAGAATTCTAAAAAAACACAATCCTCAATCACGTCAGCGCCTTCACAGCACTCTCTCCACCACTCTTCCTTCAACTTCTTTCCGCCCGGAGCCTCAAATTCAAGAGTCACTCACTGTTGTTGTTCACTCGGTTCCCCGTGCTCCTATCTCCTCATCTTTCAATTTTCTCCTGTTTCTGTTGGATGCAAGCCGATCTGGTGCTGCTGCTGCCTTGGGTCCCTGCTCCACCCACCAACAGCACCACCCACCTGTTCCTCTGTGATAAATAAATTACTGTTGGTGATTTCCTTGTTCTCTTATCCTTCATTTCTCGTGCTTGTCCTTCCAGGTTCCGGCATGGATGCGAGCCGATCTGGTGCTGCTGCCATGGGTTCCTGCTCCACTCAGAAACACCACCCGTTCTCCCATAAACAAGGAATGATTTTCAGTTTCACCTGTTCTTTTGTGCTCCTCCTGCTTGTCCTTCCAGGTTCCGGCATGGATGCAAGCCGATCTGGTGCTGCTGCCTTGGGTCCCTGCTCCTCCCACCAACACCAGCACTCTCAATAAAACCCAAGCCAGAAAGCTGCGGGAGAGGCAAAGAGAGGAACTGGAAAGACACTACACGCCAGAACTGCTACAGTATTCTGTCCTGCTGGCTCCTGGATCCTCTTTCGCACATCTTTACCCTGCCCGGACCCCGAAAGCGCCGCTCGAGTTTGCCCAGAAAAAGCTGGGGTGTTTTGGGATTGCGTACTCGCAGCTGCCCGTGGGCCAGGGTTCCAGCCTGGGGTTTCAAGGGGTGTTGAAATGGATAAGGGAACAGCTGAAGGGATGGGAAGGGAAGGGGGGGAGCAAGGTTGAGAGGAAGGGAGTGAGACGAGGGGTTATAGAGGATGTTGAGTATGCATGTGCGGGGAGGGAAGTGGAGCATGTGGGGGTTCAACATGAGGAGGATGAGGAATTGTGGGAAGCAGATGAAAATCCCGAAAGTGATAAGAAAACGTAGGTGCCGAATATGTGCTCCTTGTAGGCACTGCGTACGGTGCTAATGCAGTAAGATACCACTAAGTGGTTATCAACAGATTATCGCTTGCAATAGTAATGTAGTGGATACTCGTATAATTATTCGTATCATGTTACAACAGGCATTATGAGCTGATATTGACGTGGTCGAACACGCGGAGAATCACCATGAGCCCAAACTGGTCCACAATAGCAAGCCTCACTGCCTTTCGCAAAATCTCTTTGCTCTCAGGCGAGTAAAATGAAGTTGTATGCCCCTTGGAGCAAAGGCTAGAAACGCCTTCAACACTACTGCTGGTGCTGGTGGTGCTGGCATTCGTGGGTGGGGCACTGGTGCTCAACCCTTGAGGCTTCTGTCCATGAGGCTCAAGAATACTGCTGCTGTCCATGAAGCCTAGGGTACCTTTGACCCTTTCTCGAGGTGGCAGAGAGTTATCGCTGCTGCCCGTGGCGAGTGGAGCATCACTGTTCCTTTCTTGAGGTGGTTCAAGGCTACTGCTGCTGTCCATGGGAACTGGCGTACCGGCGAGCCTGACAATTCGAGAGAGCCTGGTAGCAGGGTTTGTTGCAGGGCAGAGAGAGAAAATCCAGGAATAAGGCGTTTTTTCCCCATATTTCACCCTCATCTTGATGCAGGTATAGGGAGATGGTTACGGTACAGGTTACAAACAGAGAAGCTAGAGGGTAAGAGGGAGAGGAAACGGTACAGGCATTGGGATGAATGGCGTACGGTGCAGGAATTTGGTAGTGAAGTGCCATGTGGTGTGAGTGACCATTGTGTAATGACAAGTTCAATAATGACCATACACAGAATGGTTACTGTAATGACCAGCACAATGACTGGTGTAAAACTACGTACAATGCAGGCGTTAGCTCTCGTGATGCACTCACAGGAACGACCACTTCAGCCTGCACAGAGAAACGGAGAGAGGGGGAAAAGAAAGCAGAAAAGAAAAAAAGAGAAAAAAAAAGTGTGTGGGAACGATTGCAGAAGTGAAGATGGAAGCATGCGGCGAGGAAGGAAGAGTAACAAGACACAGCTCAGATGCTAAGAGACGAATCAAGTGCGAATCGTGATTTTTTAATGGGCTCAGAAAAAGACTTGCACACGCATAATGACTCTCACAGCCCAGCAGCATGGCAGCATGTGCCCTACACAGCACACCTTGTCCAGATGCTCCCCTCGTTTGTAGCACATGATAGCAAGCAGATTTAGTGGCTGCTGCTGGGGTTTCTGAACAGTCTCTGTACCCGACCCCTCTTGCTGCTTCTCCCCCTCCCTCTGCCTTATTAAATGCTGCTGCTGCTGCGTCTGCACCTGGTGCTGATGCTGATGCTCCTTTTCTACAATTTTCTCCCCCGCATGTCCTTCACCAGAGAGTTCCCCTCCAAGTGTAGCGCCTCCCTGCCCCCTCTCCATAGGGCCCTCCTTCTCCGCCTTCCCCTTCGCTTCCAACCTCTCCTCTTCCGCGCTTCCCTCCCCTTCCGCCCTTCCCTCCCCTTCCGCCCGTCCCTCCCCTTCCTCCCTTCCCTCCCCTTCCGCCCTACCCCCTTCCGCCGTTCCCCCTTCCGCCTTCCCCTCCCTTTCCGCCTCCTTCCCCCCACTTTCTGCCAGGAAAAATACCTCCACCCGCCTCCACCAATCAGCGGCTGCCAGCTTGGACAGCGCCATGTAAGCTTCCAGAGGCGAGGCTGGCCAATCACAGGACTTGATGGAATGAGGAGCGGAAAGGAGAGGAGAGGATGGATGGATGGAGGGATGGGTGGAAGAATGGGTAGAGGGATGCGTGGAGGGGAAAGGAGAGGGTAGGCAGGAGGAAGTGGAAGAGGGAATGAAAGCGGCATCTGTGGAGGGAAGATAGGAGGGACGGGAGGAGGGAAGCGAGGAGCAGAGGGAGAGGAAGTGGTGCCATGGGGGAAGGGAATCCACAACCAATGGCCGTAAAATCCTGCTGCCGTCGGTGCCACTGCTGATTCTGCTGCTAATTCCGCTGCTGTAGCTGCTGCTGCTGTCGCCGTTGCGGCCGTCTCTGTCAATGACAAGGAGCAATGTCCGGCATGCTTTACGAACTTCTCCGCCTCTTCCTCTCCCTCCAGAACCACCGACATCAGCAGTAGTACCATTACCGCCATCACTACCACTGCCACTACCCTGCGACATTGCCGCTGCGGCTCGTTGCTGAGGGCGTCAGGATCCTGACAGGTTCCGCTTTTTAAGCCTGATAGTGGCGGCATCAGAATCTGTTTCTAAGGTTGGAACCTATTCTGCCCGTTCCAAGCCGGGCGAGTGACATCCCAGGCTCGCAATCTCGCCATCCGACCCTCGCCCATTCGCCAGCTCAAAACCGATGTCGTTCTGCTGAAGGAGAGTGCGAGTAACGAGAAAAGCACTACGATACGAGAGTCTGATGTCCCCGTGGGGGGGGCGTATTTGGCGGATGGCTGGGCTGGGAGCAAGGGAGCTGGTAACAGTCGGACTGAAAAGGCATTGACCTCGCATGTTTAGATATTTCGTGACACAGCTTTTGGACATTCCCGCCAGCGGCGAAGAACGATGCGAATAAGCGAAATGCACTACAATTTTTTTAACGATGCGAACGCCAGCAAACACCCTCGCATACTTTCGCACACCCAAATCTACACTTGAATCACAGGACCTCCTGACCTTGAAATTGTCGCAGCCGTTCGTAACTTCCAAGGAAGCTAGTCCCAGAAGTTCGATTCCGATCGAACTTGGTTGCGAATTTCCGAGCACGTTGCGATCTGAGTGCGACACATGAAGAACATGCAGCAAAATAAATACGTGTTAGGGTTTCTTTGATAATCTCCCTGTCACACATCATATTCCAAACTTGGTTCATAAACTATAGGCGCTAAAAATCCAGGCGTTGAATACATACCTACCGAACGCCCAACGCAGCTAGCGATTGGTCGTTAGAGCCCTTCTTGATCGACCTCGTTTTATTATGCTTTCCAAAAATTCGGAAGTTTCTTCGAACCATTTTTCAAGAACCTTTCTCTCGAGCCAGATTCCGAATACCGCCCTATTCCACGAACCCTGCTCGTTGCGGAATCTGAGCCGAGCGGAACGCGAGGTACGCGGGGGGCGCGGAGGGACGCGGGGGGACGCGGGGGGACGCGGGGGACGGGGGGGGTCGCGGGGAACGCAGGGGGCGAGAGCAGATGGCGGACGTGAGAGAGACGGGTAGTGCGGCGGAGAAGGGGGTGATCACAGAAAGAACGGAAATAGCGGAAGTAGCGGCCAAGAGGCCTCGCATCGAAGGCCAAGACAGGAAAACTGGAACGTTACCTGAAGCCTCTACGAAAGAGGAGGGTGCTGCCGCAGTAGCAGAGTCAGTCTACGTCGCTGGTCGATACTTAAAGGTGCCACTCCCGCTCCCAACCCAACCTCCGCCATTTCTACCATCACCCACCAACATTTTTTTCTAAGTTAATTTTCGTAACGCCTGAAAAATAGACATCCAACCTCTTCCCTGCCCCTCCATTACGCCACAAAGTCTCGTTTCACTTTCCTCCGTTCCCCTTCGTTCCCCTTCGTTCCAAACGTGTGCGTCCCCCGTTCCTTGGTCCCAATCTCTAAACCCCTCCACTAAACCCTTCTAAACCCTTCTCCTTTTAAAGCATCTTTTTTTTTTTCAAACCCCTGCTAGGTGGGTGGTAATTCTCTCGCAAATTCCCGTTTCGATCCCCCCTTTCGTTTCACCTTCATCATTCGAAACTTTTCTTCCTCCCTCCTCGCCCACCCCTCCTCCCCCTTTCCCCCCCCCTCCATACGTTCTCCGTCTCGGTGTGTGTGGCAGTTCTCCCGCGCACTGAGCCAGTTCCCATGAACGGTGGACGATGAGCAGATGAGAGCCAGACCCTTATGAGCTCAAAACCCCTCAGAACCGCTTTCCCTCTTCCTCCCGCCACCGCGCCCTCTCCCCTTCCCCTACTATGTGGCAGTTCTCTCGCGCCCTGAGCCAGTCTCCATGGACGGTGGACGATGAACAGATGGGGGATGGCTCTGTCCAGGTGCTTATAACGGGGATGGCTCTGTCCAGGTGCTTATAACGGGGATGGCTCTGTCCAGGTGCTTATAACGGGGATGGCTCTGTCCAGTTGCTTATAATGGGGATGGCTCTGTGCAGGTGATTATAAGGGCGATAGCTCTTTGCAGGTGCTTAGCGATGGCTCCGTGCCGGCGCTTATAGCGGGGATGGCTCTGTGCGGGTGCTTACAGTGGGAGCGGCTATGTGCAGGTGCTTATAGCTGGAATGGCTCTGTTCATGTGCTTATAGCAGGAATGACTCTGTGCAGGTGCTTATAGTGGGGATGGTTTTGTGCTGGTTAGCCAGGGTGATTTCTAGTACGGGGATGGCTTCGTGCCTAAGTGGAGAAAGACGCTTGCAGGGGCGAGCGTCCTGCGTCCGAACGCTGCGTCCGATGGCTTCACGCAGGTGCTTATAATTCGGTTGATTCTGTGCAGGTTCTTATTGCGGGAACTTATCACGGATTATTATGCTTTGTGCACGTTTTCCAAATTGTTCAGGATCTAATTGCATCCCACGTGCTACCTCTCCTGCAACCATTGTCGCACAAGTTCCAAGCTGCAGGGCGAGAGGACATTGATGTGAGTGAGTGTTAGTCAACAAGGGATGAATTCCCTCCCACACATACTTTTCCGCTTGTTGCGACCGATTTTTTACATTTTATTTAGACCACATGAGAAGACATCGACGTGAGAGAGTGAGAGTCACGAATTGATGTGGCTCACACATGCTATTTTGCAATCGTTGAATGATCTTCTGTACAAGAATGCAGTCGGCTACAACACTAGGTGTGCTGAGGACCCACTCGGGATCATGCCAGAGAACGCTCGCATTGCAATCAACAATTTGGGGGTGAGTGGGGGTGCCAATTCTACTGTGTTCAGTATTCATGCTAGATGTGGTTATATGCTTTCATTTTCGCCATCTATCAGGTCCGTTAAAGCCCATCTGAGCATTGCGTATTTCTTCCATTATCTTCTCTCTGTACTCTCTTCCCTCCCTTCCATCCCGCACTCTTATGTCTCCAGTCCATGTTATAGAAGCTGACCACAATGTGTACTACCATTTCGTGCAGCATGCCGGAATCACGCAGTACCACCACATTGACGGATATTTTTATCAAATTCGTTTGCAATGATCGCAAAGTCATGTTCTCGTTTCATACGGAAGACGGGGAAAAACTATGCAGTGTTATTCACGTCCATTCGCAGAAGCAGGTACAATAGATTCGAATTCGAATATCAATAGATTCGAATCTATTGTACCTGCTTCTGCAAATGGATGTGAATAGCACCGCATTTTTTTTTCCCCGTCTTCGGTATGAAACGAGAACAAGACTTTGCGATCATTGCAAACGAATTCGATAAAAATATCCGTCAATGTGGTGGTACTGCGTGATTCCGGCATGCTGCACGAAATGGTAGTACACATTGTGGTCAGCGTTTATAACATGGATCTGTGGCATAAGAGTGCGGGATGGAAAGGGGGGGAAGAAAGTACAGAGTGAAAATGATAGAAGAGCTACGCAATGTTCTGATGGGTTTCAACGGACCTGATAAATGGCGAAAATGAAAGCATATAACCACCTTTAGCATGCATACAGAACACAGTAGATCTGGTACCTCCACTCACCCCCAAATTGTTGATTGCAATGAGAGCGTTCTCTGGCATGATCCCAAGTGGATCTTCAGCACACCTAGTGTTGTAGCCGCATTCTTGTACGGAAGATCACTCAACGATCACATGCGATCTCGGAGAATTCTCAATAATCGCTCCAGAAGACATCAGTGTCAGCAAATCTTGACACATGATTCGCTCACGGATTCGCTCACCAATCTCATTGATTTTCACTCAGGGAGCAGCAGCCTTTGGCTGAGGAGGTCAGCCAGAGGGGCCAGGCGGGTGCGCCCTTACCCCCCCAACCCTTTGTAACGAGATGACTTGTGAGTCGACTCAAAAGTCACCTCACTGATTCGTTCCCCAATCTCACTGATTCTCACTCAGGGAGCAGCAGCCTGTGGCTGAGGAAGCCAGTCAGAGGGGCCAGGTGGGTGCGCCAATACCCCCCCAACCCTTTCCTCATCCCCCCCTCAAACGCACAGGTGCGCATGCTGGGTTCGGGGCGGCCGTTTCTGCTGGAGCTCAAAGGGGTGAGGCGAGTGCCTACTGCTGAGGAGATCAGGAGGAGTGAGCGGGACACCACCCTCAGTTCTCCTCCCAACACCGCGGCGCCACGTCCTCCTCCCCTCCCCCCCTACCACCCCTCCCTCCTCCCTCCACACAGGTGCGCATGCTGGGTTCTGGGCGGCCGTTTCTGCTGGAGCTCAAAGGGGCGAGGCGAGTGCCTACGGCTGAGGAGGATAAAAGGGGAGAACACTCTCGATTCCCGTCCCACTCCCCCATCCCCTCCCGCCCCCGTCCGCTTCCCCCTCCCGCTCTTGTCCCCTCCCCCCTCCTTTCCACAGGTGCGCATGCTGGGTTCGGGGCGGCCGTTTCTGTTGGAGCTCAAAGGGGCGAGGCGAGTGCCTACAGCTGAGGAGTTAGGGAGGATAGAGAAGGAGATCAACGAGCAGGAGAGGGGCAAGGTGAGTGATGGAAGACGGGAAGTTAACTGTGGAGTGACTGTTGAGTAATGCACTCAAAGGTGCGAGGCTAGTGCGTACCGCTGAGGAGCTGGGGAGGATTGAGCTGGAGTTCAACGAGCAGGAGAGGGGCAAGGTGAGTGATGGAAGACGGGAAGTTAACTGTGGAGTGACTGTTGAGTAATGCACTCAAAGGTGCGAGGCTAGTGCGTACCGCTGAGGAGCTGGGGAGGATTGAGCTGGAGTTCAACGAGCAGGAGAGGGGCAAGGTGAGTGATGGAAGACGGGAAGTTAACTGTGGAGTGACTGTTGAGTAATGCACTCAAAGGTGCGAGGCTAGTGCGTACCGCTGAGGAGCTGGGGAGGATTGAGCTGGAGATCAACGAGCAGGAGAGGGGCAAGGTGAGTGATGGAAGACGGGAAGTTAACTGTGGAGTGACTGTTGAGTAATGCACTCAAAGGTGCGAGGCTAGTGCCTCCCGCTGAGGAGCTTGGGAGGATAGAGCAGGAGATCAACGAGCAGGAGAGGGGCAAGGTGAGTGGTGAGGAGTAGGCATGATCATCCTGCCCCGGCGGGTCGGGTCGACCCGACCCGACCCGGGTTTTGACCCGGGTCGGGTCAGGCATTTTGAAGCGCTGGCCCGGCCGGGTCGGGTCGGGTTTACCCGGTCGGGTCGGGTCGACCCGACACCCGAAACCGGGTCGGGTCGGGTCGGGTCAGATTTAGACCCGAAGTCGTACCCGACCCGGTTTCGGGTACCGCGCCCTAAGTCGGGTCGAGTATTTGGCCCGACCCGACTTTTCCTCCCTCGACAATTTGCACTAAAGCAGATCGCGAAGTCAATGTCTAGGGTTTGTTTGTTCCCTCGACATTGACTTCGATCTGCAATACCTAGGCAGCTAGCAAGCAATCGTTCTCAAGCTCTACTACTCTCTAAACCCGCGCCCATGTTAAGGAACACTATTACTAGTGTTTCCATGTTGGCGTAAGGGTCTTTTTAACCTAGCGCGACCAGGCAGAGATATTCGATTCTATAGAAATAGTTATTCTTAGCTCTCACAAGCGACTAAACTCTGGTCCCGCGTTCTAATCGCCCCCTGCGCGCCTACCAGGCCCGCATCGATAGTGACGCGACCCCCCATAGTCTAGTTACAAAATGGAGGACGTTCATATAATAATATTACACAAATATTCAATCAGTGCAACACCGCACAGTAGTAAGGAGAACCTCTTACCCTGCATATGGGGTCCTGGCCCGACCCGACCCGACCCGGCCCCTACCCGACCCGACCCGGGGGCGGGTCACGCCTGACCCGGCACCCGATACCCGGGTCGGGCCAGGATCCCGAAGGTGCGCAAGGCGCTTAGGAAATCAGCTCTCGTACCCATCCCTTTACCTCTTTCTCTTTTACCAACCCGAAGGTGCGCAAGGCGCTTAGGAAATCAGCTCTCGTACCCATCCCTTTACCTCTTTCTCTTTTACCAACCCGAAGGTGCGCAAGGCGCTTAGGAAATCAGCTCTCGTACCCATCCCTTTACCTCTTTCTCTTTTACCAACCCGAAGGTGCGCAAGGCGCTTAGGAAATCAGCTCTCGTACCCATCCCTTTACCTCTTTCTCTTTTACCAACCCGAAGGTGCGCAAGGCGCTTAGGAAATCAGCTCTCGTACCCATCCCTTTACCTCTTTCTCTTTTACCAACCCGAAGGTGCGCAAGGCGCTTAGGAAATCAGCTCTCGTACCCATACCAACCGTCCCTCTACCTGTCATTTACCAGGTGGGCGTGTGTCAACTCCAGCTGACAGACTCGCGTGTGTGCTGATGCGACAGGGGGAGGCGGAGAGGACTTTTGAGGCATCAGGAATTTCACAACTCAGGCCCTTATATCCCGACCATCTACCACCCCGGCCCCTACCACTCATCCTCCTAGGTGGGCGTGTGTCAACTACAGCTGGCAGATTCACGTGTGTGTGCATTGATGCGGCAGGGGGAGGCGGAGAAGCAGGTGAGTGGGAGAAGCGATTGCGTGAGAGGGGAATATGGGTGGGGGAGTGGAGGAGAGGGGAAGCTGTGGATTATAGCGGGGACCACTGTGGATGAAATGCGAGTTAGGGCTTCAGGGTAAAGTGGATGGGATGGGATGACTGTTGATCCACACCACAGTTTGGGTTATGGGGCTGGATGTATAAATAAGGAAATGTGCATGTGTGTGTGTGTGTTGGGTATGGATGGGTTGGGTTGTGTGTGACAAGTGATTTTCACCATCCTTCCTTATTAGCACCTGCTAAATATCGTCATCTTTATGGCTCAACTTTCACTGCAGAAATCATACGTGGCAGTGGTGTGGATCTCTCGACCAATCGCACAAGCTGACGTTGGAAAACTGGAGAGCATAAAGGACCTGGTGGGCACCAATCTGCCAATCTCAACCCTTTGCTTTGATTCTGGGTCTAGAATTAGATGCCTATTCTTTCCTTCCTTGGATTTTCCTTCTCCTGATTCCAGTTCTCACTGCTTCGGAACCTGTATTGCATCCATGGTGCAATCTGCCAAACAGGAAGCACTTTGCGACGACCCAAAGCCTCCATCCATGTCACCAGTCAATCCAATAGTAGATGAAGCCACAGATTTATAATGCAGAATCATCTCAGAGTAAATACTGTGCAGAGCTTAGGGGTTTGCTTTCTCTTCTGCCTCATGGATTCGCCTGAATGCATGCCTCTCTTTCCTCCTCTCTCTCCCTCTCTCATCCCAACAGGAGCTGCAGCAGAAGACCCACCTTTCCTCTCGCATACACACACGAGTTTTATGCCTTTTTCCTCCTCTCATCCCAACAGGAGCTCCAGCAGAAGACCCCCATCCGAGTGTTACACAGACGGAGCCCTCTCACTCGCCCTCGAACCATCTACAGGTAAGAGCGTAGTCTGGTTAGAGTAGTGTGGATAGAGTAGTGTGGTTAGAGTAGTGTGGATAGAGTAGTGTGGATAGAGTAGTGTGGTTAGAGTAGTGTGGTTAGAGTAGTGTGGTTAGAGTAGTGTGGATAGAGTAGTGTGGATAGAGTAGTGTGGTTAGAGTAGTGTGGTTAGAGTAGTGTGGTTAGAGTAGCGTGGATAGAGTAGTGTGGATAGAGTAGTGTGGTTAGAGTAGTGTGGTTAGAGTAATGTGGTTAGAGTAGTGTGGATAGAGTAATGTGGTTAGAGTAGTGTGGATAGAGTAGTGTGGATAGAGTAGTGTGGTTAGAGTAGTGTGGTTAGAGTAGTGTGGTTAGAGTAGTGTGGATAGAGTAGTGTGGTTAGAGTAGTGTGGATAGAGTAGTGTGGTTAGAGTAGTGTGGATAGAGTAGTGTGGTTAGAGTAGTGTGGTTAGAGTAGTGTGGATAGAGTAATGTGGTTAGAGTAGTGTGGATAGAGTAGTGTGGATAGAGTAGTGTGGATAGAGTAGTGTGGTTAGAGTAGTGTGGTTAGAGTAGTGTGGTTAGAGTAGTGTGGATAGAGTAGTGTGGATAGAGTAGTGTGGATAGAGTAGTGTGGTTAGAGTAGTGTGGATAGAGTAGTGTGGTTAGAGTAGTGTGGTTAGAGTAGTGTGGTTAGAGTAGTGTGGATAGAGTAGTGTAGATAGAGTAGTGTGGATAGAGTAGTGTGGTTAGAGTAGTGTGGATAGAGTAGTGTGGTTAGAGTAGTGTGGTTAGAGTAGTGTGGTTAGAGTAGTGTGGATAGAGTAGTGTGGATAGAGTAGTGTGGTTAGAGTAGTGTGGTTAGAGTAGTGTAGATAGAGTAGTGTGGATAGAGTAGTGTGGATAGAGTAATGTGGTTAGAGTAGTGTGGATAGAGTAGTGTGGATAGAGTAGTGTGGATAGAGTAGTGTGGTTAGAGTAGTGTGGTTAGAGTAGTGTGGATAGAGTAGTGTAGATAGAGTAGTGTGGATAGAGTAGTGTGGATAGAGTAGTGTGGATAGAGTAGTGTGGATAGAGTAGTGTGGTTAGAGCAGTGTGGTTAGAGTAGTGTGGATAGAGTAGTGTGGTTAGAGTAGTGTGGCTAGAGTAGTGTGGATAGAGTAGTGTGGTTAGAGTAGTGTGGATAGAGTAGTGTGGTTAGAGTAGTGTGGATAGAGTAGTGTGGATAGAGTAGTGTGGTTAGAGTTGTGTGGTTAGAGTAGTGTGGTTAGAGTTGTGTGGTTAGAGTAGTGTGGATAGAGCAGTGAAGCATACGCATGATTCTTCCCATCTCTACCACTTCTCTCCCTTCACCACTGCGATTTGCGGTGCCATTTAGTTTCCTCTCCCCCGCCCCCCTCCCTTCACTACCTGGTTGGTACGTCCTGAAATATGAATTCTCACAACTTTACCCTTCCCCCATATTCACCCTTCCCCCATTCTCCCCTTCCCCCATTCTCCCCTTCCCTCCCTTCACCACTGCAGCATGCAGTGTCATCTGGTACCATCGAACCCACAAGTGTTCCTCCTCCACCTCACCACTCAGGCAAGTCATACAGTGTGGTGCCACATGGTGCCACATGGTGTCGCATGGAAATGCATGGTGCCACACAGTGCTCTATGGTGTCACGTGGTGCCATGTGGTGCCATCTGGTGCCATCAAACCCACACGTGTTCCTTCTCCACCTCACCACTCAGGCAAGTCATACAGTGCGGTGCCACATGGTGTCGCATGGTGCTGCATGGTGCCACACAATGCCCTGTGGTGTGACGTGGTGCCATGTGGTGCCATGTGGTGCCACCTGGTGCCAACAAACCCACACAGTTTCCTCCTCCACCTCACCACTCAGGAAGGTCTGAGTCTAGCTAGCTTGTATACCAATTTCCTCAATAACAGGCCATGCACGTGAGTGGGCTGTGCACGTGAGTGGGCTGTGCACGTGAGTGGGCTGTGCACGTGAGTGGGCTGTGCACGTGATTTTCGCTGGGCGAAGAGACAGGCTTAGCCATACATCCCCCAAGGGACATATGCACACTCCTCACACTGCTGAACTTCACCTCTTGGCCGTCTCTCTCCTTTCCTGCTGCTGCTGCTGCTGCTGCTGCTGCTCCTTTTGGTGTTGTGGCTGTTGCTGCTGCTACTGCTGCTGCTGCTGCTACTGCTGCTGCTGCTGCTGCTGCTCCTTCTGGTCTTGTGGCTGTTGCTGCTGTTGCTCCTTGTGGGTGTGCAGGCGGGTACTTAGGTGAAGGAGTTTGTTCACGGTGACTTCGCCCGAACACAACCAAAGTGGCACATGCACAGTGCATACCCTGGTGCACTTACACTGTTTCCCGTGTGTCCCCTCCCCTCATGTGCTGTTGCTCCTTGTGACTGTGCAGGCGGGTACTTATGTTAAGGAGTTTGTTCACAGTGACTTCGGCCGCACACTACCAAAGTGGCATATGCACAGTGCATACCCTGGTGCACTTACACTGTTTCCTGTGTGTCCCCTCATCATATGCTGCTGCTGCTTGTGTGTGTGCAGGCGGGTACTTACGTGAAGGAGTTTGTTCACGGTGACTTCGGCCGCACACTACCCAAGTAAGAAGCCTCTCCTTACCATCTTCTCACCCTTGAGGCGCGTCAAAGGGTACTTATGTTAAGGAGTTTGTTCCTGGGGACTTTGGCAGCACTCGCACGAAACCCAAGTAAGGAATCTCTGCTGATCATAGCCTTTTGCTTACTGGAACACCTATTTGTGACTGCTTTTTCACTTCCATGTGTTGTACTTACACTTGATGTGTTGCGTACTGTGTTGGTTCCCAAGTATTTTCCTCCATCCCACTTCTCCAAGCCCACTTCTCCAACCTCCATCCCCTTAGTTCCTTCCCCGTGCCCTCTTTTGCCCGCTGCGTCTCTCCTCTCACTTCACCACTTCCCGCCTGTGCCTGCCGCACTGCACCGAGTCTGCTGAATTACGAAGCTGATATTTTCCAGATGTCCCGCCTCCGCTCCCCTTGCTCCTTTTCCTACGCTGTGTCTCTCTCCCCCCACTTCAACACTTCCCACCTGTGCCTGCCGCACTGCACCGGGTCACTGCAGGATTGCTTAAGCTGATATTCTCCGTCTGTCCCCCCTCCCCTCCCCATCCTTACCCCCTCCCCCAATTCCTCCACTCCTCCCCATCCTCCCCCCGTACCTACCGCGCAGCATCGGGTCACTGCTGGGCTGTGAAGCGGATATTCTCCAGCTCGACGTTGTGGATGTGAAGATGGAATTTCTCTTGTAATTAGGTGCTCCTTTTTTAATGATTTTTTTTATTGCCGGTAATGCAATTTCATCTAGGTGTTCCATGATGCGCATCTTTATGTGTCCACTGCATGTTACAAGCCGCACTAAAAAAAAATGCGTTAAAATAACACGCATTTCATGCGCCCTTTAATCCTCATTCAACTACCATTAGGTAAATGTGCATGCAGTCTGAATGGGGGAAACAGTGCAGGGTTAGTGAGAGCACAATGCATAGAAGTGCTCATTAGAAAATCACAACCCTTATACTCGTTACAACTGGACGCCTTGTGTAATTTCACCGCATTGGAACCCTTCCATCGAACTAAACTGGTCTAGATAACGGCTTTGCGTACATACTACGGTACCGAGGCGGGAACCAAGTGAACATAATTTCTCCGCTTCCCGTAAATACTACGATATCAAGGCCATTCACTACACCCTGGGTGGGTAGCCCCTGCGCATCGAGCCGGCTACCGGTTCGTGCCAGGTCATATGATGTCGCGTCGCGGGTCGCGGCCTGATATTTCGTGTTGTTCGTTCATTGTTCGGTTTGCTCACTGCGGTTTATCGCTGCTCGCTACTGTACGGTTTCTCATGCCGTGATTTCCGTCTGGTCAGCCAAGCCAAACGCATGAGTGAGTGACTGTGCGCTCTCGAATGCCATTGGAAACGAGCTGGCCGAGACGAGCAAGACGCTCTCGAACGGTTGTCCCGGAAAATGGATTCGGTGAAGCGACTCTCAAGTGTCGTCGTGACAGCACAGCACACCCGCTTCTTCAATCTAAATAGAAATCCACTGGAACTGATGTCAAGTCTCTACGACCGCACGTCGTTCTCAGGCCTTTCACAGTCCAGACGCCATACCCTGACAGGCTGTTCCTCCTCAGAGCTTCTGTCATACTTCTCCATTTCCAGAAGCAACAAGGGAATAGTATTCCGTGCTCGTTCGTCGATCCTGTGCGTTCCTTTGTGCACGTCATCTCGTCGCATTCTGAGGCGTCTGTCGCACAGTGCTCGTCTGTCAAGGCGATCGTGAAAACTACTCCCACCGACACTGCACGACCCCCTGCGATCCCCAACCCTAACCCAGTTTTGGGGATTTGGGGGCCTCCAACATTCTTGGAGGACTTTGTTCGTAATAGCCTGTTACCACACTCGTATCTCGTCCATTGCGAGCGACATTCTGAGACAACAGATGCGACTTGCTAGTAATCTCACGCGAGCGTCAGGTTACGACCTATTTCAAAACAGCAACAGAGACTATTCCGTAATTTCATCCGAGCAACCTCAACACGGGGACTGATAATCTCGGACACAAGGTTGCTTCTCAATGCTATATGACCAAGTGGATTTGATATTTCATGTTATTTGTGGCTCAATCAACCTGACCTAGTAGTAGTAGAGGTATCTCCTCTTGTGGTGCAGAGCTGTGAGGGTAATACGAACTAGAATGGCAGGAACAGAGGTGGAGAGAGAGAATGAGCAAGCAGTTGGCAATGGGAAGCCCATGAAAGGCTTGCAATCCGCACAACATCATATCCATCTAGACCAGCATCAGCGTCAGCATCAGCAGCAACAGCTGCAGCAACAGCTGCAGCACATGAGAAACTTGCAAGCCGCACAACATCATATCCATGAAGACCAGCATAGGCGTCAGCATCATCATCATCAGCAGCAGCAGCAGCAGCAACAGCAGCATGGTTCAATGACGTCAGCATCTGCATCCAACGGAGGGGATCCACATGCTGCAGAGACGTCAGCCGCCTCACCATCAGGAGGGCATGCCGCCGCGTTGCTGACCTCAGCAGCGCCAGCGCCGATCAGCAAGAGACGTCACTCACTCATTCAACGCCATGAGGTGCTGTCCCTGATCGTTCCCACGTGCTACTATCCTTGATCATGCCATCTCCTGATGCTTCCAGTTTCAAATACCCTTATGCGACACCACTTGCCCTGTTACAACGCAAGATATTGAATACTAGTCGCACCCTCAGCTTCGTTGCTAGCACCCGCTGCCTAGAAGTCAAAGCAGCAGCCTGAAAGCCCTGAAATTCTCTCTTTCCGTTCTCTCCTGCTATTCTGTTTTGGTACCTCCCTACAGCGGCGCAATGGCTCGACTTCATTCATCGCCCTTGTCGTTTGCCTCCTGCTGGTATGAATGCAATCTACTTTTGAGACGCCTCAAAAGTAGACTCAAGGGCTCGACTCCATTCATCGTACTTGTCGTTTGCCTCCTGCTGGTATGAATGCTTCAATTCGAGGTGTCTTTGATTGGTGGTATAAGTTGTAAGTGCGTGGGTACGCAGAGGTTAAATGAAACACGTTTCAGGCATGCTGTTTTGCGGGTTCCTCAGAGAGTTTCCATCTCTCGAGTTCGACCTCTGTCTAATCTGCCGGGCAAGTGAGAAGGGCAACTAACTACCTTGTAGCACTTCGAATCAACCCCTGGCTCTACTGACCCACTTCTATTTCGGCTTTTGAGGCGCCTCAAAAGACTTCTGAGACATCTAGGAGTTTTTTGGCGACTCAACAGATATTCTTCGAGTCAACTCCAGTTGGCTCACCAAAACGGCCGCCAGTAGCCGAGAGCACAGCAGGCGCTACCAGCAAGCACGGCAACAGCTTTTGACGCGCCTAATAAATTGCTTCCGCCCACCCCTTGCCCTCTGCGTGCGTCCCCTGCAGCCCACTGCTCTCTCCAATAGCAGAGAGCTCAGCATCCCCTACCAGCAAGCACGGCAGCAGCTTTTGAGGCGCCTGAGAAGTTGTTCTCGCCCACCCCTTGCCTCTGCGTGCGTCCCCTGCAGCCCACTGCTCTGTCCAGCTCACCAACACGGCCGCCAGTAGCAGAGAGTACAGCAGCAGCTTTCAAGGCGCCTCAGAAGTTGTTTCCGCTCTCCCCTTGCCCTCTGCGTGCGTTCCGTGCAGCCCACTGCTCTGTCCGGCTCCCCAACACGGCCGCCAGTAGCAGAGAGCACAGCAGCCGCTACCAGGACGGACAGCAGCAGTGACAACAATGGCAGCAGTGGCAGCAATGGCAGCAGTGGCAGCAGTGTCAACAATGGCAGCAACAGCACGAGCCAAGAGAAGCTGCTGCCGTTTGTGCAGTTCTCCGCTTATCGAATCGCAGGCGATCAGTTTGCTCTCGTGGGATTGGCTGCTCGTGCCCTGGCCCATGGGAGAAAGGTGAGGGGGGGAGGGGAGGGGGGGGAAGGGGGGGGGGGGGAAGGGGGGGGGGGGGGGTGAGGATGGAGTGGGGGGGAGAAGTGTGTTTCTGAGGCGCCCAAAAAACGCTCTCGTGGGGGTGGGAGAAGAGGGGGGAAGTAGGTGATCACTGATCAGCCTGATATCTAATTTAATGTAATGTAGTGCGAGGTGTGCTGCTGTAGTGAGTTTTGAGGCGCCTCAAAACTCACCTCAAGGTAATGTAATGTAGTGCGATGCGAGGTGGTGCTGCTCTAGTGATTCGTGCAATGTATGCTGTCTCCTGTGGCGTGCAATGAAATGCAATGCATGCGTGCTGTTTCCCTCACATGATGTGCATGCAATGTGGCAGAGGGCAGGGCACAGTGTCTCTCGTCCCCGCTCATCATATGACATGCCATGCCATGCCACGTCCTTACACACATGCGGTTTTTCTTCACGTGCAATGCGGCAGTGGCCCACTGCCAGTGGGCACAGTGTCTCTCGTCCCCGCTCATCACGTGACATGCTGTGTCCTTGTTGCATACATGTGCTGCTGTGTTGCGTTCTGTGAAGTGAAGGTGGGCAATTGCGTGTGGGAGCCACGGGCGCCATTGGGTCAAGCAGGTGAAGCTGGTCAAGATGGTCAAGCGGGTCAAGCGGGTCAAGCTGGTCAAGCTGGTCAAGCTGGTCAAGCTGGTCAAGCTGGTCAAGCTGGTCAAACAGGCCAAGCAAGCCAAGCAGGGGGGCGGGATGAAGAGAGGAGGAAGCAGGAGTTGATGAAAGAGAGGAAGGGGGGGGAGAGGATGGAGGAGAGGGATGAAGTGAGGGTGGGGGATGATAAGAGGGAAAATTTGAGGGAGAGGAGGAGGTTGGAAGAGGTGGAGGTGGGTGGGAGGGAGTGGATACGTGGCAGTGTGAAGCAGCTACGCGTGGGAGAGCATCATTCGCTGAGATATGCCGTGCTCATTCTGATCTGCACTCTCAAGCGGTGCGTGGGTGTGGGTGAGAGTAATTTTGAGTCAACTCGGCAAGTCACTTAGATGATATGCCGTGCTCATTCTGCTCTGCACTCTCAAGCGGTGCGTGGGTGAAGTGCGAAGAATGTGAGAAAGAAAGAGGGAGGGAGCTTCTCAGGCCATGAGTCTCTGAGTTAGCTGGACTGTGTGTGTGTGTGTGTGTGTGTGTGTGTGTGTGTGTGTGTGTGTGTGTGTGTGTGTGTGTGTGTGTGTGTGTGTGTGTGTGTGTGTGTGTGTGTGTGTGTGTGTGTGTTTTCCGATTATCTATTCAAAATCAATGAGTGTCTTGAAATGGATGCGGGATCACTGGCTTAATCAATTGTACTGAATGCCTGGCTGGTGATGAGCCGACCAAAGACGAGTAAGCTATTCTTGAGAATTCTACAAAATCGCTCAAAATGGATGCGTGAGCGCCTGCATGATCAATTGTGCTGAATGCCTGGCTGGTGACGGCGGAAGCCGTGTAAGCTGAAGCCTGAACTCCACGAGAGGGTACCACAGGTGATCGATGGCGCCCTTGTCAAATTTATCAAGCCGGCAGCGGAGTAAGGAGGTGGGTAGCACCGGTCCCAGGTCCTGTCCTCCTGTACGTCTCAAAACTCAATGGGGCCCTTGTCAAATTCATCGAGCACGCAGCGGAGTAAGGAGGTGGGTAGCACCGTTCCCATGTCCTGTCCTCCTGTACGTTCCACCTCCCAAATCCGATGCGGTGTGTTGCACTGCAGGGAAACACATGCAGGGGGGGGAGGCAGGCTGCACATGGGCATGGAGGGGGAGGACGTGGTGGTGTATGAGGAGCAGCTGGGAGCCTTGGTGTTTACTGTGCCCTGTGCCCTGTGTCCCATGCTCCGTGCCCTGTGTCCCATGCTCCGTGCCCTGTGTCCCATGCTCCGTGCCCTGTGTCCTATACTCTGTGTAATACAAACCAGGGAAACACATGCAGGGGAGGGAGGCAGGCTGCACATGGGCATGGAGGGGGAGGACGTGGTGGTGTTTACTGTGCCCTGTACCCTGTGCCCTGTGTCCCATGCCCATGCCCTGTGCCCTGTGCCCTGTGTCCCATGCCCATGCCCTGTGCCCTGTGTCCCATGCCCATGCCCATGCCCTGTGCCCTGTGTCCCATGCCCATGCCCATGCCCATGCCCTGTGCCCTGTGTCCCATGCCCATGCCCATGCCCATGCCCATGCCCATGCCCATGCCCATGCCCTGTGCCCTGTGTCCCATACCCATGCCCTGTGTGACACACTGCAGGGAAACGCACGTGGCAGGGGGAGGCAGGGTGCACATGGGCATGGAGGGGGAGGACGTGGTGGTGTATGAGGAGCAACCGGGGGAGGTGGTAACTGCCATGACGCATGCCCCGTTCCTCTACAACATCACGCACTGCTCTCCCCCCATCCACGGCCAGGTATGTTACTCCCTTCCCCAAACTTCCCTCCCCCTTTTACCCTTCCCCTCAACAAGGTATTTTTTAGGCGCCTCGACTTTTCTTTGAGGCGCCTTTTGTAGAGGCGCCCCAAAAAATCCCTCCCTTGTCCCTTCTTTACCCTTCCCCTTTACAAGGTAGGCTCCAAGCCCTCGGGGTATGCTCATCCTTCCACCCTTCGTTTAGGGATTTTTTTTTGAATTCTTTGAGATTTGTTTGAGAATTCTTTGAGATTTTTTAAGAATTCTTTGAGATGTTTTTTTTTTTTTTTTCTCTCTCTCTCTAAAAAAATCCCTGCAACATCAAGGTAGGCTCCAAGCCCTCGGGGTATGCTCATCCTTCCATCCTTCGTTCATCTACAACACTCACATACCGCTCTTGTTTCTCTTGTCCTTCTCTCAGTCTTCTATCATCCTTCTCCAGTCATTCTCCCGGCCTTGTCGTGTGTATTACCGCACCCGCCCATGACGAAAAAAAGCACGGTTCTTTCCTATGTGACATGTGGCCGTTGGATCGGCTGTGAGGCATGCTCTGGGACATGTGGATGGATGGGGGGGCATGGGGCGTGGAACCTGGGGGCATGTGGATGGGGGGGCATGGGGCTTGGAACCTGGGCGCATGTGGATGGGGGGGCATGGGGCTTGGAACCTGGGCGCATGTGGAAGGGGGGGCATGGGGCTTGGAACCTGGGGCCATGTGGATGGATGGGGGGGCATGGGGCTTGGAACCTGGGGCATGAACGTGCTGCATGCATGGGCCCATGGTTTCGCTTCAGGTGAGCACGGAGCGCATCTACCAGTGGATGGATGGATGACATGAGTGTCGAATCAAAGGTTACATCCTTGCATGCGGCCATGCATTCATGCAGGTTAGCACGGAGCGCATCTATCAGTGGATGGATGTGCACATACGCATGGGAGTGGAATGGACCACTTTAAGGTCTAAGATAGAGTTGAGCATTTGGCCCGCACGGGTCGGGCTAACCCGACCCGACCCGTGGTTTAGCCCGGGTCGGGTCAGGGTTTCCATAGGTGTGCCCCGTACGGGCTGACCCGACCCGACCCGGGCATAAACCCGACCCGTGAGCCCAGTTCGGGCCGGGTCGGGCCGAGTCTCGGGCCTAGCTCGGCCCGACCCGAAATCGGGTCAAATTTGACGATTTCGGGTCGGGCCGAGCGCGCGACCCGATTTCGACAATTTTGGGCCGAAACCCTAACACAAAATGAAATCGAGGGGATTTTTTCCCCGTCGATTTCAAACCGTCACCCTAGCTCCAGAGCGATTAGACTGCCTTCTATGGCACCTTACCTACCTCCGCGCTTAGGATAGGGCCCACGAAATCTGATATACTTATGTTCCTACCTTCATGGAGTAGTTTAGGGATGACAGTGGGATTTCTAGCTAGTGTTAAGTATGGTGTTTCAAGCACATATAGAATCGCGTTTCCCTAGTGTAGTCTCGTTTTACACGCATAAAACAGCATCAAAGAAGCACGAATAGCTGCAATGGCGCGTAGCAAGTAACACTGCATCATTTCGTATTGGAGATTAGGGGCTGCACCCAGGGTGTCGTGGCGGCCGCGAGCAAACGTTCAGGCGCCAGTCATTGTGCGCGTGTTAACACCTAGGAAAATGTCAGAAACAAACAGTGAACCGGCCAGCAGCAGGGCCATCCCTGGAGCCTCACTCGCCGTGCTCGGAATCCCATCCTTCGGGGGGGAGGGATTCCAGTTGGGGCAGCTCTCCCCTGGTAAAGACCCTGCTGCCCACGAAGAGGCCATTGTAGCGAGGCGGGCTTCGGAGAACCAGCGATGGCTGGAGGCTCAAGACAAACTGCTGGCAGATGCTCGTTTGTCTCCTGAAGAGCGACGTGACCCGACGTGGCGGCCGGGGAATGCGGTAGTAACAGCTGCAAGTGACAGCGAAAGCGATGACGAAGGGGGGGGGGCCCGGGCGGGCCATAAGAGAGCGCGCGGGGGTGGGCCGAGTGGTGCAGGTGGGGCTAATGCTTCAGCCGAGTCTGCACCAGACGCTGGTGCCCCTGCTGCTGCCGCTGCAGCTGCCCCCGCTGCTGGTGCTGCCGCCACTGGTGCCGCTACCGCTTCTGCTGCTGCTCCTTCTGCTTCCCGGCGTGTGCCCGCTGCTACTGCTGCTCCGCGTCCGCGCGCTGCTGCTGCCGCTGCCGCTGCTGCTGCGCATGTTGGAGGTGGGCGCGCTGTTGGTATTTCGTGGGCCTCCATCAATGCGATGCGAGAGGCCAACCAGAAGCCATCCGCAGCACAGTTGGATCCTATAGTGGAGAGCGCTCTGAAGAGGGGTGAGCCAGGTTTGGTTAAAGGTATGTTTGGGCCAGTGGACAACGAGGCCAGGCGATGCAGTACCTGCAACTCGTTGATCAAGTGGAAGCAAGGAAACACGTCTTCGGGGGCTAGGCACTTGACGAGGAAGCACTATCCTAGCCTGCAGATTTGGGTCCGTCGCTTCATAGACCCGAACAAGGAGAAAGGGCTAGTATTTCCGGACAGGGGTTGGGGACCTACGGTACCTGATCAGACCAAATAGCCATGGGAGCACGCTGACACATGGCCTGACATTCCAACAGGCCGGGAGGGGGGAGGTCCGAGCGGGGTGACTGGAGCCGGCGTTGGGGGTGGGGGGCAGACCACCATCGACCAGTATGTTACGGCGCGCGTCGGAGAGCGGCAGCTGCGTGAGGGGCTGGTGATGTTGTTTGCTGGCCTCGACTTGCCGTTCCGATGTGTCTCGATCCCTGCGGTAAGATCCTTTTCTGTCACTCTTGTACCTTTGCTCGTGGGTGTTGTATTGTGTACCCACATCCAGTAACCACTACCCTAAATCCACCCACCGACCCACTTATGTGCTCTTCCCCATACCAGTTCCGTGACTTCGTCGCGCTGTTGAACCCCGATGCGGCGCGACATCTCGGCACACGTTGGCGCTTGGCACGTGACCTGCTCGCCTCTGGCGAGGCCGCAACGGCTCAGCTTAAACAGATGGTGACAGGCGACGGACTGGCGGGGAGGGTGACACTCACCACTGACATTTGGACCAGCGAGAACAAGATCGCGTTCATGGTGGTAACAGCTCACCGTCTCACCGCGGACTTCAAGCTCCAGCAGATGGTTATCGACTTCAGGCCGTTGGAGGGCTCCCACACGGGAGAAAAGATTGCGACAGAGTTGGAGGCGGTCATTCGGGAGTGGGGGTTGGGTGACTTGTTCTTCGGCGTTACCACCGACAACGCGGAGAACAACAACCGGGCGGTGCGCCTGCTGGCCGGTGTCAAGGACAACATACCGGGGTCACGGCCGCGTGACCCCCCCCTGCTGTCCCTGTCTCGGCACTTCAGGTACGTTTCATGCTGTACTTCTTGTGTGTCTTGTGACATACCTTGCTTTCTTCGGAACACCCTAGACCCACTCTCATTTTCGATGCTGTGTGCCTCTCCTTATGGACTTGCTTGCCCCCCAGGTGCGTGGCCCATGTTTTGAACCTCGCCGTGCAGCTTGCCCTGGCGGTTGACACAGTTGCTGAACCGCTCAAGAGGTTGCGAGCTGTGGCCCACCACATTGGGTGGTCAGTTCAGCGATCGGAGCGGTTCTTTGACATCCAGAAACGGTATGCGGCGACCCTGGCGGGGAGGGCGACGGGGGAGGGAACAGCAGAGGGAGGGGGGCAGGCGGCGACGGAAGTGGGAGGCACGCGGCGGAAGGTACCAGTTGACTTGCGCCTGATAGTCGACTCGGACACGCGCTGGGGTTCCACGCTGGAGATGGTGATCAGGGGGTTGGCGCTGTGCATTCCTCTCACGATGTTCTTCGATGAGACTACTGTAAGTATTATCGCTTGGCGTAGGTGGTGTGATGGGCTAGCAGCATCACTTGTACAGATTTTTCATTTACAATGGCCCCTCCAGGGCAACCGCCCCCCCCCCCCCCCCCCCTACCCGCGTCAAACTACCTCCCTAAACCCCAACCCGTTTCCCTCTACAACCCGTTCCACTGCCCCCTTCCCAGCCCGGCATCTCCAAAGAGACACGCGAACAATGGGCGAAGATCAGGCTGTCCGATGCGCACTGGGCATCTCTCAGGGAGCTGCGTGATTTTCTCGAGCCCTTTGATGCTATCACCCTGTTCGTGGAAGGGTCATTGTACCCCACCATGGCAGGTGTTGTTCCCCAGTACAACATGCTGCTAGATATCCTGGACAAGGCTTTGACGCTACCTGGGCTCACGCCGCTGCAGGAGGAGCTGACCAAAGCGGCAGTAAGCAAGTTGGAGCGCCACATGGGGGGGGTGAGCGAGGAGGCAGCGATTGCCACCTTCCTCGATCCGCACCTCAAGACCGCGCCTTTCAAGCTCAGGCAGCGATCGGCGCGGGCGCCCATTGTGGTGGAGGCGGGGGGGCATGCCAGGGGGGCCCGGACACTCGACCTGAGTGAGGAGAGGGTGAAGGCGCTGGTACGACAGCGCCTTCCGCCGTACCAGGCAGCGGCCCGTGCAGCTGCAGAGGCACGCCTTGGGGGTGAGGTCACTAGCGCGAGGGGAGTGGCGGGACAGGGCGAGGCTGCAGTGCCCGCGGCTACAGGGCGTAGGGGGGCTAGGTCACGTGGCGTGCTCGACTTTCAGGCTATGCTGCAACAAAGTCTGGCAGAGATGGAGGCAGAGGAGGGGGTGCAGACACAGGACGAGGTTGACCAGTACTTGGCAGAGATGAGGCAGGTTGGTGGGTGTTCCTTGGCGTACTGGCGCGGGAGGGAGGAACATCTGCCCGGGCTTAGAGGCATGGCACGCGATTATCTGGCTATTCCTGCCACCTCTGCAGCGAGTGAGCGCGCCTTCAGTCAGAGCAGGAACATCGTCTGGTGGCAGAGGCACCGTCTGAGCCCACAGCAGATGCGAGCGGCCATGATGATCAAGACATGGGCGGATCACCATGAAGGGCAAAGGATTGAGATCCGTGGCTCCCCTACCACACTGGCAGAGCTGTGCATTGAGGCTGAAAATCTTGGCTTGTGATTGGCAGAGGTTTGCTTGTGCTAGGTTGGGGTTTCCGCACCAGACTGATTGTTTGCGAACCCCTACCCTCCAAAACCTTACTGACTGGATTCGTTGTAGGAGTAGAGACTATTTTTGTGCAGGAAACTTCATAATGTGTTTGGTTACATTGCATACATCCAGTCTGGCTGGTCGTAACATGACACAATTGACGTCTACATTAAATTGAGGATTGTTTCGTTTTACACCCTGCAACACCCCATATGACACTATCAATGACCACCCGAACTGGGTAACTGGGTTACTGGGCTGGTAAGTGGGCTGGTGGGTGGATGGGTGACTGGGCTGGTAAGTGGGCTGGTTGGTGGGTGCCTGCTATCATTGGCGGGTCAACCCTGACCCGACCCGACCCGACCCGTACCCGGGTCCACCTTGACCCGAGTATGAAGGCCCGGGTCGGGCCGGACCTCCCAGGATCCTGGCCCGCGCCTGGCCCGACCCGACCCGACCCGCGAACCCGCCTGGCTCGCCCAGTTCGGGTCGGGTCGGGTCGGGGACCCCTCGCGTCATCCTTTTAAAACTTGTGCAATTTGGGCTTCCGGCTTTAATAGAATCCTGAGCTGCCTTATAGGAATTATCAGGTCAGGTGATGTTTTGGGAATTTCAGGTGTTTTTCTAACATCAGGTGGTTTTTGAGAAATCAAAAAACCCTTCTATGTTGGCTTTCTCTCTCTGTATCGTCTTTCTCTGCCACTGCCATTCTCATCCCTGCTCTTTGCAGCCGTTACTGGATGGAGGAATAGCAGAGATCACGGATTTTCGTGACTTGCTGAATTATGAGTCTTGGTATTATGGCCAGGTGAGGGATGCACAGTGATGCACAGGGGAACCAACTCTGAGAAGTTTAACCACGAAAAGACTGCCGGTCGGTTGTTGTATGCGTGGTGACCGAAAACGTGTTTGTGTCACACACTAGGGTTCAAACGCAAATCCCTCACCTCTGGACCGGGAAAATGCTTGTCCGTGCAGCGTCAATAGTATATTAGGGCCGCGTGATTACATAATCCCTAATTGGCAAAGATGGATTTGAGCACGAAGTTTGCGAGTTGTACGGCGTCGTTTCGCTATTCATTAACCATGAGAAGGCTGTCGGTCGATTGATATATGCATGCATGTGATGTGATTATTGCTGCTGTCCTCCATCGCTCCTTTCTCCTTCCCCACTTCCCTTCCCTCATCAAACTTCTCTTCTCTCCGCCCCACCAGGTGATGATAGTGAACGACTGTGTGTTTCGCTTCCGCCACCTCTCCAAGTGGATCATGTACCTTGACTTTGACGAGTTCATGTTCATTGCTGGCCAGGTAAGAATCATCAATCAATCATCTCATCCATCCATCCATTCATCCATCCCTCCATCCATCCCTCCATCCCTCCATCCATCCATCCATCCATCCATCCATCCATCCATCCATCCATCCATCCATCCATCCATCCATCCATCCATCCATCCATCCATCCATCCATCCATCCATCCATCCATCCATCCATCCATCCATCCATCCATCCATCCATCCATCCATCCGGGAGCGCATCCCCATGCATCTCAATGCACCCATCTTATGCCCCACAAGGGCATGCCTTGTGAGGGCATGCATGCCATATGAGGGCATGTATGCCTTGTGAGGGAATGCCTTATAGATGTTTTCTCCATCAATCCTGTCCCCCCATCCCTCCAGGAGCGCATCCCCACGCCTCTCAACGTGCACGGATTTCTCACGCCCTATGCGCTGTCTCCACCTCTTCATCACCGCTCTCCCCCATCTCCCTAATCTCCCTCCAGGAGCGCACCCCCACGCCCCTCAACGTGCACGACTTCCTCATGCCATACGAGGGCATGGCCTACGTCACCCACGGGTGTCTCTTGTGGAACTTCCACGTCTGCCTGCCCTCCCAAGGCGATAACGGTACGTGGTGATTGGTTGGAACTGTTTCTGCTGGGGAACAGAGCAGGCACTACCGAATTTGAGGTTGGGCCTGTCTGTTCTCCTCTCCATACGAGGGCATGGCCTATGTCACCCACGGGTGCCTCTTGTGGAACTTCCACGTCTTCCTGCGCTCCCAGGGCGATAACGGTAAGTGGTGCTTCGGTTGGAAGGATTGCTGCTGGGGAGCGGGTGGTACTAGCGATGCCTATGAGGTCCGGCCTGTGCCTAACCAGCCTATGTCACCAGCAGGTGCCTCTTGTGGAACTTCCATCTCTGCCTGCCCTCCCAAGGCGATAACGGTATGTGGTGATTCGGTTGGAGGTGCTGCTGCTGGGGAGCAGGCAGGCAGTACCAGCTGTGAGGTTGGGTCTGTTCGTGACCAGCCTATTCATTGATAGGGACAAAAGTAGAGACAGGTGCATCCTATGGGATGCGACTATATCTACTGCCTGCCCTCTCCAGGCAAGAACTGTACGTACGGGACAAGTGCCAATGCTCAGACCAGCCTATTCATTGATAGGGACAAAAGCAGAGACGGGTGCATCCTATGGGACTACCGCTAGCTACTGCCTGCCCTCCCAAAGCGATAACGGTATATGATAATTCGGTTGGAGGTGCTACTGCTGGGGAGCAGAGCAGGCAGAATCAGCCATGGGGTTGGGCCTGTTTCTAACCGAGCTATATCATTCGTAAATGTCTCTTGTGGAACTTCCATCTCTGCCTGCTTTCCCAAGGCGATAACGGTTCGTGGTGATTTGGTTGGAAGGATTGCTGCTGGGGAGCAGGCATTACCGGCTACAAGGTTGGGCGTGTTCCTGACTGCGCATTTGGTGAAGGCAGTGCGTGGTTTGCCCTGTTTGTGACTGCCTTCTGTCAGCCACAGAAGCCACTCTTCATAATTCTCGAGAGTGATTCGCATACCCATGTTGCAGACTGCCTTATGAGTCACTCTCATAGTGACTATATCAGTCAAGCCACGAACCTGAGGTGACCTTTGGAGCGCATGCTGTGGCACTCCGTCCCTGCTGTGCCTGCTTTTTTCTGCTTCCGTCCTCTCCTCATCTCCTCTTTCAATTCCACTAGCAGACCCCAGGTGGCCGCTTGAGCGCATGCGGTGGCACTGCGTGCTGACCCTTTAGTCCTTTCTTTTCCTCATCGCCCCTTCTTCATCCGCCCTTTTCCACTGCAGACCCCAGGCGGCCGCTGGAGCGCATGCTGTGGCATGAGCCGTGGATCTTCTGTAGAGCCAGGGGCGACCGGACCAAGCCCTGTGTCCGTTTCTTCTTCTCCTCTTCCAACCACAGACCCCAGGTGGCCGCTGGAGCGCATGCTGTGGCATGAGCCGTGGATCTTCTGCAGGAGTGATGCCAACAACACCAACCCCACCATGTGCCTGCTAGCCCTTCGTCCATCTGCTACCTTTATCTCTTCGTCACCTCGTCCGTTCAACCACAGACCCCAGGTGGCTGTTGGAGCGCATGCTGTGGCACTGCTTGCTGCTGCACCAAACCCTTTAGTCCGTTCTTTTCGCCATCGCCCCTTCTTCATCCGCCTTTTCCCATTTAGCAGATCCCAGGTGGCCGCTGGAGCGCATGCTGTGGCATGAGCCGGGGATCTTCTGCAGGGGTGATGCCAACAACACCGACCCCACCATGTGCCTGCAATCCCCCGGCCATCGCAAGCTGTTTGTGGATCCCAGAAGGGTGAGCTCTCTCACCTGCGTGCGTGCGTGCATGCGAGCTCGCGTGCATGCTTTCTTGTTTGGAGGCGCCGTCGCAAGCTGTTTGCGGATCCCAGAAGGGTGAGCTCTCTCACCTGCGTGCGTGCGTGCATGCGTGCGAGCTCGCGTGTGTGCTTTCTTGTTTGTAGGCGCCTCAAAAGTCGCAAGCTGTTTGCGGATCCCAGAAGGGTGAGCTCACTCGCCTGCGTGCCTGCACGCATGCATGCGTGCGTGTGTGCGTCCTTCCCTGTTTTGAGGCCTGAGATGTCTCAAAACTGCGTTCGTGCATGCGTTCCTGTTTTGATGCACCTCAAAAGTCGCAAGCTGTTAGCAGATCCCAGACGGGTGACCTCTCATTCCCCTACCTGCGTGTGTGCGTGCTTGTTCGCTCGCCTACGTGGGTGCTTGCTTTCTTGCTTGCTTGTTCACTCGCCTGTGTGCGTGCGTGCTTGCTTGTTCGATCTCCTCTGTGTGTGCGTGCTTGCTTGCCTGTTCTGTTAAAACATCCCACCCCTCTGATCCTCTCAACTCCTCCTACCCTCCACCTTCCTATGCCCCAGGTGCAAATGGTGGTGAACCATTGGGTGCAACTACCCCTTACGGTCGGCATAGACCTATCTACAGACATTACTTTTGAGGCGCCTCAAAAGGGAATTCCTTCTACCCTCCACCTTCCTGTGCCCCAGGTGCAAATGGTGGTGAACCATTGGGTGCAACTACCCCATACGGGCGGCATAGACCTGTCTACGGACATTCTCAGGCATGACCACTTCCATGTGAGTGCCCTGTGGCCTCCTTAGGTTTTAAGGTTTAAGGTTTCTGGTTCAAATGATGACTTTTTGAACAGCAGCCCTCTATCTACGGACATGCTCAGGCATGACCACTTCCATGTGAGTGCCCCTGTGGCGTCCTTGCGTTCTTTAAGGTGCCTCAAAAGTAGTCAGGAACCCCTCACGAGCGGTATAGTCGTCCGTCCACGGACATGCTCAGGCATGACCACTTCCATGTGAGTGCCCCTGTGGCGTGCTTGTGTTTCTTGAGGTGCCTCAAAAGTAGTCAGGAACCCCGCACGGGCGGCATAGACCTGTCCACAGACATTCTCAGGCATGACCACTTTCATGTGAGTGCCCCTGTGGCGTCCTTGCGTTCAAATGATGACCTCTTGAACAGCAGCCCTCTGGCCACAGACATGCTCGTGAGAAACAGATTGGAGAAACAGACAACTCGCCTGCTCATGTCAAGCCAAAGTTGTGTGTCAAAATTACGCGATCTCGACGTATTGCACAAAAACGCTATCATTGTTTGCGATAGTTTTTGCAGGCTGTACAAAAAAAAAATGCGACCATCGTTTTATGAAAGTCCCCTTTGTTGTATGTGTTTCTGCATTCTTTGAAATAACTTTGTATTCGACTCAAAAGTCGCCTTCTTGCTATTCACTTATCACGACGAGACTTTCGGCTGGCGAATATATGTGTATATATGCTTCTGTGTGAATATTGCTGCACTCCTCCATCTCCCCTTTCTCCTTTTCCACATCCTTTCCCTCATCAAACCTCTCTTCTCTCCGCCCCACCAGGTGATGATAGTGAACGACTGTGTGTATCGCTTCCGCCACCTCTCCAAGTGGATCATGTACCTTGATTTTGACGAGTTCATGTTTATCCATGGCCAGGTAAGCACACACATACCACCCACTTCTTTCTCCGCTTGTGGATCATGTAATGTACCTTCACTTCGACAATTCATATTTATTGATGCCAGGTAAGCAACTCACACAGGTAAGTAACCCTCCCACTTCGTTTTCTCCAAGTGGATCATGTACCTTGACGTCGACAAGTTCATGTTTATTAATGGCCAGGTAAGCACACTAATACCCCACTCCTTCTACAACTTCGCGTTGACTTGTGCTCTAGCAGATTGTGCACCCCACGCCTCTCGGTGGGCATGTCTTGAGGCGCCTCAAAACTAGACCTCAAAACGAGGCACCTCACAGTGTGCACCACCTCCTCATGCCTTCTAAGGCCATGTCGGTCTTATGAAACGGACTCTCCACCTTATGACCCATTTCCTCCTCCCTCTCTCCCCCACACACATTTCTGCGTAATCTTTCTCCAGGAGAGCATCCCCGCGCCTCTCAACGCGAATCCCCCCCCCCCCCCCCACACCCCCCGCCCACGCCGCCGCCTTTCCCCCCCTTTCCATCCCTCCAGGGGCGCATCCCCGCGCCTCTCAACGTGCACACACCACCTTCTCATAACCCCCTCCATCTCCCCCCCCCCCACACCCACACTGCATGTCTCCAGGAGCGCATCCCCACGCCTCTCAACGTGCACGACTTTCTCATGCCATACGAGGGCATGACCTACGTCAGCCACGGATGCCTCTTGTGGGACCACTATCGCTGCCTGCCCTCCCAAGACAATAATGGTACGTGGTGATTCGGTTTGGGAGTGCTGCCGCTGGGGAGCAAGCAGAACTGGCGGCTACGAGGTTGGGCCTGTTCCTGACTGCCTATGTCAACCACGGATGCCTCGTGTGGGACCACTATCGCTGCCTGCCCTCCCAAGGTAATGATGGTACGTGACCTCGCTTGATTACGCACTCTCGTGCGCACAAGGCAGTATAGGCATATATGTCTTACGAGTGCAATTGGACGAGCAAACGAGTATTCCACTAAGGGCTCAAAGTAAACTACAAGTGTGAGTAGGCATGAGCAAGAGGCGGAAACAAACATGTTCGTGCTCGCCCTTGGTCGAACATGTCTGCTTTTGAGTCGACTCAAAAGCACACGAACATGTTCGTGCCCGCCCTTGGTCGAACATGTCACCTGGGCGAACCGAACATGTTGGAGCAAGGCCTGAAGTACAAACAAGGCTGGGTTGAGCAAGGCTAGGGAATGGATGGGATGGGAATCTAGCCAAATTTCCAATGGTGAGTTGGCATTTTGGTTGGATTACGGGGGAATTCCAACCAGATAAGGTTGAGGTTACAAGTTTACACTCAACCTACAAAATTACCTACGGGATAGAAAATATACTGCACAAAATGTTGACAGCCTATTCTTAACACGTTTTGCAGTGTCGTACGTAGGGAGAACTCGTGCGAGGTAGAAATATATGTAAATATATTCTACAATATGTCTCATCTCATACGTTGTTCAGAATCCCGACTCTTCATGCCCGAGTGGAATTCCTCTAGATTAAAGTTCTCGGCGTTGTTGCCTGGGACAATGAATATTGTAAGACGGTTTGACATGTATAGACGAGGGATGAGTCAACCAGCTCACCTTGAATGAGATCCAAGTGAATTGGTGATGGGTGGAGCTTAGTTTTGAGACGTCTCAAAAATAGGTGAACTGGTGGTGGGTGGAGCTTAGCAACTGGTGGGGTGAAAACCCCATAAGGTGTTGGAGTGCAAATTGTGGCACTGCCTGCTGCTGTGGCACTGCCTGCTGCTGTGGCACTGCCTGCTGCTGTGGCACTTCCTGCTGCTGTGGCACTGCCTGCTGCTGTGGCACTGCCTGCTGTGGGTGGCACTTCCTTCCTCCCTCCGTCCTCTCTTTCGTCCCAACCACAGACCCAAGGTGGCAACATGAGCGCATGCTGTGGCATAAGCCGGAGATGTTTTGTAAAGCTAAAGACAACAACACCAACCCCACCATGTGCCTGGGCCACTATGGTCATCGCAAGCTGTTTGTGGATCCCAGAAAGGTGAGTTCACTTGCCTGCGTGCGTGCGTGTGTGTGCGCGTGCTTGCTTGTTCGCTCCCCAGTGCGCGTGCTGCTTGTTCGCTCCCCAGTGTGTGTGCGTGCTTGCTCGGGAGTGCTGCTACCTGATGTCTAGTTGACTTAAGAACTACCATGTGTTTGGGCCACAATGGTCATCGCAAGCTGTTTGTGGATCCCAGAAAGGTGAGTTCACTCACCTTCTGTGGCGCCTCAAAACCTTTTAAGAAGACTTTTAAGGCGCCTCGTAAAAACAACAACACCGAGCCCACTATGTGCCTGGGGCACTATGGTCATCGCAAGCTGTTTGTGGATCCCAGAAGGGTGAGCTTAGGGGAAATCTCAAAAGCCTAAGAAGTTGTTTGAGAGTTTTCGGTTCATGAACCCAGTGGAAGCACACATCTTTTTCCTCTTCAAATTTCTCACCTTCTGATCCACTCAACTCCTCCTACCCTCCACCTTCCACCTTCCACCTTCCTGTGCTGCAGGTGCAAGCAAGTGGTGACAACCCATGGGCCGTGCCTGGTAAGCGGGAGTTCAGGAACCCAGAGGAGGGAGGCACCTTGTGTTGAACCTTCTCTTCTCGCTCTCTCTCACCCTTTGATCCCTCCACCAACTTCCTGTGCCACAGGTGCGAGCAGTGACGGTCCATGCGGTACAGGAACCCAGGACAGGCGGCATAGACCTGTCTACGGACATTCTCAGGCACAACCACTTCCATGTGAGCGCAATGTGGCGTCCTTGCATTCAATTCAACTGGTGACCTTCTTGAACAGCAGCTCCTTGCCCCACCCACTGTCATTCTCGGGCACGACCACTCCCAAGTGGTGACCTCTTGAACAGCGCCCCCCTGTCTGTCCACAGACATGCTCATGCGCCACCGCTTTGGGGCGCCACTGCTTTGCTGCGCCACTGCTTTGCTGCGCCACTGATTTGCTGCGCCACTGCTTTGCTGCGTCTTCTGCCACCTTAGTGCTCATGCTGGTTGAGTGGTCTGACATTCTTTTACTCATACGACTTTTGAGGCGCCTACAAGTGCGGTGTCGTCTGCCATCTTAGTGCTCATGCTGATGATCTGATGACCTGATGATCTGATGATCTGGCATTCTTTTACTCATATCTACCTCTCTTGATCCCCCCAGGGCCTGATCAGGCAGGGCCTCCTCGAGTGCTCGCTGATACTGAAGGAGCACAGCAACACAACAGAGGACCCCAGATTCAACTGATTTCTGTTGACACTCGTTGACTTGTGTTGACTTGTTTCTCAGAACCTGATCAGGCAGGGCCTCCAGGAGTGCTCGCTGATACTGACGGAGCACGACAACACAGCAAAGGATCCTGTGTGTTAACCAGCTGACCTCTGTTGACTTTCGTTGACTTTTGCTGACCTGTTTCTCAGAACCTGATCAGGCAGGGCCTCCACGAGTGCTGGCTGATACTGACAGAGCACGACAACACAACCGATTGGTTGGGGGGGCGAGAGGAGGCGGACAGAATGCAATACGTGCGCACTCACCCCCTCGACATGCAATACCTCGTTGCGGCACACAGGGTGAGTGGTTCGAGACAGACGATTCGTCATACTCCATGTGTATTCCCAAGGGGCAGATGAGAGGAGGCGGACCGAATGACCCCCTCGACGTGCAATACCGTGTTGCAGCACACAGGGTGAGTGGTTCGAGACAGACGATTCGTCATACTCCATGTGTATTCCCAAGGGGCAGATGAGAGGAGGCGGACCGAATGACCCCCTCGACGTGCAATACCGTGTTGCAGCACACAGGGTGAGTGGTTCGAGACAGACGATTCGTCATACTCCATGTGTATTCCCAAGGGGCAGATGAGAGGAGGCGGACCGAATGACCCCCTCGACGTGCAATACCGTGTTGCAGCACACAGGGTGAGTGGTTCGAGACAGACGATTCGTCATACTCCATGTGTATTCCCAAGGGGCAGATGAGAGGAGGCGGACCGAATGACCCCCTCGACGTGCAATACCGTGTTGCAGCACACAGGGTGAGTGGTTCGAGACAGACGATTCGTCATACTCCATGTGTATTCCCAAGGGGCAGATGAGAGGAGGCGGACCGAATGACCCCCTCGACGTGCAATACCGTGTTGCAGCACACAGGGTGAGTGGTTCGAGACAGACGATTCGTCATACTCCATGTGTATTCCCAAGGGGCAGATGAGAGGAGGCGGACCCAATGACCCCCCTCGACATGCAATACCTCGTTGCGGCACACAGGGTGAGTGGTTCGAGACAGACGATTCGTCATACTCCATGTGTATTCCCAAGGGGCAGATGAGAGGAGGCGGACCGAATGACCCCCTCGACGTGCAATACCGTGTTGCAGCACACAGGGTGAGTAAGTGGTTGGTGGTTGGATAGAGACAGCCTCACCTCACATAATGCACGTGCATGTCATGGGAGAGAAAGCTATACGTGCGCACCCACCCCCTCGACATGCATCACCCCCTTGTGTCCATCCCTCCATCCATCCATCCCTCCATCCATCCCTCCATCCATCCATCCATCCATCCATCCATCCATCCATCCATCCATCCATCCATCCATCCATCCATCCATCCATCCATCCATCCATCCATCCATCCATCCATCCATCCATCCATCCATCCATCCATCCATCCATCCATCCATCCATCCAGCCACTCACCCACCCATCCGCCCATCCACCCATCCACCCATCCACCCATCCACCCTTCCACCCGTCCACCCGTCCACCCGTCCGTCTATCCATACATACATACATAGCGCACCTGATTTGTTTATCAATCTTTAGTATGGGTGATTGTGCGTTGTGCTTCCCTTGTGCTGTTTGTGGCCCAGATGTGGAGAGAGTATGCACTAAAGACACATCAAGGCAACTAGTGGTGTCATTGGCTGGTGGATCAGTTTGGACATATTCAGTGCGGCGCAACGAGTGGGGGGGGGGGGGGAAAGGGGGGTGTACTAATTGAGTCAGATGTTACGATGTACCCTGCCCCGATGATATGTTTATTACTATGTTATTATTATTATTATTATTATTATTAATGTTATTATTATCATTAGTATTATTATTATAATTATTATTATTATTATTACTACTATTATTATTATTAGTATTACTATTATTATTATTATTATTATTATGACTAAGCGTATGGTACTAGGTACAAAGTTTCTGTGAGCAACTTCAGCGAGAAAGATGACTGCAACAACCATTTATACGGTATGACAACCAAGGAGAGAACCATGTTTGTGCTCTTGCAGCACGCTAACCATTTCAGCCAATCGGGGCACAGATGCCCTACAGCGGGCCAATGCCCCTATCGTATTTGAACGACATTGTCCTGAAATCCTGCTGACAATCAACCTGGATACACGTCCTCCTTCCGCTCGCACCCTGTTGACGAAGCTTGCTGCGTTGCTAGGCCCATCACCATAGATTACAGCTGAACACTTGATGATTAGTGTAGAAAAAAGGAATTCTAAGGTTGGGCTGCAGACTCCGCTACAGGCCTTGGTGTGTCCTCAGCACATACTCTCTCCACCACTGCATTGCAAACATCACAATGAAACGCACGACGGACGCATAAAACTTAGTCAAAGATAAACCATGAGCATGATGGCGATGCACTCCGTGTGCATGAGGTACGGTATACCACTATGGTGCACTAGGAGAATGATCGGAGAATGGTACGGAGGCACATCGCAGAACAGATGGGTAGCATAGCGAGTGTTTTTTGAGAATTCTCAACGAACAGATGGGTAGCATAGCGAGTGGTTTTTGAGAATTCTCAAAGAACAGATGGGTAGCATAGCATGTGCATTATTAGTGAGTCGAAGCAGAAGGCTGCACGGCTCGAAACGATTTCATTAGCCCGCATGGCTCCCGCATCCCATGTATCAGCGATGGCTGTAGCAGTTCTCCACCACTCTCCACCACTCTCCACCAATCTCCACCACTCCTCACATGTGACCACCACTCTGTCAGGTCTGTACACGTTCACTTCTCTTCAACAACTCACCCTGTGTGCCGCAACAAGGCATCACATGCCGAGGAGGTGTGTGCGCACCTATTGCATTCAGTCTGCCTCCTCCCGTCTGTCCCTTGGAGATATACATGAAGTATAAAGATGCGTCTACCTCGAACCACTCACCCTGTGTGCCGCAACGAGGTATTGCATATCGAGGGGGTGTGTGCGCACGTATTGCATTCGGTCCGCCTCCTCTCATCTCTCCCATGGGACGTACATGCACTATGTGAGGCTGTCTCTGTCCAACCACCAGCCACCCACTCACCCTGTGTGCCGCAACAAGGTATTGCATATCGAGGGGGTGAGTGCGCACGTATTGCATTCGGTCCGCCTCCTCTCGTCCCCGGGACCACCAGGTTATGTTGTCATGCTCCTTCAGTATCAGCGTGCACTCCTTGATGCCCTGCCTGATTATTCCCTGGATAAACAAGTCAACAGAGGTCAATGAGAGTCAACGGAGGTCCGTTATATCTGGGATCCGTGCTCCTTCATTATCAGCGTGCACTCCTTGATGCCCTGCCTGATTATCCCCCGAGAAACAGGTCAACAGAGGTCAATGGAAATCCAGTCAACAGAGTCCAGTAAACAGGATTCAACGAGAGTCAACAGAGGTCAATGAGGGGTCAATTATTTCTGGGATCCTTGGTATGCTGTCATGCTCCTTCACTATCAGCGTGCACTCCTTGATGCCCTGCTTGATTATGACACGAGGTACAAGTCAACTGAGGTCAATGAGAGTCAACAGAGGTCAATGAGAGTCAACAGAGGTCAACGAGAGTCAGCAGAGGCCAATGAGAGTCAACAGAGGTCAACGCGAGTCAACAGAGGTCAACGCGAGTCAACAGAGGTCAACGCGAGTCAACAGAGGTCAGTTACACCCAAGGAAACTCTTCACCTTCATGGCAGTTATGTGCCTGTTCGGGGCGGTCAGTGGGCAGCCAGTCGCTGATCAAGAGGTTGCAACATGAACGACGTGTAGAAAGAAGATTTTTGAGACGTCTCAAAAATCTTCTTTCTACACGGGGCGGTCAGTGGGCAGCCAGTCGCTGATCAAGAGGTTGCAACATGAACGCAGAGACATCACAGAGCACTCACGTGGAAGCGGTGGTGCCTAAGAAGGTCCATAGACAGGTCTACACCCCCTGTGGTGGGTCCCTGAACCACGTGTGCTTTGAGTTGACTCGGAACACAAAGATGCCACAAAAGAGCACTCACATGGAAGTGGTGGTGCCTGAGAAGGTCTGTAGACAGGTCTGCGCCCCCTTTAGCGGGATCCCGAACGCCGTGGTTCATCACTGCTCGCACCTGTGCAGCAGGAGGGGAAGAGAGCAGGGATCAAGGAACAAGGCGTCTGAATGGTAAGAAAGACGGTCCTCCCCCCTTTAGCGGGATCCCGATCCACGTGGTTCATCACAGCTCGCACCTGTGATGCAGAAACAGGAGGGGAGGAGAAGGGGACCACAGGGATCACTTAAGGTTTGCCGCCGCCAATAGTGGGTTCCTGAACCACGTGGTTCATCACTGCTCGCACCTGTGAAGCAGGAGGGGGAGAGAGGAGGGATCAAAGATCAAGGCGTCTGAATGGTAAGAAAGACGGTCTGCACCCCCTTTAGAAGGATCCCGAACCCCGTGGTTCATCACTGCTCGCACCTGTGCAGCAAATGTGGTGGAGAGGGACCAGAGGTTGGTGAGGATGAATATAAGGTGCCTCTTTCGCCCCCTCCGGGTTCCCTTTTGAGTCGTCTCAAAACCGCGTGTAATGAGTCTGCTTTTGAGTCGACTCAAAAGCTGTGCAGCAAGAATTGGAGGAGGAGAGGGACCACAGGGTGGTGAGGATGGATATAAGGTGCCTCTTTCGCCCTCTCTGCGTTCCTGAACAAGGTCGTTTTTAACTGCTCGCACCTGTGCAGCAGCATGGGAGGAGCAGGGGGGCGACAGGTCGATTAGGGATTTTGGGAAGTTAGAGAGAAAACGAGCAAGTTAGAGAGCTCACACGTCTGGGGTCCAGAAAGGGTTTGCGGTGGCCATAGTGGAAGAGTTGAGACACACGGTCGGCTTGGTGAGATTCTCCATAGCTCTGCAGAAGACTATATGCTAGGCTCCTCGGAAACAAGCACAGATTTGGGGCCTCAAAAAGAAGGCGAGCTCACCCGTCTGGGGTCGACAAAGAGCTTGCGATGGCCGTAGTGGTGCAGGCACACGGTGGGGTTGGTGCAGCGGACTGAACCATCAGGTAGCACGAACCATTCAACCACGAGCCAGGGGCCTTACTTACCCGTCTGGGGTCCACAAAGAGCTTGCGGTGGCCGTAGTGGTGCAGGCACACGGTGGGGTTGGTGCAGCGGACTGAACCATCAGGTAGCACGAACCATTCAACCACGAGCCAGGGGCCTTACTTACCCGTCTGGGGTCCACAAAGAGCTTGCGGTGGCCGTAGTGGTGCAGGCACACGGTGGGGTTGGTGTTGTTGTCCTTGGCTTTACAGTAGATCCCCGGCCCGTGCCACAGCATTCGCTCTAGCGGCCACCTGGGGTCTGCAGTTGGGTGAGGAGAAGAGGAGGAACGGACAGACAGGGGGCTTGGTGCGATTGTCCCTGGCTTTACAGAAGATCTCCAGCCCGTGCCACAGCATTCGCTCCAGCGGCCACCTGGGGTCTTCCGAATGGAATGGAAAAGAAGAAAGATGATGAGAGGACGGGAGCAGAGGAGAGACGGACGGACTAAGGGTTTGGTGGTGCAGCAGCATGGAGTGGTACAGCACGCCATGATGGAGCAAGTTAGCAGGCGGAAGAGAGATTGCCAGAGCCTACTTTTGAGTCGACTCAAAAGTAGGCTCATCACACACGGATTATATTTTGAGTCGACTCAAAAGTAGGCTCATCACACACGGTGCAGCAGCATGGAGTGGTACAGCAGGCCATGATGGAGCAAGTTAGCAGGCGGAAGAGAGATTGCCAGAGCAGCGTCCCAACGGCCACTTGGGCCTGCTAGTGGAATGGAAGAGCGGAGGATATGCAGAGAGGACGGGGGCACACGCCCAACCAGAACCCGTATTGCCCACACCAGAATACACAACCAGGCAAGAGCGCGTACCATCGGGGCTGCTGGGACCCATACAGTGCAATCGATGTTCTAAGGAAATGCTGTCATGAGCAAGAAAATGCCGGCTATGGGATTCGAACTGGTGACCTTTGATGCGTCCCGAAGGTGTTGGGGACAGATTTGGGACAAGATCCGCGAAGACGTCGTTTATGGCCGAGACCTTTTGATTCAGATATCCCGAAGGTGTATTTCGGGACAGTTTCAGGATGGTTTTGACAAGGCTGGTCAAATGTTGTGTTCGAATTGAAGACTTGGCAATAAAATGTCGAGGGCAACAAGATTATTACGGGCTTATTTAAATTTTCGTCGTCCGACGAAACTCTGGTTGTACAGATTCAAGGCTATGAATTCCGCGCTGGCGAAATCATAGCTCGGATATCATCCCGAGTCGTGTGCGACTTAGGTCGACACTTTGGTGCTTCTGTTTTGTGTACGTTCTAGTACTGCATGAAACCAGAGAGCACAAACAAAAAACAACAAGTCACCAACACTCATACGTTTCTGCATAACTTTGGCTATAGTTGATCGTTTTCTGCAATCTTTGGTGCTTCAAAATTGTGCTGCTGAGCTCTTAGTTGCTACCATAATGGAGTTCTACAGTCAGGCACATGTCCAACCAATCCAAACTCTGTATTGCCCGCACCAGAATGCACAACTAGGCAATAGCACGTACCATCAGGGGCTAGGGAAGGGCAGGGCGGCAGCATAAAAAAATTATGAGGCGCCACAAGTACCTACGCGAGATCCGGACATGGCTCAGTGAGCTGCGTGCGTGCAGTAGCTGATAAGTACCTACAAAAAAATTATGAGGCGCTTCAAGTACCTACAGTCAGCGCCTTGGAGAAACAGAGGAGCATCGAATACGTTTTCAAGGGTCTTGGGAAGGCAAGGCAGGATAGCACATACATTTTCAGCAGGGCAGCACATGTCTCTCGGGAGGGAAGCACATAAATCTTCAGGAGAGCAGCACATGCATCAGTCAAGGGAACATACCGTCAGGTCCTTGGGAGGGCAGGCAGCGATCCAAGTCCCACCAGAGGCTGCCGTGAGTGACGTAGGGCATTCCCTCGTAGGGCATGAGGAAGTGGTTCACGCTGAGAGGCGTGGGCATGCGCTCCTGGGGGATAAAGGGAAAATGGGATGTATGATAGGGCATGCACGCCCTCACAGCGTATCCCCTTCTAAAGTCCGCCAAGGGGATTCCCTCATAGCGAACGCCCTTGCCAAGGCATGAGGGAGTGGTGCACGCTGAGAGGCGTGGGCATGCGCTCCTGGGGGAGGAGTAGCAGGATAGGATTCATGATAGGGCGGGCAGGCATGCCCTCACAAGGTATCCCCTTGTAGGGCCGCAAAAGGCACGCTTTCATGGGAACGCCTTTGCAGGGCATGAGAAGAGGGAGTGGTGCACGCTGAGAGGAGTGGGGGATGCGCTCCTGGAGGAGGAATGGCGGGATAGGATTTATGATAGGGCGGGCATGCAGGCATGCCCCCACAAGGTATCCCCTCGCAGGGTCCGCAAAAGGGACGCTCTCATGGGAACGCCTTTGCAGGGCATGAGGGCGTGGTGCACGCTGAGAGGAGTGGCATGCGCTCCTGGAAGAGCCAAATTGAGAAGGAGGAGGGTGGTGAGGGGAGAGAGGGGGAGATGAGAAGGGGGGTACAACTTTGGGCATGAGGAATGCGGTGTATGCGCCCGCGCTGAGAGGCGTGGGATTGCCAAAGAGCCACATAAAAGAAGGGTGCGTGAGGGGAGAGAGGGGGACATGAGAAGGGGGACATGAGAAAGGGGACACGAGAAGGGGGAAACAACTTTGGGCATGAGTAAGGCGGTGTATGCGCGCTGAGAGGCGTGGGATTGCTAAAGAGCCACATAAAAGAAGGGTGCGTGACGTGAGAAGGAGGAGAGGGGGTGAACAGGAACGCAGGCATTATGTGCATGCAGTCCTAGCGGTAGATGAAGACACAGAAGTGGAAGTTGAGAGAAAGTGAAGGAGGAGCCTATTTTTGAGTCAACTAAAAAATAGGCATTATGTGCGTGCAGTCCTAGTGGTAGATGAAGATGCAGAAGTGGAAGTTGAGAAGAAGGGGAAGGACGAGTGCATACATTTTTTAGGCGCCTCAAAAGGACGAGTGCATACATTTTTTAGGCGCCTCAAAAGGACGAGTGCATACATGGCCACGAATGAATGAAACGAACCTCGTTAAAGCCAAAGAGAGGGTGTTTTGAGACGTCTCGAAAAACGAACCTCGTTAAAGCCAAAGAGAGGGAGGAAAAGAGCGTGTGCTTGCTTGCGTGCATACCCAACCCGGCCATCAACAAAGATGAACTCGTCTAAGTCAAGGTGTAGATACAGGCGGCCTCTTGGAGAACATTGAGGTGATTTTTCAGCCGCCTAATAAAATGTCGAAGTCAAAGTGTGAATGTAGGCTTCTTGAAGAACAAGGAGTCGAGTCGGTGCAACAGACCTTGCAGGCTTACTCGTCCACCAATAGCAATGAGGTGGTCTAAATCAAGGAGAAAAGGGAGAGTTTCAGCGACACGTGCGTGCTTACTTGGCAGGGCCTCTGAACAGCTGAGCATTTCCAGAAAAATGAGCCCGTCTAAGTCACGGAGAAAAAGGAGAGTGAGCACATGTGTGCTCGCTTGGCGGCTTGACTGTCGACAAAGTCCATATGCATACTTACTTGGTCATAAACGAAAATGAAATCGCTGAATAATGGAATATCCGAAGTCAAGGTGCATGATCCACTTGGAGAAAGGGGGGTGAGTTGAGTGCGACCCTGCGTGCTTACCTGGCCATTGACGAAGATGAATTGTGGCCATCAAGGAGGAGAAGACGAAGTAGGAATGGGTACTTCATGATTCTTACCTGACCATTGATGAACATGAACTCGTCAAAGTCAAGGTACATGATCCACTTGGAGAGGTGGCGGAAGCGATACACACAGTCGTTTACCATCATCACCTGGTGGTGGGAAGAGGGGGGCGTGGAGAAGAGAAGAGAGGGAAGGGAATGTAGGTAAGGGGAGAGGACGGGCCTCTTAACAGCGGAGTATTTTTAAACAGCCCCCTCGATTGCCGGTGATACTAGGACTAATAGTTCACCAGATGACAAATTTTAAGACAACTGCGAAAAGACCCCTCACCTGACCGTGGTACCACGATTTTTTACCACGGCACAACAATTAGTACTGGACATGAAGAAGAGTGACAGTAGGAGGGGATGTCCTAAGCAAAAGACGATAGTCTTTCTAGAAAACTTGTAACCCCAAAATCGAGAAAAACCGAAAGTACAAACTCAGAATCAACCCTATTGACTAGGCAAACATGTTTCGGTCCGTACGCGGATCATACCCGTCATCAGGCCTTCATCAGAACACATGGTACCATTAGTTTTCACCAACATTGGTGATTTTCGATGAGAACTCTAAACAGGTCCCTCACCTTGTTGTCGTACCAGGACTTTTCACCAACGCACAACAATCGGTGATTTCTGATGAGAATTTGGAACAGGTCCCTCACCTGGCCGTCGTACCAGACCTCGTAGTTCAGCAAGTCGCGAAAATCCGTGATCTCCGCTATCCCTTCGTCCAGTAACGGCTGCAGGCGAGAAGTGAGGAGACTCGGGAGAGAGTGGGCATGAGAAGTTCAAGTTTTGCTGTTGATGTTGATGTTTAGAGTAAAGTTTTTTTTTGGGGGGGGGGGACGGAAGGGAGCGAGATGCTGTTGAGGATAATACATGGAAAGAATCAGAAGGCTGAACTACGCGAAACACGAGACGCTGGACTGGAATGAAGGGATGACATCACCCTCCGTGCTAACAGCATAAGAAGTTGACGTAACAAGATGGTATCATCATGTGATGGCCAGCTTAGTCTCTCACACACATTCTCCTTGTGTGCAGGGCAGGATCACGTTCATATGGTAGGCATGGAGAAGAGGAGGACTGGTCCACTTCTTTTTGTTTTAGCAGAGGAAAGGAAGTGAGGGAGTGAGTAGTGTTACATGGCTCACCGCAATCAGCGTTCGCAGTTGCGGGTCCACCCCGCCCACATCGTTCAGGGAGAAATGGTCCACTCCCATGCGGATGTGAAGATCCATCCATTGGTAGATGCGATATGAGATGACCTGCAAAGGGTTCATGGAAGGGGGAGACTTTAGAGTTGACACAAACGGCATCCATCCATCCACTGGTAGACGCGCTCTGAGATGACCTGAACAGAGTGCGTGGGATCATTGAAGGAATGTGAGTTTTGATTCAACTGAAAAGTCATCCATCCATCCACTTGTAGACATGCTGAATAACCTGCAGTGGATTCATGGGATCATGCACGGAGGTGACGTTTTTTTTTAGTCGACTCAAAAATCGACTCATCGCACGGAGGTGACTTTTGAGTCGACGAAAATGCCATCCGTCCTGTACTGGGGGACGCGGTGAGAGACAGCCTTTATGCATGCACCATTTCCGTGCCCCAACCCGCATGCCATGCTCGCATGCGGATCATACTATATTCAAGATAGGCAGGGTTACACAAGACAGCAGCAAGAGACTGGCAAGAGAACGACAAGAAAACGACAAAAGAAGGACGAGATTATGGCAACAGTAGGATGGAAGGAGTGTAGAGGAGGAGAGAAGTGCTTATAACAGCAACGCATGATGCTGTATGAGGAACGGGGCACTGAAGTCAGAACTTACCTCGTTGATGGGGTGTGGGAAGAGGGAAGAGGGAGGGGAAGGGGGAAGAGGAATGGGTTGCATTGTGAGGGAAGAACCGACCTGACTATGATTCAATGAATGAGGGGAGAGCAGTGCGTGATGTTGTAGAGGAACAAGGTGTGGAAGGGAGAGCTTGCCTTGTTGGGGGGGGCTTTTGAGTCGACTCAAAAGTCACCTCTATGATTCTATGAATGGGGGGAGAGCAGTGCGTGATGTTGTAGAGGAACAAGGTGTGGAAGGGAGAGCTTGCCTTGTTGGGGGGGCGGGAGATGAGGGCTGGGTTGCCTTGTGAGGGAGGAAGGGACATACCTGGTCGTGAATGGGGGGAGAGCAGTGCGTGATGTTGTAGAGGAAGGGGGCATGCGTCATGGCAGTTACCACCTTCCCCGGTTGCTCCTCATACACCACCACGTCCTCCCTCTCCATGTCCATGTGCAGCCTGCCTCCCCCTCCCACGAGTGTTTCCCTGCAGTGTGCCACACAAAAAATGGGATATATGGGGGATGGGACACCGGGCACAGTAAACACCACCTTGTCCTCCCTCTCCATGCCCATGTGCACCCTGCCTCCCCCCGCCCCATACAGGCCCTGCCTCAAGGTATGGGATGCAACATGGGACATGGCGCATGGGACATAACATGGAATATGGGACATGGGACATAACATGGAATATGGGACATGGGACATAACATGGAATATGGGACATGGGACATAACATGGAATATGGGACATGGGACATAACATGGAATATGGGACATGGGACATAACATGGAATATGGGACATGGGACATAACATGGAATATGGGACATGGGACATAACATGGAATATGGAACATGGGACATGTCACATGGGGCAAGGGCTTGGGGCATGGGACACAGGGCATGGGGACACAAGAGTCTGGGAGGCTGAGAGACAGAGAGGCTGAAAGGCTGGGAGAATGAGAGACCAATACACCATGAGAGCCTGAGAGGTCCCTGTAACACTCTCACACTCTCATCATATAACACACACACACACACACACACACATGCACACACACACACATACACACACACAAAGACACAGACACAGACACACACAAACACACACAGACACACTCACACACACTCACACACACACACACACACACACACACACACACCTATTTAGAGTGCAGATTAAAATGAGCACAGCGTATTTCATCAAATGGTGCTCTCCCACGTGTATCACCTCCACACTGCCACGTATCCACTCCCTCCCATCCACCTCTTGCAGCTTCCTCGCCCCCCTACCCTCCTCCCTCCTCTCCTCAACCGTCTCGTCCCCCCTCCTCTCCTCAACCGTCTCGTCCCCCCTCCTCTCCTCAACCTTCTCGTCCCCCCTCCTCTCCTCAACCTTCTCGTCCTCCCTCCTTTCCCCCATCGTCAGTACTGAACCCATCCCACGCTTCTTCGTTCCTCCTATATGCCTCTCCATCCATTCTCCTCCCACGCGCTCCTCCATCAGTCTTCTCCTCCACCTCCCCTCTAATGCAGCACCTCTTCGCTCAACTGCTTGCCCCGGACCCGCTGCTTCACCTTGTTTTTTAGTCGACTCAAAAAGACCTCTTCGCTCATCTGCTAGCCCCGGACCCGCTGCTTCGCCTTGCCCCAATGACCGGCCAAGTCCATCTGCTTGGCCTCGCCCTTCTGATCGATTCGCTTGATTTCCTTGACCTGCTTGACTTGCTTGATTTCCTTGACTTGCTTGCCCTGCTTGACCTGCTTGACTTGCTTCGCCTGCTTGACCCGCTGGTATCCGTGGTTCCCACATACAATCGCCCACCTTCACAGAAAACAATACAGCAGCACTTGTATGTAAGGACTTTTGAGGCGCCTTATGAGACGTCTTTTGAGACGTCTCAAGACTCACCTTCACAGAAAACAACACAGCAGCACTTGTATGTAAGGAAATTTGAGGCGCCTTATAAGAACGCAACACAGCAGCACTAGTAGGCAGGGGCATGGCAGTAATGACACATCAGCATGTATGTAGGTCAGCATGTGTGCATCATGTGAGAAAATCACCAGCATGCATGCATTGCCACACCACGGGAGACAGCACACAATGCATGGACCGCGCGCGCGCGCGCGCACACACACACACACACGCACGCTACGTTGCATCATATCCAACACCATGCTAACCCCTCCCCTCCTCTCTCCTCCCTCTCACTTCGTCAAAAGCACACGCAGCTTGAAACATGACCTTTGAGGCGCCTCAAAACTAGTTTGCGGTCTCAAACGGTGGCTTTAAACTCCTCCCTCGCCCTTTTTCCACCCTCACCTCTCTCACATCTTCCAGAGCACGTGCAGCCAGGCCCACGACCGCAAACTGGTCGCCTGCGATTCGATAAGCCGAGAACTGCACAAACGGCAGCAGCCTCTCTTGCCTCGTGCTGCTGCTGCCACTGCTGCTACCACTGCTGCCACTGCTCGTGCCACCACTGATGTTGCTGCCACTGCTCGTGCCACCACTGATGTTGCTGCCACTGCTCGTGCCACCACTGATGTTGCTGCCACTGCTCGTGCCACCACTGATGTTGCTGCCACTGCTCGTGCCACCACTGATGTTGTTGCTGCCACTGCTCGTGCCACCACTGATGTTGCTGCCACTGCTCGTGCCGCCACTGATGTTGCTGCTGCCACTGCTCGTGCCACCACTGATGTTGCTGCCACTGCTCGTGCCACCACTGATGTTGCTGCCACTGCTCGTGCCACCACTGATGTTGTTGCTGCCACTGCTCGTGCCACCACTGATGTTGCTGCCACTGCTCGTGCCACCACTGATGTTGCTGCCACTGCTCGTGCCACCATTGGTGTTGCTGCCACTGCTCGTGCCACCACTGATGTTGCTGCCACTTCTCGTGCCACCACTGATGTTGCTGCCACTGCTCGTGCCACCACTGATGTTGTTGCTGCCACTGCTCGTGCCACCACTGATGTTGCTGCCACTGCTCGTGCCACCACTGATGTTGTTGCTGCCACTGCTCGTGCCACCACTGATGTTGCTGCCACTGCTCGTGCCGCCACTGATGTTGCTGCTGCCACTGCTCGTGCCACCACTGTTGCTGCCACTGCTCGTGCCACCACTGATGTTGCTGCTGCCACTGCTCGTGCCACCACTGATGTAGTTGCTGCCACTGCTCGTGCCACCACTGTTGCTGCCACTGCTCGTGCCACCACTGATGTTGTTGCTGCCACTGCTCGTGCCACCACTGATGTTGTTGCTGCCACTGCTCGTGCCACCACTGATGTTGCTGCCACTGCTCGTGCCGCCACTGATGTTGCTGGCAGCGGCTGCAGTGTTTACTGCTACTGGCGGTGATGGTAGTGAGCCAGAGAGAGCAGTGGACTGAAGGTGGCGCAGTGGCAACGGGTGGCCAGGTGGGAGGGAATGACGCGCAAGGAACACAACGGGAGCTATGTTTGATGTGAGGCTAATCAAAAGGCCAGGCTACTCCACTCTAAAGTGGCCGGGGGGTTGGGGTGGTGTATACATGGTCGGGGGAGCGAGCCAGGTGAAGCCTGGTTCACCTGCCGTAAAGAAGACCCTTCGATAAACATCGTGCTGGCTTACTGAGAACTGCGGAGGAACGGAGGAGGCAGAGGCAGTGGCTTGAATAATCGCCTGCTCCTCATTGGTCGGGAAGATTGAGGTGTCAAAGGAGAGAATGAGCACCTGGTGAGGAGAGAATGACCACACACATACACACACACACACACACACACGCACACACACACGCACACACATACACACACACACACGCACACACACGCATACACACACACACACACACACATACACACGCACACGCACACACACACACACACACACACACGCGCGCGCGCGCGCGCGCACGCACACACACACGCACGCACACACACACACACACACACACACACACACACACACACATGCGCGCACACACCCACGCACGTGCTCACTCACGCAGGCACACAACAAACAACGTGTATAGGGGGGAGCACGGTGGCAGACAAAACTATCGGAATGGGCAGGTGAGGCTGTGAAGTTGCTGAATTTGGAGTTAGGACACATGTAGGGAGGAGGGAGAGCCAGAAGAGAGGGATTAGGCCGTGGTGGAGTAAAAGGTGGGAGTAGTGATGTTATGTTAGGAAGGGTTAAAGATCCAACCTTGGAGTGAGCGGATCACCAATGAGGCAACAAAAGCAGGCAACGATTGGGAGAGACAGCATAACTTGGTTTGTTTCTCTGTAGCAGCTGACGAGAAACCTGTCGAAACCCCTTGCTAGACAGGGGTGAAAAATATGCGCATGCAAGTAAGATCATACCATTTCGCTAGCAGAACGTGGCACCTTAAAGCACTCATACATACCAGCAGCAGGACGAAAACAACAAGGATGATGGACGGTGTTGGGCCTTTAAATAGCTGCGGCAAGGTACAGTACAGTACAGGCCATGGAAGCATTAAAGTAGTCCACTGTTCTTCTTGACTAATCGAAGGGCAGCAGTACGTGAAGGTGACGTTTGAGCAACATGATCAATAGTGGAAAATCAGTTTGAAAATATAGTGTGAAATATCAGTGTGAAAACACATAAGTTGTCCACTGCTCTGGCTTCTAGCCTGCTAATTAGGAATGGGCCGAATGGGTTATTTCCTGTCCCATCAATCCTTTCCTATATTTTCTTGAAATCTGCAAATAGCATCGCACTGAACAATATTACTGACTTTGAAAACAGCAATGAAAGGCACGTGGGAACGATAAGGGAACACCTCATAGCATAAAATGGTTGAGGAGGTGAGAGTTCGAGGGAGAGAGGGGCACAACGTGGCGTAAAATGGTTGAGGAGATGAGTGCGAGAGGGAGAGAGGGAGAGAGGGAGCACCTCGTGGCGTTGGATGAGTGAGTGACACCTCTTGATGATGAGTGCTGATGCTGTCGTCAGCAGCCCACGCCATCCATCGGCAGGGTTACCATCAGCAGCGTTATTAGTAGGGTCCAGGTGCGTATAAGGCTGAAAGTCGTTACTATTTTGATGGTCCTGACCGCGGCTGGGCCGAAGCTCTTCAAGAGCATGCGGATGTGTGGATTGCAATCCCTCTCTTTTAGACGCTGAAGATGATAATTCTGTTTGCTTTTGAGTCGACTCAAAAGCTGAAGATGATTCTGAACTTCTGCCAGGAGACGCACTGGTTATGCCAGGAGTAATGCTGTTCACTCTGGTCCCTCTGTGAGCAGGGGAAACTCTTCTGTACCCTCTGCCATAACCCAAACTGAGCTTCCCTCTGCCATTATCTCTCTCGCTATCCCTCTCCATCTCAAGTCCTGCCATTAGTGAAACCTTGCATTCACCGCCATGATACTGTATTGCGGTTAGACAGTTGAGAAGCACCTCAGTAGAAGTGGTCTCAGATAGTATCCCGTTTTAAGGTCGCTCTGTTAATATTAGAACACAGTGTCGCTTTCGTCAAATTAGGTCATCTTGTCGCAGGTGGGAAATGCGTGACGGGAACAGGGAGTCGGTTTCAAGCTCATATGCATTGTTTCAGTTCGATCTCCAGGGTTTAGATGCGGTAAGAGGTATAAAATGACTCTAAAAGGCAAGGCGCGTCTCTCCAGTTTAGGGCGTGTGACTAAACCGATCCGTGTACGAAAGCGGTCCTCGTCAATAATCGTAAGTTCTCCAATTGAAGAACGAGCTGGGACGGTCCGAGCAAAATGCAAAAAAAGTTACGGCCCTTAGGGGAACTCCGGGCAAGCCGGTCAGTGGGTGAAGCGGCATTGTTACCGTTATGCGCGGAACCGACGAGCTTAAAAAACGCATAACAGCCTCGAACCTAGACCACTATTACTGAGGTTTTACAAAATCTTGGTTTTCCTGTAAAATTGTTTTTTTTTTTTTTTCGTCTGGATTTCGATGTCAAATTGTGCACATATCCCCTCGCACCATGTTGACCAAGTGCCGCTGCATCACAAGGCCCATTACCATATAATATAAACTCAACACTTACGGTATGTGTTAAAGGAAAAAGGGAGGGGAGGGTGCTATATGGTTTTCTGCGAAAAGAGGGGGTGCCTACAAAGTACGCACTGTAAAAACACAGGTCTCTAGATCCTGGATGTATTCAACTCAAAAGTCATCTCATTGATATGCCATGGCACTACAAGCCTTGGTGTGTCCTCTGCACGTGCTCTCTCCACCACTGTGTTGCAAACAGCACAACGACGAAATGCAAGATGGACGCATAAGCCTCAGCCAAACATACACCATGTGCAATATGGTTGTGCTTTATGTGCATGATGTGAATGCACTATGAGCGTGACTTATACCACTATGAATGCGCACAATGATCAGTATTTGATGCAGATTGAGCATGACGTTGGGTAGCATGTGAATAGGGGATTCATAACAGAAGGCTGCTAGTTTGAAACAATCCCGTCAGTCCGCATGCCTCCACCGCCCATGTTTCATGCATCTGCAACGTCTGTAGCAGCTCTCCACCACACTCCACCGCTCCTCACATGTGACCACCACTTTGTTGGGTCTATGCAAGATCGTGCACCTTAAGCAACTCACCCTGTGTGCCGCAACAAGGTATTGCATGTCGAGGGGGTGTGTGCGCATGTATTGCGTCCTGTCCGCCTCCTCTCATCTCTCCCATGGGACGTACATGCACTATGTGAGGCTGTCTCTGTCCAACCACCAACCACCCACTCACCCTGTGTGCCGCAACAAGGTATTGCATGTCGAGGGGGTGTGTGCGCACGTATTGCATTCGGTCTGCCTCCTCCCTTCCCCGGGTCCACCAAATTATGTTGTCATGCTCCTTCATTATCAGCGTGCACTCCTTGATGCCCTGCCTGATTATGCCCTGGAGAAACAAGTCAACAGAGGTCAACGAGAGTCAACAAAGGTCAACGAGAGTCAACGGATGTCAGTTATATCTGGGAACCGTGCTCCTTCATTATCAGCGTGCACTCCTTGATGCCTTGCCTGATTATGCCCTGGAGAAACAAGTCAACAGAGGTCAACGGGAGTCAACAGAGGTTCGCTAGTATTGCTTGTCTCGTTGTATTGTCATGCTCCTTCATTATCAGCGTACACTCTTGATGCCCCGTCTGACCATGTCCTGGCCTGGAGATAAGTCAACAGAGGTCAATGAGACACAACAAAGGTCAACGAGAGTCAACGGAGGTCAGCTATATCGGGTATCCGTTGTTATTCTGTCATGCTCCTTCATTATCAAGGTGCAGTCCTTGATGCCCGTCTGATCATGCCCTGGGAAACAAGTCAACAGAGGTCAGTTACGTGGCAGGGTTAACACAATCAGAGGTACCCACGGAAACTCTTCCTTCACCTACGTGGCAGTGATGTGCATGTTTGAGGCGGTCAGTACGCAGACAGTGCCTGATCAAGAGGTTGCAAGATGAACAAAACGCAAGGAATCACTGTCTATGGCAATGACGGCACTTGAGAGACTGTCCAGGAAAGTTCAAGAAGTTGCAACATGAGCACGAAGATGCCACACAGCACTCATACGGAAGTGGTGGTGCCTGAAAATGTCATTGGGGCAAGGAGTTCAAGTGGTCACCACATGAACACAAAGAAGTGAAAAAGCACTCACGTGGAAGTGGTGGTGTCTCAGAACGTCCGTAGACAGGTCTGCGCCGCCGCCGATAGTGGGTTCCTGAACCACGTGGTTCATCACTGCTCGCACCTGTGATGCAGGAAGGGAGAAGCAGGGGGACCACAGGGCGAAATGGTTGAATGTAAGTTTAGGGACCACCTCTTCCGCCCCTTCTATGTTCCATCCTGAACCACGTGGTTCATCACTGCTCGCACCTGTGAGGCAGGAAGGGAAGGGAAGAGGGATCCAAGGAGGAGAAGCCTGAACAGAAAGAAGGTGTGCCCAGTTCTTTGAGGCCCTGAACCGTGTGTGTTCATCACCATTCGCACCTGTGAGGATTCGCACCTTTGAGACAAGAAAGACGTTTGAGGCGCCGCAAGAGTCAGTTCTTTGGGATCCTGAACGTGTGGGTTCATCCACATTCGCACCTGTGAAGCAGGAAGAAAGCCATCTCATCTCACCTGTTATATTGGTGCGACTTTTGAGAATTTTCAAAAGTCGCACCTGTGAAGCAGGAAGAAAGCCATCTCATCTCACCTGTTATATTGGTGCGACTTTTGAGAATTTTCAAAAGTCGCACCTGTGAAGCAGGAAGAAAGCCATCTCACCTGTCGGGGGTCCACTAAAGCTTGCGGTGGCCGTAGTGGTCGAGGCGCATGGTGGGCTTGGTACGGTTGTCCCTGGCTCTGCTGGTGTGGGTGACCTTGGCTTTACAGACAATACTATATTCGGGGCACTTCAGAAATACACACCGATTTGGGGCCTAAAAAACACACACACTTACCCATCGGGGGTCGACAAAGAGCTTGCGGTGGCCGTAGTGGACCAGGCATATGGTGGGCTTGGTGCGGTTGTCTACCTGGCTACAAAAGACTATTCCTGTTGAGGCGCCTCAGCATTGAACACCACTCTGGGATTCAAGATAAAAGCAAGCTCACCCGTCTGGGGTCGACAAAGAGCTTGCGGTGGCCGTAGTGGTCCAGGCACATATTGGGCTTAGTGTGGTTGTCCCTGGCTTTACAGTAGACCCCCGGCCCGTGCCACAGCATGCGCTCCAGCGGCCACCTGGGGTCTGCGATTAGAATAGAAGAGGAGGGGACGGCAAGTGGAGGGAAGGACTAACGGTATTGGTGCAGCAGCAGTCAGTGCCACAGCATACGCTCAAGTGGCAACCTGAACATTCTATGAGGCAAGAAAGCATACCATCCGGGCACTGGGAGGGCAGGCAGCAATCCTACCCAGTCCCACCAGAGGCTGCTGTGGGTGGGATAGGGCAGTCAGGCACAGGCCTAACCCTAAAGCCTAAACCCTAAACCATGAACTGCCTGCACCAGAATGTGCAACCAGGCAAGAACACACGCAATCAGGCAAGCACACATACCATCAGGGCCTTGGGAGGGTAGGCAGCGCTCCCAGTCCCACCAGAGGCTGCCGTGAGTGACGTAGGGCATTCCCTCGTAGGGCATGAGGAAGTGATTCACGCTGAGCGGTGTGGGCATGCGCTCCTGGGGGATAAAGGGAAAAGGAATGATACAGACAACGTCATATACAGTTCATGCCCTCAAAATGCATTCCCTCGTAGGGCATGAGGAAGTGGTTCACGCTGAGTTTGCTTTGATACCATCTCAGAACCCCAGCCACTAGACCACTGGAATAAAATGACTTGTTAAGCAGCGGACGACTGCACCCATAACCCCTCAGGCTAGTGAGTATGTAACCCTTCCCGATTTATCTGGCATCCCTAGTGCATGTCTTCTAACTTAGGCCAATCTCAGTCGCTCCTCCAACACCCCCTTCATTAGGTTAGGCTTTGAGACCATATCAACCTTCCAAGGTGCACATTGAGAATCGAACCTGAGACATTTGCTCTGATACCATGTTGGTAAAGCTCGGCCATTAATCACCACGCTAAAAAGATTTTTCCATAGCGGGTGATCCCATGACCTTAGGCCGATATCTGTGCGCACCTGTCCATTGATGGACATGAACTTATGGGGAGAGAGGAGTGGGGTAAGCGCGTGCTTACCTGGCCAGCAATAAACATGAACTCGTCAAAGTCAAGGTACATGATCCACTTGGAGAGGCGGCGAAAGCGGTGCACACACTCGTTCACTATCATCACCTGGTGGGAGGGAGAGGAGACACACGGGCGGAAGGGATGTAGCTTACATAATCGTTCACTACCTTTACCTGCTGGGGCGAAGAAGTGGCAAGAGGGCGGAGCGAGACGAGATATATGCAGTTGATAAACTCAGTCTTGATATCAACACTCATAAGTCAGTAAGTCCCTTAACAAAAGCCCCTCACTGCATGTGATACCAGGACTTCACAGAATTTTGTGATTTCTGTTGAGAATTCTTACAGGTCCCTCACCTGCCCGTGATACCAGGACTCGTAGTTAACCAAGTCGCGAAAATCCGTGATCTCTGCTATCCCTCCATCCAGTAATGGCTGCAGGCGAGTAGGGAGGAAAATTCGATGAGTGCAAGATGAGGGAGTAACTTTCAAGATTTTCCAAAGCAGGGAAACAAATAGAAAGCCGAAGTAGGGGGAACATGACATACCAGACTGGGAAGAGGAGGGGATTGGATCCATGCTACAACACAAGAAGCTATCAGCATGGTATCATCATGTGATGTTAAAATCAGATTAGTCTCTCACGTATATACCGTTGCACACAAATCTACCTACACAATTATATGAACCGCTTCTTAGCAGACAGGGTGTAACTGCATTCTTCGATCAATGTTCGCAGTCGCAGTTGCGCCCTAATAAGTGTTTCCATTCCATCTCAGTTGCAGGTGCACCGTGGTGAAATCACTTTTGAGAATTCTCGCGGAGGAGAGGAGAGGAGAGGAGAGGAGAGGAGAGGAGAGGAGAGGAGAGGAGAGGAGAGGAGAGAAGAGGAGAGGAGAGGAGAGGAGAGAAGAGGAGAGGAGAGGAGAGGAGAGAAGAGGAGAGGAGGCATGTTACACGTACTGTCACGCGGCTCACCGCAATCAGTGCTCGCAGTTGCGGGTCCACCCCGCCCACATCGTACAGGGAGAAATGGTCCACCCCCATGCGGATGTGCAGAGGAAAGGAGGCACCTACCGTCACGTCATGTGGCTCACCTTAATCAGCGCTCGCAGTTGCGGGTCCACCCCGCCCACGTCGTACAAGGAGAAGTGGTCCACCCCCATGCGGATGCATGTACAGCGAGAAGAAGGCACGTTGCACGTACTGTCACATGGCTCACCGCAATCAGTGCTCGCAGTTGCGGGTCCACTCCCCCCACATTGTACAGGGAGAAATAGTGACTTTAGAGGCGACTCGAACGAAATGGTCCGCCCCCATGCATATGTATGTACAGAGGAAAGGAGACACGTTACACATGCTGCCACATTGCTCACCGCAATCAGTGCTCGCAGGTGTGGGTCCACTCCGCCCACATCGTACAGGGAGAAATGGTCCACCCCCATGCGGATGTGAAGATCCATCCACTGGTAGATGCGCTCCGAGATGACCTGAGGGGAATGCATGGCCGCATGCAGCATGCATGTTTTAAGGCGTCTTAAAACTCGAATGGTCCAACCATCCACCCCCATGCAGATCCATCCACTGGTAGATGCGCTCCGATATGACCTGAAGGGAGTGCATGGGATGATGTAGGTGGACCTCTGAGACGTCTCAAAACTCGAAATGGTCCATCCATCCCCATGCGAATATGCAGATCCATCCACTGGTAGATGCGCTTTGAGATGACCTGAAGAGATTGCATGGGACCATGCAAGGAGGTGACTTTTGAGTCAACTTAATAGTCATCCATCCACTGGTAGATGCGCTCAGAAAAGGTGGGGGCGGTTTGCCATGTGAAGGAGTGACATACCTGGCCGTGAATGGGGGCAGAGCAGTGCGTGATGTTGTAGAGGAAGGGGGCATGTGTCATGGCAGTTACCACCTCCCCCGGTTGCTCCTCATACACCACCACGTCCTCCCCCTCCATGCCCATGTGCACCCTGCCTCCCACCCCTGAAAGCGTTTCCCTGCCACAAGTTATGGGGTGGGGACATGGGACAAAGGACATGGGGGACGTGGGACGTGGGACGTGGGACGTGGGACGTGGGACGTGGGACGTGGGACTTGGGACGTGGGACGTGGGACGTGGGACTTGGGACGTGGGACGTGGGACTTGGGACGTGGGACGTGGGACGTGGGACTTGGGACGTGGGACGTGGGACGTGGGACGTGGGACGTGGGACGTGGGACGTGGGACGTGGGACGTGGGACGTGGGACGTGGGACTTGGGACGTGGGACGTGGGACGTGGGACTTGGGACGTGGGACGTGGGACTTGGGACGTGGGACGTGGGACGTGGGACTTGGGACGTGGGACGTGGGACGTGGGACTTGGGACGTGGGACGTGGGACGTGGGACTTGGGACGTGGGACGTGGGACGTGGGACTTGGGACGTGGGACGTGGGACTTGGGACGTGGGACGTGGGACGTGGGACTTGGGACGTGGGACGTGGGACGTGGGACGTGGGACTTGGGACGTGGGACGTGGGACGTGGGACTTGGGACGTGGGACGTGGGACTTGGGACGTGGGACGTGGGACGTGGGACTTGGGACGTGGGACGTGGGACGTGGGACTTGGGACTTGGGACGTGGGACTTGGGACGTGGGACTTGGGACGTGGGACTTGGGACGTGGGACATGGGACGTGGGACTAAGCCTGTACAAGAATATTCGGTATTCGAAAACTATTCGATATTCGCTCGAATACCTGAATTCGTACGAATACAATACGACCAAGTATTCGAAAGTATTCGCATCAAGAGTATTCGTCAATGCAGAATATTCGGGTCAAGAATATTCGAGGTATTCGATACTATTCGGTATTCTACCATTAACCTCCCTTACAGTATAGCAATATGCATCTTATGCTCATACCTCAGAAATCCTCCCCTATACCCAACAAGCACTCCTGGTATTAACACTTTAGCATGCACAGAATGCTTTGTTTAGAGAGTCAACAGGTACCGGAAGAAACAAAATGTGCGAGAGTAGTTCAGTGGATGTATGAACGAGAGAAAATCGTATGTGATTTTTATTGCCTAGCCTAAATATTAATTGTTGGACAATTAATCGTATTCGATTCGGATTCGGCACTATTCGAATCGTATTCGTATTCGGTTTTGGGTCACTATTCGGACAAATAAGAAACCACACAGTATTCGGAGAATAGTCCAAAAAAATATTCGTATTCGTATTCGTATTCGTTTGTACAGGCTTACATGGGACATGCGACATGGGGCATGGGATGGGACATGGGGCATGGGATGGGACATGGGGCATGGGATGGGACATGGGGCATGGGATGGGACATGGGGCATGGGATGGGACATGGGGCATGGGATGGGACATGGGGCATGGGATGGGACATGGGGCATGGGATGGGACATGGGGCATGGGATGGGACATGGGGCATGGGACACAAGAGACGAGACTCGAGAATTTGAGAGGTTGAAAGACTGCGAGACTGAAACAAACGAGGCCCAGAGGCTGAGGAGCTCAATTGGTCATCCTCACACCCTCATCATCTCCATTAATCATCTCACACCTCTTGAGAGTGCAGATCAGAATGAGCACGGCGTATTTCATCGATTGGTGCTCTCCCACGTGGATCTCCTCCACACTGCCACGTATCCACTCCCTCCCATCCACCTCCACCTCTTCCAACCTCCTCGCCTCCCTCCACTCATCCCTCCTCTCCTCCTCCCCTTTCCCCTCCATCAGCATTTTGCGTCCCTGCCCCATTCCTCCTCCCACGCTCTCCTCCATTAGCCGCCTCCTCGTCCTTCCTTCTAACGCAGCACTTCTTTGCTCATTTGGCCAAAACCCTCTGATTGGCCAGAACCCCCTGATTGGCCAAAACCCTCTGATTGGCCAGAACCCCCTGATTGGCCAAGACCATCTGATTGGCCAATACCCTCTGGTTGGCCAATACCCCCTGATTGGCCAAAGACCCCTGATTGGCCAAGACCCTCTGATTGGCCAGAACCCCCTGATTGGCCAAGACCCTCTGATTGGCCAATACACTCTGGTTGGCCAATACCCCCTGATTGGCCAAAGACCCCTGATTGGCCAAGCCCCTCTGATTGGCCAAAACCCCCTGATTGACCAAGACCCTCTGATTGGCCAATACCCTCTGGTTGGCCAATACCCCCTGATTGGCCAAAGACCCCTGATTGGCCAAGACCCTCTGATTGGCCAGAACCCCCTGATTGGCCAAGACCCTCTGATTGGCCAATACACTCTGGTTGGCCAATACCCCCTGATTGGCCAAAGACCCCTGATTGGCCAAGCCCCTCTGCTTGACCCACTTGGCCGGAATTTTCTGCTTGACCCGTCTGGCCTGCTTGGACTAGACCAACCGGTGCTCGTGGCGACTTTTGAGTCAACTCAAAAGCCACCTCTTGACCCGTCTGGCCTGCTTGTTGGACTAGACCCACCGGTGCTCGTGGCTCCGCATGTGGCTCCCACACGCAATCGCCCACCTTCACACATTGCAACATAGCAGCACATGTATTAAAGACATGGCATTGATGACACCCGATGAGATGAGCGAGGATGGGAGATACTAGATGGGATGGGATACATACATGCATTACACATCACATCATGAGAGTAAGACACTGTACTTGCATTGGACATCATGGCATGGAAACAGAATTCATGCATTCCAGAAATCATGAGAGGCAGCACACAATGCACGGATGGATCACACACACACTAGTTGAACCACGCACTACATTGCAACATATCAGACACCATGCCAACCCACCCCCCTCCTCTTTCCCCCCCCCTTCCAGCCCCCCTCACCTTTCTCACTTCGTCCAGAGCACGAGCAGCCAGCCCCACAACAGCAAACTGGTCGCCTGCGATTCGATAAGCCGAGAACTGCACAAACGTCAGCAGCCTCCCTCGTGTCGTACTGTTGCTGCCACCGCTGCTGTTGCTGGCAGCAGCTGCTGTATTTTCTGCTGCCGCTACCGGTGGTGATGGTAGTGAGCCGGCGGGGGCAATGGGCTGAAGGGGAGGCAGTGGCACGGGATGGGATGGGCGGATGGGCGGGTTGGAGGGAGTAGCGCACAAGGAACACAATGAAAAGCCGCTGGCTTGGTTACGCACAAGCAGTGTGGTGTGGTGCAATAAAGCACAGGCGATTGATAGACAGGGACAGGGACAGATGGTAGGGGAGACGACAGAAGCAGGAGCAGGATGCCCCAGAAGCAAGATACAAGCGTTGCTGGTGGCGAATCAGTGACAGGAGAAATCGCTTTTGAGAAGTCTCAAAAGTGATTTCAACATAGGAGCAGGATGCCCCAGAAGCCAGATACAAGCGCTGCTGGTGGCGAATTAGTGACAGGAGCCGCAGGGTGAGAGAGGGCGGTGTTTACGAAGCTGAAACCCCTTAGAAAACTCCTTTGAAAACCCGTTGATAGACGTCGTGCTTACTGAGAAATGTGGAGGAACGGAGGAAGCAGAGGCAGCAGCCTGGATGATTGCTTGCTCCTCATTGGTCGGGAAGATTGAGGTGTCAAACCAGAGAGTGAGCACCTGGTGGTGGATGTGTGGACCTTATTGCGATGAATACGGAGGTGTGCTACTAGTTGAGAGCAGATAGAGCGACACGCAACCACGCACGCACGCACGCATGCGCGCACACACACACACACACACTCACACACACACACACACACACACACCCACACACACACACATGCAATCACGCACGCATGCACACACACACGCGCGCGCGTGAATGCACGCACACACACACACACACCCACACACACACAAACACACACACATACGCGCGCGCGTGCACACACACATACACACACACATGCATTTACGCACGCATGCACACACACACACGCGCCTCGTGCACCCACACACACACGTGCAATCACGCACGCATGCACACACACACGCGCGCCTCGTGCACACACACGCACACACACATACACACACACACACACACACACACACACACACACACGCACACGTGCGCGTGCACACACGCAACGTGTATCTTGGGGGGAAGTTAGACGGCAGGAAGACAACACCATCGGCTTGAGCAGGCTAGGCTGTGACGACGCTGAACTGAACGAGACAGGATACTTCCCGGAGGAGATACGAGAGGGGAGGTATGTATGTACCTAGTGGAGTTAAAAGGCGGGGTGGGATAGGAAGGGCAAAGATAAGTGGGGTAGGTAGGACTAACGCAGGAAAAGCAGGCTGATCCTTCTCATCGTGCTTAATAGCAACTGACGACAATCCAGCTGACTTGAGCCTTGGTAAAAGGTATAAAAGGCATCAGCAGCAAAACAGCATGCTCATGAAGGTAAGGTCATACCACTTTGATAGCAGTAGGAGGGAGGCAACTTGAAGCACTCATACATACCAGCAGGAGGCAAACAACGAGGATGATGAACGGTGCTGAGCCCTTGAAAAGCTGCAGAAAGATACAGTATAGGCCACAAGGGGTCACGAAAACAGAGGGAAGTTCACTGCTATGGCTTCTGGCCGGCCGATGAGGCCCGGGCTGAGTGGAATTTTCTCTGTGCCATTAGTCTTCTTCGTCTATCACATGAACAAAAGTTCCAACTTTTGAAATCAGCAGATAATGATAGGATGTAGGAACGGTAAGGGATTATCACGCGAAGTGAAACTGTTGAGAGAGCGTGAGGGAGGGGAACGGCAGAAAAGGGCGCATTTCGTGGCGTTGAGTGAGAGGAGAGAGGGAGAACCTCCTCGTGGCGTTGAGTAGTTGAGAGAGAGGGAGGGAGTGAGTGGGAATGGGAGCACCTCGTGGCGTTGATTGAAGCTTGAAAGATAGTGAGAGTGAGAGGGAGTGAGGGGGCACCGTGCTGGAGAGGGAGAGCGAGTGATTGGCGTTGAGTGGTCGTGAGAGAGTGAAAGAGCGAGGGAGAGAAGGAGCACCTCGTGGCGTTGAATGAGTGAGTGACATCTTTCGATGATCCTTGTTGATGCTGCTGACTTCAGCAGCCCAGGTGACTTTTGAGTCGACTCAAAAGTCACCTTTGAGTGAGAGAGAGAGGGAGAGAGGGAGCACCTCGTGGCGTTGAATGAGTGAGTGACATCTTTCAATGATGCGTCCTGACGCTGCTGACGTCAGCAACCCATGCCATCCATCGGCTCCTGATGGTGAAGCTGACGTCACTGCAGCATAGCTTCCCTCTCCTTTGGATGCAGGTGCTGACGTCACTAAGTCATTCTGCTGCTGCTGATGCTGTAGAAGCGGTTCCTCCTGCTGCTGATGGAAGTTCGTATCATCCTGGGATTTCCATTGGTTCTCATTGTGATCGCTAGGGTTACCATTCGGGTGATTATGACGCTGAAAGTCGCTATTTTTATGCTCGTGACCGCTGAGCTGTTGCTCTTGATGGCTATGCGGATGTGTGGATTGCGGCAATCCTTCTCCTTCAGTTGCTGGCGGTGATTCTGCGCTCCTGCCAGGGAAAGCACTGGTTTTGCTGTTGCCAGTGGTCCCTCTGTGAGCAGGAATAACTCTCCTGTACCCTCTGTTAGCAACCTTCATAATCTTTTCTCTGTCATTCTCTCTCTCGCTTTCCCTCTCCAGCTCAATTCCTGTCATTGCTGAATCCGTATTCACCTCCACACCAATCACCGCAAGACGCGGTCACTAACGCAATTCGTCACGCAAGACGATATCTTTCTGCACGATTCTGGTAATGCAATGCAGCAGTAGCTAGTGGTCTGAAACTCTGAGATTATGTCCCGTTAGTGTCGTTCTGACAAAATTGGGACACTTTCATGAAATTGGGTCATACTCTACTCTCATGGAATCAGACATCACAGTCTCGCCTCAGTACGTCCCTTGCAAAACGGACGAGATTAAGAAATGTAAAAACGGCCGAGATTAGAGAATGTAGTACGGCCTCAGAATGAAGATGCTGTGCACACAGCAAAAGCGACGGATCGAGAAGAGCACGAATACTCTTTTTTCTCCTTCGTCTTCTTCTACTGGAGAAGGAGAGACGTGTGAATGGAGTTCTCGGTTTGAACTGTTTCCTACTAGAGAATGGGTTGTGAAGGGCTTGCAGCGTGACGTCTTCCTGTATCGGCTCCATTGCTGGCAAAGTAGGTGTGACCTCTTGAGTGAAGTGAAGCAATTCAAGGTGTGTGTGAGTGTGACCTCTTTACTGGAGAAGAGTCTATCCTGGGAAGGACTGTTTGGAAGGACCTCCTCTCCTCCACTGAAGGAAGGAACCTTCGAGAATGCACTCACACCAATCGCTCATCCGTGCGCCTGGCGACCGCACGGGAGGCACTCACTGGCTCACTCACTCGCTCATTCATCCAATAGAAACTGTAGCGAGCGAGCTAAGGACGATAAGGAAGGCGACGCACGGCACGTGAGTTCAGGACGTGATATCAGATAATCAGATCTCAGCCACGAACAGGGATAAGGTGTTGCTGACATGGCATGAGCCGGCTCTAGGTCGATTCGCAGGTGGTAACTGTGTGGTGGGAACAACAGTCTAGGAATTTACGGCAGGTGACAGGAGACTTGTTGAAGCTTATATGCAATGGTTCACTACGATTCGTAGGGTTTCAACGCGGCGAAGCTGCAAAAAGGACCTTCACGCCACAAGCCAACGATTCCCACGACCTGGTAAGGCGAGACTGGTGAAATGGAAGAGAACGTCCAAGGAGTCAAGTTGGCCAATGGACAACCCGCTACAAAAATCACCGTTATGCGCTCACCGTAACACTAAAAGGTGTACCTACTAAATTTTCAGTCACGTGTTCTAGAGTTACCAATATAAAACGCAAGCTAAGATTCTCCAGAGCATGCCGTAGCTTCTCATCCCAGAAGAATGACAGTTTGGAAACCTTTGATGCATCATGAATAATATAGGAAGCAGTTAAAGCACGCGGCCCAAATTGTGGACCGCGCGGGTCAAGTTTTTAAAACTTGACAAAGTGAGCTGTGCAAGCTTTGAAAAGTAGCGCAGCTGCAATTTGGGACTTTAGAAGTCTGACACACCCACCAGGGTAAAAACGTGGGGCTGGCTAGGTTTGGCGAAAAAAAAAACAAATTTCACGAAATCGGAAACACTCGCCAAAACCCAAACCAGTGAAACTCCCTCTCGTCATCTTTTTAAAACTTGTGCAATTTGGGCCAACGGCTTTAAGAAATTTCTCATTTCGCACGATACGTACATGCTCTGCAAATCTGCTATTGTGTGTACCTTCTTTATTTCAGAAAAAAACTCGACATTTTACGAAAACCATACAGTTTCTGCGAGGAATAACCATGACCATTACTGGCCTCGTTGTGTTCGTAGCACGTAATCTCTCCACCACTGAATCACATGAAAAATACAAGAATACAGCTCGGAGTAATGAGGCGGGGGAACAATAGCAGCATGCAGCAGACACACAAGACATGCAAAAAATATGTACACCTGCTGTCCCTCCTCCCCTCTTGTGTGATGCACACATTGGTATGTCTCTGTCCGCCTCTGTCCCACAGTAAATCAAATAACATATTCCCCAGGCCTCCCCATGTGTGCAGCGCAGCAACAAAAGACGGTGCATTCGCACATAGTGCATTCTGTCCGCCTCTGTCTCATTGTTATTAAACACCAGATATTCAAAGCCTCACCTTGAGTTGGGCAACGAAAGACGGACCATCGAGTGGGTGCGTCCGCACATAGTGCACCCTGTCCGCCTCCTCGGTCCCATGTTCAGGTAGAGAATAAAATTTCAAAGGCTCACCTTGTGTGAAGCAACAAGAGACGGTACATCAAGAGGGTGTGTTCGCACATAGTGCATTCTGTCCGCCTCGACCCATGTTGAATCAAAGACAGATTTCCAAAGCCTCACCTTGTGTTGGGCAACAAGAGACGGAACATCGAGCGGGTGTGTTCGCACATAGTGCATTCTGTCCGCCTCCTCAGTCCCATGGGCCCACCATTCAATGGGGTCGTCAGCCTTCATGCCCAGGCTGCATTCGCTCGCTCCATACTTTATAATGCCCTGGGAGGGGAGGAAAGTCAACACAATTCAATGGAAGTCAATCGGTGTGAGCGGAGGGGTGTCCTTGGTCCCATAGGCCAACCATCTAATGGGGTCGTCAGCCTTCATGCTCAGACTGCACTCTCCCGCTCCATGCTTGATTATGCCCTTGGGGGAGCAAAGCCAACACAAGTCAACGAGAGTCAATCAGTATGACGAAAGGTCAGTGGGCCTCCACAGTCCAGCATTAAATGGTGTTGTCAGCCTTCATGCTCAGACTGCACTCGCTAGCTCCATGCTTTATTATGCCCAGGGAAGAGTAAAGTCAACACGAGTCAACGAGGGTCAGTCAGTGTCAACAGAGGGCAGTGGGTGTCCTGGTCCCATGTGCCCACCATTCAATGTGATCGTCTCGTCAGCATCAGACTGCACTCCGTGACAGCACGCTCTATCATGAAGCGTGGATGGTTCAAGCAGTCACCACATGAGAGCAGAAACGCCAGAAAGCATTTGCGTGGAAGTGGTGGTGGTGACTGAGAGTGTCAGTGGGCAGGAGGTCGCCAGTTGAACACTAGGACGCCACAAAGCACTCACACGGAAGTGGTGATCCCTGCCTGAGAATGTCAATGGGCAGGGAGCGGCTGTTCAAGAGGTCGCCACTTGAACACAGAAACGCCACAAAGCAGTCACACGGAAGTGGTGGTGCCACTTAGACGCAAAAGGCACTCACATGGAAGTGGTGGTGCCTGAGTGTGTCTGTGGGCAGGTCCTTCCCTCCCCCTCTTGGATCTATAACAACATGGTTCTTCGAAGAAGTGGTGATGCCACTTAGATGCAAAAGGCACTCACACGGAAGTGGTGATGCCACTTAGATGCAAAAGGCACTCACACGGAAGTGGTGATGCCACTTAGATGCAAAAGGCACTCACGCGGAAGTGGTGATGCCACTTAGATGCAAAAGGCACTCACGCGGAAGTGGTGATGCCACTTAAATGCAAAAGGCACTCACACGGAAGTGGTGATGCCACTTAAATGCAAAAGGCACTCACACGGAAGTGGTGATGCCACTTAAATGCAAAAGGCACTCACACGGAAGTGGTGATGCCACTTAAATGCAAAAGGCACTCACGCGGAAGTGGTGATGCCACTTAAATGCAAAAGGCACTCACACGGAAGTGGTGATGCCACTTCAATGCAAAAGGCACTCACACGGAAGTGGTGATGCCACTTAAATGCAAAAGGCACTCACACGGAAGTGGTGATGCCACTTAAATGCAAAAGGCACTCACACGGAAGTGGTGATGCCACTTAAATGCAAAAGGCACTCACGCGGAAGTGGTGATGCCACTTAAATGCAAAAGGCACTCACACGGAAGTGGTGATGCCACTTAAATGCAAAAGGCACTCACGCGGAAGTGGTGATGCCACTTAAATGCAAAAGGCACTCACGCGGAAGTGGTGATGCCACTTAAATGCAAAAGGCACTCACACGGAAGTGGTGATGCCACTTAAATGCAAAAGGCACTCACACGGAAGTGGTGATGCCACTTAAATGCAAAAGGCACTCACACGGAAGAGGTGATGCCACTTAAATGCAAAAGGCACTCACACGGAAGTGGTGATGCCACTTAAATGCAAAAGGCACTCACACGGAAGTGGTGATGCCACTTAAATGCAAAAGGCACTCACACGGAAGTGGTGATGCCACTTAAATGCAAAAGGCACTCACACGGAAGTGGTGATGCCACTTAAATGCAAAAGGCACTCACACGGAAGTGGTGGTGTCTGAGTGCGTCTGTGGGCAGGTCCTTCCCTCCCCCTCTGGGGTCTGCAACAATGTGATTCTCCACCACTCGCACCTGTGGGAGAAGGGGGGCGGGGAGGAGGAGGAGGGGGTGCAACGATGGTATTCTGGTTCGTGTAAGAGGGGATGATAGGGTATTCCCCCTTCTGCAGGGTCTGTGACCATACGGCTCTCCACCGCTCACACCTGCGGGAGAAGGGAGGGGAAGAGGAGAATCAAGGGGTGACAGTTGCCTGGAAGTGAAGAGCCAGGATATTTAGGATTAAGAGGACCGAAGATGATTTGAGACAAATCAACAATCATTGCTTGACGGGTTCTCACCTTCCTGGAGTCAACAAAGAGCTTGCGGTGGCCCCTATGGTTGAGGCACATGTCGCATGGGTGGGTGGTGCAAGCACTCGTGGTTTCAATCGCTTCAGGCACGGACACGCACCTTCCTGGGATCCACAAAGAGCTTGCGGTGGCCCCAGTGGTTGAGGCACATGCTTGGATCGGTGGTGTTGTCCTTTGCCTGGCAGTAGATGAACGGCCAGTGCCACAGCATGCGCTCCAACGGCCACCTGGGGTCTGCAATTGCAATGGAAGAGAGGACGGGAGCAGAGGAAGGGTCAGCAGCCCCAGAGGGGAGTGCCACAGCATGCGCTCCAACGGCCACCTGGGGTCTGCAATTGGAGGAGGAGGGGAGAAGAGGGGTGGGTGAGGAAAAGGAATGACTAAAGGGTTTGATGCAGGGACAGGCAGTGCCACAGCATTCGCTCCAACGGCCACCTGGGGTCTGGCAGTGAGGAGGGAGAGAGAACAGAAGATCGACAAAAGGGATTGCGCCGTGGGCCGAGCCGAGTGGCTGAGGCGAATCTTTGGGTCGGTGGTGTTGTCCGTGGCCTAGCAGAAGATGAACGGCCAGTGCCACAGCATTCGCTCCAACGGCCACCTGGGGTCTGAGATTGGAGACGGGGGGATGGGGAAGGGAAGGAGAGAGGAGGGAGGGGGGACGGAGAGAGGAGGGAGTCAGGACGGAGAGAGGAGGGAGAGAGGAGGGAAGGAAGAGTGAGTGGAGGACGGTGGTGTTGTCCTTTGCCTGGCAGTAGATGAACGGCCAGTGCCACAGCGTTCGCTCCAACGGCCACCTGGGGTCTGGGAAATGGAATGGAAGAGAGGAGATGAAGAGAGGAAGGGAGCAGAGGAATGGTTAGCAGACACAGCAGAGAGGGAGTGCCACAGCATGCGCTCCAGCAGCCACCTGGGGTCTAAATTTGGATGAGGAGAGGAGGGGACAGACAGAAAGGGAAGGAGGAAAGAGGGAAGACGACGAGAGGAAGGAAGCAGATGATGAACAACGGGAGCGCTCACTCACAAAGGGTAGTCAGGAACGACGTGAGCGACAAATCACATGTCGATACTCACTGCTCCCCGGAACATCCAAGCAAGAGCACATACAGTAGCCTGAAACCAAGTCGCAGCAAACGTACCATTGACTACTAGGGAAGGCAGGCAGCAGCGCTCATGGTCCCACCACGGCAAGGTGCAAATAGTGGTGGGACCACAGCGAAATCCAAGTCGTATTTTTGCCACTGCTCCATGATGTCTTCTAGGATTTCATTATTCGATAGCGTATTTTACGCTATTTTTTCAGAGATATGGCCGTATTTCTGCACCTTGCACCACGGACATCCGAGGCTCATGTAGGGCAGTCAGAAGCAGACAAAATCACGCAAGTGCGGCCCTCACCAAATCACGCGAGTGCGGCCCTCACCAAACCGTGCGAGCAAGTCTGCAACCAAGCAAGTCCACAGGCAGCCTGGAACCACATACCATTATCGCCTTGAGCAGGAAGGCAGCGCTCATGGTCCCACCACAGGCACCCGTGGCTCACATAGGGCAGGCCCTCGTGAGGGGCAAGGAATTCATGCACGCTCATTGGGTTGGGTACTCGCTCCTGGAGGTAAAGAAACAGCGGGATGAAGGAAGAAGACAATAAAGGCACATCTGTGCACCTCAGTAGGGTGAGGTGAAGCAGGAGCAAGGACGTGGAAGAATTGAAAGCATGCCCTCATGCAGAGAGAGAAAGCGAGATGAGGAGTGTGCGGATGGGGGGGTGGGATGATGCTATTTTTGAGTCAACTCAAAAATAGAGTCGACTCAAAAAAAGAATGCCCTCATGCAGAGAGAGAAAGCGAGATGAGGAGTGTGCGGGTGGGGAGGTGGGATGATGCTTGCATGTGGACCTGGTCAAGCAGAAGCAGAAGGAGAAGGAGAAGTGTGCACTTGATGCTGATTCTTACTTGACCACTGATGAACATGAACTCATCAAAAGCAAGGTGCGTACGCCAGATGCTGGAGAAGGAGGAGTGAGGAAGCGGGTGCGGGTGTCGACGAAGTGGGTATGAAATAAAAGTGCTTACTTGACCATTAATGAAGATGAACGTGTCAAATGCAAGGTGTGTGTGCATACCAGACGCTGGAGAAGGGGGAGTGGAGTGGCAAAGGGCGTGCTCACCTGGCCATCAATAAACATGAACTCATCAAAGTCAAGTCAAGGTACATGAGCCACTTGGAGAGGAAGAAGTGGGTGGTACCTGTGTGGGTGTGTGTGGGTACCTGTGGGGGTACCTGTGTGGGTAGTGGGCTTACTTGACCATCGATAAAGATGAACTCGTCAAAGTCAAGGTACATGAGCCACTTGGAGAGGCGGCGAAAGCGGTACACACAGTCGTTCACTATCATCACCTGGTTGGGGGGAGAGGAGAGGAGAGGGCGGAATGGGTTGTTGATACACAACACACGGTGGTTCACTACCATTACCAGGTGGGAAGTGGGGGAGGGCGAAGGGAGAGAGAGAGAGATGCAAATGATACACACAGTCCTTCATTATCATCACTTGGTAAGGGGTTGGGAGAAAGGAGACAGGAGGGATGGAAGCATGGAGGGATGTTGAGCACAACTGGTAAATGCATGCTTGTTGTGCTCAACATGCTGCATTTGAGTCGCTTCAAATCACAGCATGCCACCATTGCCTGTCACCATCGCATGTCAGCTCACCTGTCCATAGTACCAGGACTCATAGTTCACCACATCACGGAAGTCAGTGACTTCCACTATCCCTCCATCAAGAAACGGCTGCGGGGAATGGAGAGAAAGTCAACGGTTGGGGGAGAAAGGTTACAAGGTTAGGTGAACGAGAATTCAGAATGACTTACGGATAAGAAAAAGAGAAGAGAAGAGAAGAGAAGAGAAGAAAAGAAAGAAAGAACTCACTTGGGGCACAGAGCGCAGGTGCAATACAGGTCCACACTGCCCACCCCCATGCGGATGTGAAGATCCATGCCCCATGCCCCATGCCACATGCCCCATGCCACATGCCCCATGCCACATGCCACATGCCACATGCCACATGCCACATGCCGCATGCCGCATGCCACATGCCACATGCCACATGCCACATGCCCCTATGCCCCATGCTCATCATCACATGAGAGCATGACGATCCCGTTGCATACCTGCAGCACGGAGCGCAGTTGCAGGTCCACGCCGCCCACATCATAGAGAACGTAGTGGTCCACCCCCATGCGGATGTGGCCCCATGCCCCATGCCCTGCCCCATGCCCTGCCCCATGCCCCATGCCCATCATCACATGAGAGCATGACGATCCCGTTGCATACCTGCAGCACGGAGCGCAGTTGCAGGTCCACGCCGCCCACATCGTAGAGAACGTAGTGGTCCACCCCCATGCGGATGTGGCCCCATGCCCCATGCCCTGCCCCATGCCCTGCCCCATGCCCCATGCCCATCATCACATGAGAGCATGACGATCCCGTTGCATACCTGCAGCACGGAGCGCAGTTGCAGGTCCACCCCTCCCACATCGTAGAGAACGTAGTGGTCCACCCCCATGCGGATGTGCAGATCCATCCACTGGCGGACGCGCTCTGCTCTCACCTGGAGGCATGCACATGAAACATGGAACATGCCACATGGAACATGCCACATGCCACATGCCACATGCCACATGGCACGTAAAAAGGGAGAGGAGGAGGGGAAGGGAGGGAGTCATAGGTGCAGATCCATCCACTGGCGGATGCGCTCCGTTCTCACCTGCAGGCATGCGCATGGAACATGAAACATGCACCACGCCACAAAATGACCCTTCAGGGGAACAACAAGGTGACCGTTCAGGGGAATCCTTTAGGTCGATTCCAATGTCACGAGAGCAAAACAAAGAGGAGGTTGGGGGGTTGGGGGAGGCAGTGGGTGAGACAGGAGGAGAGGGGAGGAACTGGAACTCCTGTTGAGAACGGCGTGAAAAGAAACCGTCTGAAAAAACGATCTTCTTGGTTAAGATGCATGCAAAGCGGCATCCACTCGGGATTAGCTCACCTGGTGGTGAATGGGGGGCGAGCAGTGCGTGATGTTGCGCAGGAAGGGGGGATGGAAGGCGGGGCGAACTCTATAGTGTGAAGAGCGAACGAAGGCTCACGTGCTATCTGGTGAACAGGAAAAAAACTCACCTGGTGGTGAATGGGGGGCGAGCAGTGCGTGATGTTGTGCAGGAAGGGGGGATGCGGTACAGCGTTCACCACCTCCCCTGCCTCCTCCTCATAAACCACCACATCCTCCCCGTCTATGCGCATGTGCAGCCACCCCCCCTCTGCCACGTATGCCTCCCTGCAACGAAACGCATGGGGCAGAGCATGGGGCATGGGTCATTGGGCATGCGTCATGGTTCATGGGTCATGGGTCATGGGGCATGGGTCATGGGGCATGGGTCATGGTTCATGGGTCATGGGTCATGGGTCATGGGTCATGGGTCATGGGTCATGGGTCATGGGGCATGGGTCATGGGTCATGAGGCAACGGGGAGGGCACAGAGAAGAACAGACCCTTGTCTCACGAATCAAGTGTGAAAGTCAGAGTGACTAATCATGACAGAAAAGGACCCCTTGCCTCACCCACTTTCCTTATCAATGTGCAGAACATTTTCTTTGAGATCTAAGTAGTACAGGAGGAATTTTACTGTCTATCTTTTGCTTTAAGTCCTAGTCAAGTTTGCAGCTCGCTGAGAAGAATGTCACAGGACCCCTTGCCTCACCCACTTTCCTTATCAATGTGCAGAACAGAATGACTACATCTGCATGCAGAGAAGGATGAGCAGAAAAATGCCCTTGTCTCACCTCTTGAGCGTGCAGAGCAAAATCAGCCCAGCGTATTTCCACCAATGGTGTTCTCCCACGTGTAGCACCTCCACACTGCCATGTATCCACCCCCTTTCCTCCTCCTCCGCCTCCTCCCTCCTCTCCTCCTCCTCCTCCCTCGACTCGCCCGGTTTCTCCCCATTCACAGAGGGATCACTCTCAGGTGATTTATCAGGTGAATTAGCAGATGAGCCGTTCCCTCCCGCACCTTCTCCTCCCCCTTCCCCTCCTCCCGCCTTTTCCCCACTTTCCTGTGCAGCAGCAGCATCCCCGCCCCCCTCCTCTAGCTGTCTCCTTTTCTGAGACGCCTCAAAGTTCTCAGCAGCAATACCCCCTTTCGACTCCTGACCCACCATCTTGCCCTCCTTTCCTCTCCTCAGCACTCTGCTCCTCTCCTCCTCCCTCCCATCCTTCGTTCCCCACTCCTCCCACCTCTCTTCCTCCCTCTTCCCCTCCCCCCTCCTCCCCTCTGCCCGTGCCACGTTCCTCCTCTCACCCTTCCTCTCTCCGCCTCTGCGTCTCTCTCCCTTTCCTCCTCCCTCCAGCCCCTTTCTTTCTCCAACCACCTCCTTCACCATCAGCCTCCTTCTCCTCTTCCCTCCCTCTGAGGCGCCTCTCTTTGCATTGTCTCCTCTGCTGCTCTCTCCTTGCCCTCCCCCGGCTGGCTTCCCTGGTTCCCACGCGCATTTGCCCACCTTACACACGGAACCGCACACACACATATACACACACCACCATGTACGGGTTACAACGTTTATTAAATGCTTGCTTTTTGAGGCACCTCAAAAGTCTGCCGCCCTCTCCTTGCCCTCCCCCAGCTGGTTTTCCTCCCTGGTTCCCACGCGCATTTGCCCACCTTACACACGGAATCACACACACCACCAGGCATGGCATGGTATGGTTACAATGTGCGTTGAACGTTACATAACAAACAATCCAGAGATAACAAACAGGTTGATACAAGAGTAAATTAAGCAGGAATCAGAAAAACAGTATTAATTCTACGATTCACTCACTCCACTCACAAACAATTTAGCAGCAGGCTTCTGTGCACCTTATGGCCTCACTCCCTCTCTGCATCACTCACCTCATTCATCCATTCCCTTGCTCCTCCCTTCTCTCACTTTCATCCGTTTCTCCCCATCCTCCTCCCCCTCTTTCTCCTCACCTTCTCACGTCCCTCTGCCACCCTCCCACCTTCCCCCATAAGCGCGAGCGGCCAGGCCAACAGCAGCGAACTGGGAGGGCGAGACGCAAAACCCGGAGAACTGGGCAAACGACACCAACCCTAAACCCTAAACTTGAGGTTCAAACATTCCCCCACCCCCTTCCGGACCTGTCCATTTCCTCTCCCTCCCTGTTCCTCCCTCACCTTCCTCCCTTCCCTCTCTCTCACTTCCTCTCTCTCCTCCTCCCCCTCCTCACCTTCCTCCCGTTTCCTCCCTCTTTTCAGCAACCCCCCCTTCGCCCCACTCCCCATCCCACTCCTCACCTTTCTCCCTTCATCCAGAGCGCGGGCGGCCAGACCAACAACAGCGAACTGGGTGGGAGACACGCGATACCCGGAGAACTGGGCAAATGACACCAGCCTTCCTCCCCCCTCCTCACCTTTCTCCCTTCATCCATAGCGCGGGCAGCCAGGCCCACAGCAGCGAACTGGGTGGGCGAGACGCGATAACCGGAGAACTGAGCAAACGACACCAGCCCCACACGCCTGAACGTGTGCTGCCACCACTCTGCCGGCCGAAACATCTGCGCGATGTCCCCTCCCTTCTTATCTTCCTCCCCCTGATCAAGCCTTCCCCATGCCCCCTGTGCTTCCCCTCCCCGTCCCCTCCTCTCCCCATTTCCCTCCTCACCTTTCTCCTTTCATCCAGAGCTCGAGCGGCCAACCCCACAGCAGCGAACTGGGAGGGCGAGACGCGATACCCGGAGAATTGGGCAAACGACACCAGCCTTACTCCTTTTACCCAACGTCTAGGCTTTCCCCTATCCTTCCCCACCCGCACATCACTTCCTTTTATTTCCCTCTCCCCATCCCTCACCTCCCCTTCCACCCTTCCCTCTCAATCATCTTCCTCCGCTCCCATCCCCCGCCTCACCTTTCTCCCTTCATCCAGGGCGCGGGCGGCCAGCCCAACAGCGGCAAACTGAGTAGGCGAAACGCGATACCCGGAGAACTGAGCAAACGACACCAGCCCCACACGCCTGAACGTGTGCTGCCTCCACTCCGCCGGCCGAAACATATGAGCGATATCCCCCCCCTCAGGCCCGGAAGATAAACCGCTGTGTCCAGCACCCCCACTGCTGCTGTCGGGAACTGCAGGTTCGGCGCTTGGTTCGGAGCCATCCGAAGCAGTGTTGGCGGTGGCAGGAGAGGAGGCAGGAGTGGTGTCAGTGTGCTGTTGCGCTGACTCTCCTGCTGCAACCGCTGCTGGCGATGATGGTGGTGAGTCGTTCTGGGTGAGGGACTGAGGGGTTGAATGGTAAAAAGCCAAGGTAGAAGGAGAAAGGGCACAAGCAAGCAGGCAGGGCAGGTTGAAACGATATTTTATTCGAGGCGACTCAAGAAAAAGGGCAAGCAAGAAGGGCTTGAACAAAGGCCATGGCGTTACAGTTGCTTCTTTCTGTATTCCAAGGGTCATATTCGAAGGGCAGCTTGATTGAACAAAGACCATGAATCGAGTTTTGAGTCGACTCAAAACTCGACCATGACGTTACAGTAGCTTCTTTCTGTATTCCATGGTAATACACCTTGACTCATATTTGAAGGGCAGCTTGATTGAACAAAGGCCATGAAAGCCATGATAGCTTTTGAGACGTCTCAAATGACGTTGCAGTAGCTTCTTTCTGTGCGCCTCTTAAAGCTTGTGTTTGCAGAAAACACATTGTGCTTGTTTATTCCTTAGGAACGTATGAGTATCTTCAGCAAAGGTCAATGTTTCTGTACGAGTGAGTGACGCTTACCGATTGAGCAAACTGCGGGGGTATGGAAGAGGAGGCACGGATGAGTCTGCTTTTGAGTCGACCCAAAAGCAAAGTCAATGTTTCTGTACGAGTGACTGACGCTTACCGATTGAGCAAACTGTGGGGGTATGGAAGCGGAAGCACGGATGAGTCTGCTTTCAAGTCGACTCAAAAAGCAAAGTCAATGTTTCTGTACGAGTGACGCTTACCGATTGAGCGAATTGCGGGGGTATGGAAGAGGAGGCACGGATGAGTGCTTGCTCCTCGTCCTGGAAGATTGAGAAGATGTCAAACCATAATATGAACACCTGGGCAGGAGAAAGGGGGTGTGGGGGGGAGAGGGAGAGTAGTGGGTACCAGGCAACTGGCTTGCTTGCTCCTCGTCCTGGAAGATTGAGAAGATGTCCAACCAGAAGACGAACACCTGGGAAGGGGGAAGGGGAGAGGGGGAGGTTGAGGGGAGGGGGAAAGGGGGGTTTAGTGGGCAGGACGGAGGAAAGAGGGTGGGGAAGTAGGGGGCACGAGGCAACTGCTTTGCTTGCTGCTCGTCCGCCTAAAAGAAAGACAGTGAGAGAGACTGACGTGGTAGTACATCGGGTAGGCACCTGCTCTTCTCCTGCTTGATTCCTGAGTCCACTCAAGAGTCGTCTTTTTTAGTCGACTCAAGAGTCATCATTTTTAGTCGACTCTAAAGTCTCCTCGTCCGCGTGGAAGAAAGACAGTGAGAGAGACTGAAGTAGTACATCGGGTAGGCAGCTGCTCTTCTCCTGCTTGCTCTCTGTGTGTGCTTGCTTCTTCTATGTCTGCCTCAGAGATTGAGAAGACCTAACAAAAGAGCATGAACACTTGGAGGAAAGCTGTTTTTGAGACGTCTCAAAAGTCTTCTCCTGCTTGCTCTCTGTGTGTGCTTGCTTCTTCTCTGTCTGCCTCAGAGATTGAGAAGACCTATAACAAAAGAGCATGAACACTTGGAGGAAAACTGCTGGAAAATCTCCCAGATGAGCCTCACACACACACCCTCCCTCTCACTCACCACTGAGCCTCACATAAAAACCACTTCTCTCTCACCACTTGAGTTGAGCCTCACTCACGCACGCCCCCTCACCAGTAAAAGGCAGACTGCCAGAAGAATGTAAGGCGTGGAACCCTTGGGCAGCTGTAGGGGGGTGTGGACCGAGGAGGATTAGAATGAGGAGCAATGGAGTGGGGAGATTTTGAATGAAGGAGGATGGGATTGGGAAGAATGAAATTGGGGGAGAATTGAAAAGAATGAAAGGGGGGTGCCGGGGAAGGGGGGTGGGTGGGGGTGGATGGGGGGAATAAGGAAAAAAAAACAAAGACAAAATCGCTTGCCTTGCAAGATATCTTGAAAAATCGAACAAATTTCTCACAGGGTGGTAATCTGCATCGAAGCACAGCACACGCGGGGATAAAAGACGAAAGCCCAGTACATCCCCCCCCTCGCACTCGGGTCGGCCAAGGCAGAGAAACTCCAAACCTCCCCTCACACACACACAGGTGGCTAAGTCAGAGAAACTCCACACTCCCCTCACACAAAGGCGGCCAAGGCAGAGAAACTCCACACTCCCCTCACACACAGGCGGCTAAGTCAGGGAAGCACCGCACCTCCCGGCGTTGAATGAGTCGTGTTTTGAGTCGACTAAAAAAACGCTCCACTCACACACCACTAGCGGCTAAGTCAGAAAAGCAAGCACCGCACCTCCCGGCGTTGAATGAGAGCGTTCCATTGCTGCAGGATGATGGACGCGGATGCCGCTGACGTCATCAGAGCCTGCCATCCCTCTCCGTGGGCAGCGGACGCTGACGTCACTGGCTGCTGCTGCCGCTGCTGCTGCTGCTGCTGCTGCTGCTGCTGCTGAAGAAGAGGCTGATGTTCCCAATTCCCTTGATTTCCCTGATTGTAACCCACGAGTTGCTCCTGCTGCACCCGATGCTCGTTGTGATTCCCCTGATTCCCCTGATACTCCTGATTTCCCGGGTGCCCTAAGTTGTGACCAGAATGCTGATGGTCCTGATGGCCGCGTTGGTGCCTGGAACCTTCGCTTTCAGATGCCGACGGTGAAGCAGTTCGACCGCGGCTTCCGCCGCTCACGCCGCTTCCGGGGCTCCCTGCTCTCCTGTGCATCCCCTTGCTCTTCTCCTTCTCTCTCCCCCGTCCCTTCTCCTTCTCATCTTTCGTTCTCCCCCTCCCCTTCTCCTTATCATCTTTCCCTCTTTCCTTACTACCCCTCTCCCTACCCTTTTCTCGCCCCCTCTCCTTATCCCCCTCCTTCCCAGCCATCGCCTGCTGTTTTTTTCGATAGCTGCCGCTCTTTGAGTCGCCTCAAAATTCGGCCATTCCGTGCTTTTCTCGATGGCTCCCTGTTACAACTGGCGACTACTCGTGACACGGTTCTGGCCAATCAGAGTACTCATGGGAGGAACAACTGGGTTACCACGGAAGTTGATACGGAGTTTCTGCAGCAGCGTGCGGGGGGAAACCTTCAACCGCACCGAGCAGCTCTGAGCAAGTCTGAAGTCTGATTAAGGAGGTCGCAATTAAAGAGTATGTGAATGCAAATCGCGGTAACGTTGCTACGGGAGGAATGTAAAAGCTGGGAGCGATGCGGACGGTGAAGAAACAGGAATGTCAGCGTTCCGCTTCTGATTCGACGGTCAGCCTACGTTCCTGAAGAAATCTACGGTTGACGTCATCTCTATTCCGTACGGAGCTGCTCGGAGAACGTGAATGTCGTTGTCTCAGGTCGATCAATGATGCTTAGGGCGCGTAACCATTTTGACGGTTTCGGTTCGTTAACGAACCGTTCGTGCGATTTAAGCGTTACTTCTATTCGTGAATAACTGTACGACGTCGCACACGAAACTTAACCAGATGGAACTTTTTGGAAAACACAGGCGATATGAAACGGTTCGATCCCGTTCGTTTATCGTCCGTTCGAAAAAAAACAGCCAAAAGCAAAATGGCTACACGACCTTAGCCCAAGCTCGATCAGCCATCGCACTGTAATCCCGCTTGTTGCATCTACAACTTACGAAACCTACTCTAACCTCTCGAAATAACGAACCTCAGGCCAGTTGACTGATGGACAACATATCACCACAGCAGGTGGAGCAACAAGAAAAATGCTTTTCAGACGCCGCCTCCATATCAGTATTGGCCACGAGTTGCTGAAAAACTTCGTTCGCTATTGAACGATGATAGGTTTTTTTCAGTCAGACTAAGCATTCAGAAAGTATGTTTTCTTTAGGTTTAAGCAGCTATAGTGGAACTGTTTTCTATCCTCATAATAGCCTCTGTTCCAAACGCATTGTAGCGCGGATTGGTAGCTCCTCTTCCTCGGTGCTTCCAACTCCACTTACGTCACGGTTGTGTCAGACGGTGACTGGCCTATTTTCAAGCAAGAAACGACTCTACGCGCAGCGCAGCACAGTATCGCATCACGGCGGTACGTTCCTCTTGTGAAAGCGTGATTTGGAGGAGACTATTCAATCCACAGACCCCGGTATCCACAGCCTCCCACTACTTAATATCCCGGTTACCACCTTTAACAATTCGCCTCCTCGCGTTGATACCAGTTTCGCATTCCAATCCGTCGCCTGCATTTGTCACAGATTCTCCGCGCTCCTCCTTCCGCGTTCCGCCTTTCCGCGCTCGCCGTTCCGCGTCCCGCTTTTCAAATTCCAGGAGTTCCGGTTTCCGGATTCCGGGGATCTGCCAGCCACCATGCAGCACCTACGATCACGCGGCGCCTCTTTCGCCGATACTCTCGCTGCTCGGTAAACTTTGGCCCATGCGCCTATCCGGAGTAAACCGGAGGGCTCCCATCCAAGTAAACCAGTGGAAGATCCACGAAATAATATCCTCATCCTTTTCGAGCATGTATTTCATTCGATGGGACTACAGATTCGTGTTAATTGCTGTATTTTTTTATTGTCAAAGAAGGATCTGTTCTGCATCACTCGTTAAGTCCTCGTCTTTCTTCCCCGCCCTCACCCTCCCTTCCTCTCTCCCTCCCTTCCGTTTGCCCAGCCTCTCTCCTCTCCTCTCCCGCACTTTCCCTGCAGCTTCCTACCATGCATCTGTCCACGTGTTCCCATGCATGGCTGAGGAACGCCAGAGCCAAGGGGCAGGCTCGGCAGCTGCAGCTGGTTCGGCAGCAGGCTCGGCAGCAACACCAGGTTTGGCACCAGCAGCAGGAGGAACGGCAGTGTCAGCAGCGGGAGCGGCTGCAGGATCAACAGCAGCAGCAGAGGCAGTCAGACAGAATCTGAACAGGCAAGGATGTAATGTGCTTGGATGCTTGGATGCTTGTTGCGGGCAAAATACAGTCAGGCGAGAAAGGCACGCAATGGCTTCTTCTAAGGAATTTATGAGGCGTATTTTTAGTCGTTTCAAAAGGCATATCCTCCTATACTTGCACGCAACCTGCCATCAATGGTTGCACGATAGCAAGAGGGCTCGCTTTGTGATTGCTCTCTTTCTCTCTCTTCTGCTCTCCAGTGAGGTGTATTTTGATGCGCCTCAAAATACACCTCAAGAGGGCTCGCTTTGTGATTGCTCTCTTTCTCTCTCTTCTGCTCTCCCCCTTTCTGCTCTTCCCATTTCTGGATGCTGGATGGTGGGTGGGATTTTGCACCAGTCAGCATGAGCCTTTTCCGCCCCGCATGCCTCTCCCACTCCTCGCAGGCTGCGCTACCGCAGCAGGCAGAGGGGGTTCTTGAATTGAAGCTGCGGTGCTGCTGGGCAGGAAGGTGGGCGGGGGTCCGTCCGTACCATTCAGCGTGAGCTCTTTCCTCACTTCATGCATGCCCTGTCCTGTCCCTCCCGCACGCCCTCGCAGGCTGCGCTACCGCAGCAGGCAGAGGGGGTTCTTGAGTTGAAGCTGCACTGCTGCTGGGCAGGAAGGTGTTGATGCACCTCGTGCCTCCCTCCCCCCCCCCAAGGCCTCAACCCTCTCTCTCATCCCGTGCTTCCCCCTCCCTCTCCTCACAGGCTGCGCTACAGCAGCAGGCAGAGGGGCTTCTTGAATTGAAGCTGCGGTGCTGCTGGGCAGGAAGGTGGTGATGTACCTCGTCCCTTTACCCCAAGGCCTCAACCCTCTCTCTCATCTCGTGCCTCCCCCTTCCACTCCTCGCAGGCTGCGCTATCGCAGCAGGCAGAGGGGGTTCTTAGAACTGGATCTGCTGCTGGGCAAGTGGGTGGAGCAGCACCTGCCCTCTCTGGACCCCCCTCACCTCACTGCTCTTGCACGCCTCATGGACGAGGTGAGAAGGGCTTCGGGCTTCTTGAAGGTGAATGAGACTATCTGTTTCTTTTTGTTGGGATCTGCTGTTGGGGATGTGGGTGAAGGGAGGAGCACCTCCCTTCCCTCGACTCCCCACACTTGACCGCTCTTGCACACCTCATGGACGAGGCAAGGGTTTTTCTACTTCTTGAAGCTGAGCCGAGTGGGCCGAGTGGGCCCAGTGGGCCGAGTGGGCCGAGTGGGCCCAGTGGGCCCAGTGGGCCCAGTGGGCCCAGTGGTGTTTTGTCGATTCTTAAGATGAGACCTGCTGCTGGGCAAGTGGGTGGAGGGGCGTCTCCCTTGGCTCGACGCCAATCAACTCACTGCTCTTGCACGCCTCATGGACGAGGTGAGAGAAGGCGTTTGGGAGCACAACAGAGGGACGGCTATTTGTTTCACAAGGGTGGGCATGAAAGGACATTTTAGGGGGTCTGATTGATTATCCCTCACAAACCTGAGTGGCACCACTCTCGACTCTCATACCTCTCTGTGCTACAACGGGCCCGGTGGTCTGTCTGACCCTACCTGTCCGACCCTACCTGTCCGACCCTACCTGTCCGACCCTACCTGTCCGACCCTACCTGTCCGACCCTACCTGTCCGACCCTACCTCTCCGACCCTACCTCTCCGACCCTACCTGTCCGACCCTACCTGTCCGACCCTACCTGTCCGACCCTACCTGTCCGACCCTACCTGTCTGACCCTACCTGTCTGACCCTACCTGGTACGTCAGTATCTGGTATGGCTGTTTACCTACACCTCTGGCTCTGCTTCTGCATATGCCTACCCCCTCAACGCTCCCCATCCTCCCACCCTCCCTCCCTGTGCACATCCAGGAGCGTCCGGATCCCTTCAACTGTTATAGGCACCCTCTACATGCATACTTCCGAACCTACCCCCCTCACTCCCTCTTCCATTCCCCTGTCCCCCCGTCCTCCTTACCGGGTGCACAACCAGGAGAGTCCGGATCTCTTCAAGTGGTTCACAGGGCAGGAGCAAGCGCCAGAGCACGTGGTTCACAATCCTGTGAGTGCCTCAAGTACAAGCTCTGTAGCACGTGGTTCAGAACTCTGTGTGTATGCTTGGGAACTTTCACGCAAGTGGTTCACGGGACAGGAGGAGCAAGCGCCAGAGCACGTGGTTCAGAATCCTGTGAGTGCTTGAAAAGCATTCCTGTAGCACATGGACTTGTGCTACAGGAATGCTTACAGAAACGTAATTCTTGTAGCACTAGAATTCTGAGAGTGTTTCAGTTACAAGTCCTGGATCATGTGGTTTAGAATTCTGTGTGCCGGGTTTAGAACCTTTTCACAAGTGGTGTACCAGTCAGCAGCAAGTTTCGAGGTGACTTTTGAGTCACCAGTCAGCTCAAAAGTCTTTTGAGCCGACTCACAAGTGGTGTACCAGTCAGCAGTTTTGAGACGTCTCATAATGTTACTTTTATCACGTCGCTCAAAAGTGGTGTACCAGTCAGCAGCAAGTCTCACAGCCTGTTGCTCAGCTCACTATCCTGTGATTCTTTTTTTCCGAATGCCTTGAAAACAAGCCCTGCACCACGTGGTTCAGAATCCGGTGCGTAGAATATTAGAATTTTGATGGGGCAAGCCCCCTGCAGCAGGTACAAGCAACATGAGGAAGCTGGCAACACGTGCCTGCGAATTCTGAGAGTGTTTCTGCATCGCTTCGCACCCCCTTCTGAGAGAATTCTGAAAATCCTGGATTTCCCCTCCCTAGCTTACCTCACCGCTTACCCCTGCATGTTTCCACACATCCTCTTCTTGATTCGAGTCCGTTTTCTACCCCCCTCCGCACCTTCCCCTCCCTTCCGCTTCCCCATCTCTCTCCTCCCAGGTGTACACCTCCATTCGCAGCAAGGTAGGGGAGAGGCTGCATTGCATGCACCCAGCAGTGAACTCCCCGTCTCCTTTTCCCCTCCTCCCCTCCCAATCCCCCCTCCTCAGGTGTACCTCTCAATCCGCAGCAAGGTAAGACAAAAGGCTGCATTGCATGCACCCTGCAGTGACCCTTCTCCCTTCCCCTCCTCCCCTCCCCCTCCCCTTCCCCTCTCCTCTCCCCCTCCCTCCCCCTTTCCCCCCCCAGGTGTACCTCTCAATTCGCAGCAAGGTAGACGAAAGGCTGCACCGCATGCACCCTGCAGTGAAGGCCGCGCCTGGGCTGCCGCGGGTGAGGGGGTGGGAGGACACGTTTCCTCACTGCCTTAACCAACAGTTCCCACCCCCGCTCCCTCCCCCATGTGTACCTCTCCATTCGCAGCAAGGTAGAGGAGAGACTGCACCGCATGCACCCAGCAGTGAAGGCCGAGCCTGGCCTGCCATGGGTGAGAGAGGATGGGAGAGCACGTTTGCTCACTGCCTTTAACCAACAGTTCCCACCCCCGCTCCCTCCCCCAGGTGTACCTCTCCATTCGCAGCAAGGTAGAGGAGAGACTGCACCGCATGCACCCAGCAGTGAAGGCCGAGCCTGGCCTGCCATGGGTGAGAGAGGATGGGAGAGCACGTTTGCTCACTGCCTTTAACCACCCTCCTTCCTCGCGGCTCCCTCTCCCCCCTCTCCAGGTGTACCTCTCAATTCGCAGCAAGGTAGACGAAAGGCTGCACCGCATGCACCCAGCAGTGAAGGCCGAGCCTGGCCTGCCGTGGGTGAGGGGCTGGGAGGACATGCAGAGGCAACCGGGCACACCCCCTGCTGGCAACCAGTAGAGGCTTGACTGGAGCAACGAAAGGCTATGCTTTCTGTGTGATGGATGGGTGTAATTTGTTCGTGTGTGAGGGGATGCCACTCCTAGCTTGCCGTGGGTGCGGGGGTGGGAGGACATTCAGAGACAACCAGCCGCGCCCCCTGCTGGCAATCAGTAGAGGCTTGTGTATTACCCAACTTAGGGATGGGTTTATGCACCCTGCAGTGAAGGGAACATCTCGCTTAGCACAAGTTGTACAGGGTTTTTACAGTGTGTTGCATTACAGTGTAGGTATGGAAGTGATTGTTTCGCTAATGTTCCACAGCATATTACTAGTATTGTGGCCCATTCTGTCAGGAAATTGTATTGGCTGCACAACAAAAAACATAAAAACCGTAACAAAGATGTGCGTCTGCACTGTCATGTGAATTGTAACCCAAGATACACGTATATACAGTAACACAGCAACAGCGTAGCACAAGTATGCACAGAAAGCCGTTCAGCTAACTCTGTAGGTGCAGTAAGAGAACGGGGAGAATACTAGGAGTGGCTCATGCTCATGCACAAGATGTTTGAAAGTTAAGAAAGAAATTGATCTCCCAGACATAGCAAGCAAATAGTTCAGCTGCCTCGGTAAGTGGAATAGGAGAAGGGGGAGAGCAGCAGCGGCACGTGGAAGTGCTCCCACTCTTGCTCTGGCAGCACTTGGAACACTATCGACACATGAGGGAAGAACCCACCCAACCCACTCAAACCATCACCACCACCAGCACCACCGCTGCCACTCCCTGTGCCAGCTTGTGCGTCCCCGATTCCTCTTGCTGCATGCATCCGAGCAAGGTACTCCCCCGTTGCAAAGCTCAGCCGGTAGATCCCAGCTCCCACCCCACCACCTCCCACCGCTCCACCTCCTACCCCACCGCTTCCCACCGCTCCTCCCCCATCTCGACCCATGGAAAGCAGCCCAGCAGCCCTGCCATCCGCATTCGTCACTCCCTCCCCCACTCGCTCCCATCCCAACTCTGCACCACCACCCTCACTGCTGCCACCAACTCCCCCCTCCCCCTCTCTACTTCCTTTATGGGCCTCTATCTGGCGTTCAAGCACCACCCTGATGCCAGCAGCGGGTCTGCCCAGAGCCACGTCCAGCACATGTGTGGAGATGGATGGGGACTTGATGCTTGTACTGGGTGTGACTGTAGCGGGCACAGATGTGCCTGGAGGGCCTGGTGACACTGGGGAAGCAGGAAAAGGAGGGGAATCAGCAGAAGAAGAGACGTTCAGGTTGTTTCAGGGTTAGTATAAACGGAAGCTTGGTGCTTGTAATGAGTGTGACTGTTGCTGGTGTGACAGCCGAAACTAAGACTGGACCAGAGACTGGCGAGATGAGTAACGGCGCACCATGCACGCACACACCTGGGGAGACGCGTGCTGCGACTCACCATGCACTGCCAACCGTGTAGCCATATGGCATGTTGCAGGGACACAGAAGCACCCTTTGGCAAAGCAATGGCATTTGTGTCAACGCATGGATTAGGTGACATGCGTACAAGACAACAGCACGCACACACCTGGTGGTGCGATGTGTGCTGCGACTCTTGCCAGACGGTAGGTTGCAGGGGAGGAGACTGGGTGAGGAGGGGGAAGAAGACATATGCACATGAAAGATAAATGGATGGGATAGGGAGGGGGAGAGAGGAATGGAAAGGAACGTACTAGGTTAGTCGTGGCTGATTGGAGTAAAGAGAGTAATGAGAGAAGAGAAGAAAGAAAACAGGGTTACAGGAAGCAGCGAGGAATAAGTAAGGAGGGTGATAAAATCAGAGTGATATAGAAACAGGGGCTAACAAGGCCAGCGGGTCAGCCACACGCGGGTAACGCGTGAGAGGCACACCTGTGGTGTTGGCACCATCAAGCCGTAGCTTCTCCCGCCTCAGATGCTCTTCCAGTCAGAGTTGAAAGACAGAAAACACGCACTCTCTCACACACGCACACACACCTGTGGCGCCAACACTATCTGTAGGAGCGACCAGCAGCAGCTTCTCCAGCCTCAGCTGCTTTTCCAGTCAGACTCAAAAAAAAAAAAAAAAAAAAAAAAAAAAAAAAAAACACACACACACACACACTCTCTCTCGTACAGTCACACACACTCACGCTCACTCACACACACCTGTGGTGCCAACACTATCTGTGGGGGCGTCCAGCAGCAGCTTCTCCAGCCTCAGCTGGGTGATCATCTCTTGCTCCTTCGCTGCCAGCTGTACCTCGTAGATTGGCTGATTCGCCAGGCGCTCCTGCAATAGCAGGGGCGCGCACACATGGGATAAATGAGCACCTGCGACCATCTTGCTTCTCCAGCCTCAGCTGGGTGATCTTCTCTTGCTCCTTCGCTGCCAGCTGCACCTCGTAGATCGGCTGATTTACCAAGCGCTCCTGCAATACACAAGGCACACACACATGGAATGCATGAACACCTGCTGCTGTACACCTGCTGTTGCAACTCATATATCATATATCTTCTTTTGATCCTTGCCTGCTGTACAACTGCTGCTCCGAGCCGGCTAGCTGCTGCCAGCCGGAACAGTAGGGGGAAATTGGATCGTTGGACACTCGACATTGATCTATGTGTACTTGCCATCAGCTGGGTAAAAACACTCTTATTGCCAGTCACCGTAAGTCCGGGCTCCTTCTGAGAATTCTCAGAAAGGCTGGAGTAACAATCAGCCACGAGTCAATCACCTTGAGAGCAGAGAGTATTTCCGGTGCGGGCTTGCCCTGAGCGCAAATGATGAAGATGTGGCCAAAGCGCTGCTCGTAGCGGCGATTACACTCCGCCATCTCCTGAATCAAGGAGCAATAAGATAAGTAGGCAGGCAGGCAGGCGGGCAGGCAGGGAGGCAGAGCAGACGAGCAGGAAGGCCTATGGTTTTGTTTCGTGCAGAGAGTACTTCTGTTGCTGCTCTTCCCTGGGCGCAGATGATGAAGATGTGGCCAAAGCGCTGCTCGTAGCGGCGATTGCACTCCGCCATCTCCTGAATGGTTGTTGGGGCACGCCGGCACGCCGCTAGAGGGAGCGAGGGAGGCAGAATCTCATTTGTAGCAAAACGCTGTTGACGAGCAGTGCGAATTAATAAACGTCTACACAGGAACTGTGTGAAACATAGTTTGAATATGATGTGCTTGCCTCAAAGGATGAACCTTAAAATGCCTACAAGGGAATCATGTTCGAAGCACGCTCAGTCCAACTTAAAGGGTCACACGTCAAACTCTTTCCCTGCTATGACACACATCATAGCATCATATGATGAGATGTGCTTGCCTCAAAGGATGAGTCATCAAATCTGCCTGGGCTGCTGGAAAGCCTGAAATTACTGCAGAATTGCCTGCTCTTAGGATTTATGTTAAATAACCATTCTCTACTTGTCCTACAGCCCTGAAAAATGGGGAAGCGTTTTTTTAGTCAACTCAAAAACGGGGCTGCTGCCTGCTTCGAGGCGCCTCAAAAATGTTGGAGGCACCTCAGAAAGCGGACTTGCTTTTGACTACCATCAACTTGCCTCGAAGAACGTGTCGTCAGATGATTGGAGGGCTGCTGCTTGCTTTGAGGCGCCTCATAATTGTTCTGAGGCACATTAGACAGCGTACTTTCTTTTAACTACCATGAACTTGCCTGGAAGAATGTGTCGTCAGATGATTGCAGCGCTGCTGCTTGCTTCGAGCAACCTCAAAATGTTCTGAGGCACATTAGAAAGCGGACTTGCTTTTGACTACCATGAACTTGCCTGGAAGAATGAGTCGTCAGATGATTGCAGGGCTGCTGCTTGCTCTCCTTGGGACCATCTGGGCGTAGAACAAAGGCGGCGAGTGCATGTTGATCAAAGAATGCACGTTAGATAATAGCATGTACGCCAAGGGAAAGAACACATGTGCATATGTGCGCACATGTGCACGCAGAAAGATCGTAAGAAATGCATGTGCGTGCCTGTGAAGACATTACCATTTCTGGGATGAACACATCACTCACTGTTGTGTGGAAAACTTTCTCTTGAGCGATGCCACGTCACCAATCCTGGGATGAGCACTGAACGCCTCCAGCCAACCAGAGATGTCCACCTGGCAGGCACGGGATACAACTCATTACAGCACATATAGACCAAGACTATTAATCACTATTTCGTGTTTACTTACACCAACAGATAGGCAACGCGTTCAGGTGCCACGAAATCACTAGCATGCGACATATAATTGATACAACTACATGAATTCCGTCAATCCTTCTTACAGACAGCCCAAATCTGAGTGCCCAAATCTGAGTGCCCAAAACAAGAACGCGTGGTCTTTCTTGCCTGATTCCACCACACGTCGCAAGCACCAGTTTGTAAATCCTGTTTTTGAGGCGCCTCAAAAGCAGACTCAAAACAAGAATGCGTGGTCTTTCTTGCCTGATTCCACCACACGTCGCCTTTTGAGGCGCCTCAAATTCCGCGTGAGCTGAAACGATTTCTGAGGCGCCTCAAAACAAGAACGCGTGGTCTTTCTTGCCTGATTCCACCACACGTCGCTCGCAGCCCTTTGTAAATCCTCCACGCTTCCGAACGGGCGGCGCGCTGCAAGGCCAGAGGCGAATCTCTTGGAGCCGCAGCAGCGAATCAGCGCCTCGCTCGCCTCGGCTTCGGGAAGCGCGTTGAGCCATCTTAATCCCGCATCGAGTCGCGTCGCTCTCCCTTGCTCATACTGCTGCGGTTCAACCATTGCCGCTTAGTGAGTAGCTTGCAAATCCAGATGACAGCAGCTGGAACGCTGGAGGCATGGAATGGGAGAGGGGGTAAAGGAAGGATGGGAATTTCGCTGGAGAGGGTAAAGCAAGGCTAGAGGCAAATCTCTTGGAGCAGCTGCAGCGAATCAGCGCCTCGCTCGCCTCGGCCTTGGAAACCGCGTTGAGCCATCTCAATCCTGCATCGAGCCGCATTTCTCTCCCTTGCTCATACTGCTGCGGTTCAACCATTGCGATTGCACGGACGAACGCGAGATTGGTCGCTGGCACTTGCTATCTTTCCCTTACCCGCTAAATCCTGATATAGTAGAGCCTGAAAGGTTGAGACGGAAGGATGGAAGAGGCGGGGTAATGGGAGGATGGGAGAGCGGAGATGAGGAAAGAGGGGAACGGACTCGTCAATCCCATAAGAGGATTGGCGCGTCACGACGAGAGGTGTCTACTTTTGAGGCGTCTCAAAAGTAATCGAGATTTGACGTTTTGAGACGTTTCAAAACTCGTTTACTTTTGAGGCGCCTCAAAAGTAGAATTTCATGAGTTCAGGTTGCTGAGTAGGATGTTGAGGGACCATGAGGGGACGGAGGGAAGTGCAAGGCGGAGGTAGGTGAGTGGCGGAGGTGAGTGGGAGGCGGAGGTGAGTGCGAGGCGGAGGTTGAGTGGGAGGCGGAGGTGAGTGCGAGGCGGAGGTTGAGTGGGAGGCGGAGGTGAGTGGGAGGCGGAGGTGAGTGGGAGGCGGAGGTGAGTGGGAGGCGGAGGAGAACGAGCGGCAGAGGTGAGCCAGGTGCTTTTCCCATCCCAATCTCCCCCCCAGCCATGCACTGCCGCCTGCCCAACTCCGCCTGCCCATGCGCCCCCCCCTGCCCGTGAACCTCCGCATGCCCATGCACCTCCGCCTGCCTATGCACCTCCGCCTGCCCATGCACCTCCGCCTGCCCATGCACCTCCGCCTGCCCATGTATCACCGCAAGCCCATGCGTCCCCCCCAACCAACGCATCCCCGCCTGCCCATGCGCCCCCCCCTGCCCATGCACCGCCGCATGTCCATGCATCTTCGCATGCCCTAGATTCTCCATCTGCCCATACATCTCCGCATACCTATGCACCCCCGCATACCTATGCACCCCCGCATACCCATAGCTCGCAATCCCCCTGCAGGGCAATTCGCGACCTAGCAGCGTCGCGATGGGCTGCGCGGCAAATAGCGACCTAAGGGCGACGTTGAGATGTGGCTGCGGGGCAAATGAGGCCTCTGTATTTCGGCAATGTTAGTTTCCACGACTATTCAGGCGACGTACCTGTTGTACACTCAGATTTGGAGGTGCGTGCGGATCGAGATCTGTCAGCTAGTACCTACCTAGTCCTACGTGGTTGTCCTAAGTGAGCTTCGCAGCCTCGTAGTAGGTAACTATGCCGTACAAATTTGTTTCCCGATAAAATACCTGTCAATTGAACCGTACTAAACCCTCTTAGAAGCAAATCGAAACGCCCGCAACAATTCAAAACAAGCCGTACGCTTTTGAAGCACACTTCCGGTCAAATTCTGAATTATTTGGGAGTGTGCTGCTGATAACTGAATCTGACTGCCACACGAAACAAAACATTATGTTCAAAGAGGTAACCTGCTCTGGCACTCCAGCTCATTCCGGAGGCCAGGATTCCTAACCTTCTAAATTCATCAAGTGCTCTATTAACCTACAACGTTCATCATATACACAATTTCTATCCTTGCCCACTTCACGTAATGGACCCACCCTGGAAATTGCGCCCGCAACACGACTGCCACCCTATCTCCTGCTTGGAGCGACTGCACAAATGGCGACTCAGCATTCCACGTTTTAGAGTGATGTTGCCATCGTCTAACAGCGTGAAGGTTGCGGTATATTTCCTCTCTGGAAGCAGAGAGCGAACCGTCAGGCATAATTCTGGCGATCTCAGCAAATGTCCACGAGTTGTTGTAGGTGTTTTGGTCTTGGGGATAACTGCTCCATCTGACATTCCGGGGTGGTTGGGTTGGGTGGGGAGGAAAGGGGTGGGGACGAGGAGGAGTGGGGAGGGGGGGAAGGAGGGGGATGGGAAGGGGAGGGGGAGGGGTGGCAAGATACTGAACACATACTAGTCAAGGATTGGAATCTTAAAAAGGACTAAACAAAAGTGCAGGTAGAATGCAGAGTTTGGTTAGAGGCGACCTTACCCCTTAAACAGCAACTTCAAAGAAATTATTTTGGGACATCGGAGGAAACACAAAACGGGGTGGCATTTTAAAACCACAAAACAATTCTGAATAATACTAAAAAACAAAACGAAACAAAATAATCAAACAAACCATTAACAAAAATAACAAGCGTTGATGGTGGACAGGCAACACATCACTTACCCTTGGTCATGAGCTTCGGCGTCAACTTTAATCCCCTTAATCCGACCCTTTCCGAAATCCACAGGCTGCGAAATCACGTATGTCTTTTCCCAGTCCCCGCCACTCATCCTGTCACTCCTAAAATATGTATCCTTCACATAATAGCCAGCGTACTCAATGATAGACTCAATAATATCGTCAGGAAGGGGAGGAAGTGTGCCTTCGAAACCCGTACGGAACGCCGACACAACATTGCGAAATTGAGAGGCGGACGGGTCGAAGGACGGGACGAGCCCCATGGAATGTGTATCTGAGCCGGACATGGAATGTTGCGCTTCAGAAGCAAAGGAACGGGGAGATTCGGATCCAAAATCAGATCCCAAAAAGGAGACGGAAATGGAGTGGTCGGCCCTACGAAATGTGCGACGCCACATCCCACGCCCAAATCTGAGTTTTCCCCATCTTCGCGCACCGACCATTGCACTAACAATGACTAAAATTAATTGAAACGGTGTTTAGGAGGGTAAGAAGTGCTGAACCTTTGCTGAAAGATTGGTGATCAATGTCCCCCCTTCTTCATGATATATATCTCAACGATACTCCCCATTGTCTCTGCAGCAGCCGCTGTCAGTTCGCGTCGAAACCCATCCGCAGGTGCCAATTTGGCTTGGCACAGCGAGTTTAGAGCGCGTCACCTCCATACTCGAAATGAAGGCGGACTTCAAGAAAGGTGGACCAAACGCGTCGTAGGAGAGTGACACGAACTTCTGGAAGACGCCAAAATTTGTATCGTAGGAGGTCTCGGTCGAGTGCTTCTGAGCACGTTTGAGTGCGTTTCTGTCTGTAAGAAGGACCCCTGGCCTGTGAGCTCTGACACGAGATCTGACACGAGCTGCACATAACCCGAGTAACACGTCTCTGCCCTGACTAGGGTAACCTAACGAATCTTGTTACACGCCTTGATTGTTCTCTGGTACGTTCTGTGAACTGAAAACAGCGCCTAAGAACACGACCGCGGCGAGCACTTTGAGCAGCTACGAGTTTCCTGGCGCCATTGGGCTGTTTCAGTCATCACTCATACGGGGATCCGTGCCGCCATGGCGGGTTCAGCGCGGTCCTGTCATCGCCTTTCGCGGGTGTTCCACGGAAACGTACGATCCCTTTCTCGAAAAGTTATACAGCCAGGTCAATCCCGCCAGGTTACCAGCGATTTGGTTTCGCCACCTGACGCGCCTCGAGAACGTCGACGTCCGTTCACCGATTGCGTTACATTAGCTGAGACGTCCCAAGCAAATCGCCGTCTGTCTAGCGACTCGGACTTCCTTACTCCAGCCGACGCGGCGCGGTTGTTCGTTCCGCCGCTTCAACCGCGCTGCGCCGCTGCCGCAAGCGGAGGCTCCGCGGGGCTTCTGTGGTGCGGCACTGGCGGAACGCGGCTCGGCGGAAGGGAAGCCGGCGCGGCTGGTTTCCGCGGATGGGCGGAGCAGCGCCGAGTGGGGGTCGTTTGGGCGGAACCCAGGGGGGTGGGGGGCGTGTGGGTGGAACCGCGCAGATATCTGCACCAAATTACGGTGGAAGAGGAGAAGGTGGGGGGAGGAGGAGGGGGGGGGGAAGAGGGGAAGGGGGGGAAGGGGGGAGGGGGATGGGGGGACGAGGGGATGGGCGGATGGGGTATGGGGGGAAGGTGTGAATGGGGGGGGAATGGGGGAACGGGTAAAGGTTGGAGATGACGGGGGGTGGGGGAGAGAAAGGGGGGCGGGGGGGGAGGGGGGGGGGTCCTCTGATAGTCTCCGCTTGTTCGATCTCATTGAATGCGAGCGCGGCTCGTTAGGGAGACATGAGGTTTTGAGCACAAGATATCAAGATTGTTTTAATATCACAACAAACTTGATATCTCGTTAGGGTAGGAAGACAATGAGATATCGAGCACACAAGTACCGGGTGAGGGCACCAGTTGAAGGGGAATTTCGTATCACCACTCTCTCTTCCCGCTCCCCACCCGCCGCCATCATCCCCTCCCCCTTCTTTCATGCAGCCGGAGCACAAGTACCGGGTGAGAGCAGCAGTGGAAGGAAGGAGGCTTTTGTGTCTCCACCAACTCTTCCCAACTCCCACCTACTACCATCATCCCCTCCCCCAATTGCTCCCAGCCGGAGCACAAGTATCGGGTGACAGCAGCGGTGGAAGGCTTGTGGCACCCTCATCCTCCCTTTCCTTCCCCACACCTACCTCCCACCACCATCCGCCCTCCCATTCGCACCTCCCTCTTTCCTTCATGCAGCCGGAGCACAAGTACCGGGTGAGAGCAGCGGTGGAAGGAAGGAGGCTTCTGTGTCCCCACCAACTCTTCCCAACTCCCACCTACCATCATCCCTCCTCCGTTTGAACGTCCTTTCTCTCACTTGCAGCCAGAGCACAAGTACCGGGTGAGAGCGGCAGTGGAAGGGGGCTTTTCCTTCTGCAGCGATCTAGCTCCCACCAATGGCGTGGGCGGCACTGCTCCCACGTGAGACAAGAAGAGGGAGGGGGGAGAGGAGAAGGGGGGGGGGGGGGGGGGGGAGAGGGGAGTGACATGGGGGGTAGTGTACGGTGTGCTGGAAGCAGTGGAGGCTTGAGCCGCCCACGCCATTGGTGGGATTTTCCTTCTGCAGCGATCTTGCTCGCACCAATGGCATGGACGGCACTGCTCCCACGTGAGTGGGGTGCCGCATTGTTAAGAGTCAGCTGAAAAGGAAATAAACAAAAAAAATACAAACAAGCAAACAAAAACACTTGTGAGACCAATAGAGAGGGGGGAGAAATCTTGGGACGAGTAAGGACAGGGACAAGTGGGGAAGGGGACGAGAGGGAATAATGCACCCACCTGCCCTGCACCCACCTGCCCTGCACCCACCTGCCCTCCTTCCCCGCCCACCAGCCCCATGGACTATGCAGCAGCAACAGTTGCCATGTGTACAGCCACCACTGTCAGACTGGTACGCCCCTGCCCCTTCGTTCCCCCCCTTCTTCCCCACTTGCTCCTTCCGCTGCCGTCCCCCTCCCCTCTCTCCCACTTATACCTTCTGCCACCCACCCCACTACACCTCATGTTTTGAGACGTCTCAAAACACTTCTTCAATCACGTGGCTGTCCCCCTCCCCTCTCTCCCACTTATACCTTCTGCCACCCACCCCACTACACCTCATGTGCACGACCACTACTGTCAGACTGGTACACGCCTGCCTTCCTCCGTTTCCCCCCCTTCCTTCCTCCCCTTCTCTCCCCCTTCCCCCTGGCATACACCTCATGTGCACGGCCACTACTGCCACACTGGTACGCCCCTGCCCCCACACCACACCACCATACCAATGCTACTCCCCTAGGGACGTTAGAGTCAACTCAAACCTCACCGAGATAGTGCGGTAAACAGGATGGGTGAGGCGGGTAGGGTAGGCAGGGTGGGTAGGGTAGGCAGGGTGGGTAGGGTGGCTCCTCTCCCTTTTTGCATGCAGCTGTCTCCCTGTGCAGCCAACCTTCATCCCCTCTACCTCTTTCCCCCCATTTCCCAACCCAGCTCCCTCCCTCCATCGCCCACAGTGTGCGGTCTGCAAGCGGAGCCCCCAAAACACGCATTGCTGTCACGGTAAAACCAGCCTTTCATCTCTCTTCCTGTCATGTCCCTTTCCCTCCCTTCCCCTCACTCCCCCTCCTTCTTCCACAGTACGCAGATAGAAAGCAGTGGCTGCTAACACATATCGCCATCACAGTGGGACCAGCGTTTTTATGCCTCTCCTGCCCCTTCCCCTCCCTTCCCCTCACTCCCCTTCTTTCTTCCACAGTACGCAGATAGAAAGCAGTGGCCGCTTACACATATCGCCATCACAGTGGGACCAGCGTTTTTATGCCTCTCCTGCCATGCCCCTTTCCCTCCCTTCCCCTCACTCCCCTTCTTTCTCCCACAGTACGCAGATAGAAAGCAGTGGCCGCTTACACATATCGCCATCACAGTGGAACAAACCACCCCCTTACCTCGTACGCTGCTACCCCCCTTTCTTGCCCCTCTTCCATGCACCATGCACCATACACCAACATGCACCATGCACCATCCACCATGCACCATGTGCCATGCACCATGCGCCATGCACCATGCACCATGCGCCATGCACCATGCACCATGCACCATGCACCATGCACCATGCGCCATGCACCATGCGCCATGCACCATGCACCATGTGCCATGCACCATGCGCCATGCACCATGCGCCATGCACCATGCACCATGTGCCATGCACCATGCGCCATGAACCATGCACCATGCACCATGCACCATGCACCATCCACCATGCACCATGCACCATGCACCATCCACCATGCACCATGCACCCTGCACCATGCACCCCTCGTCCAAGCTGCTCTTTCTTGGGTACATTTTGAGTCGACTTAAAAATGCACATGCGTTATGAGCCATGGCCTTATATATACACATACGCAAGTCTGGTCTTTTCTCCTGTGTAACGTTCCATTATCCACCCCAGGATTCAGTGTTAATTTAGTCATATATGGTTACCTCATCCTAGTTGTTCTTTTCTCCTGCATAGCACTCCACAATCCACCATCATCCTGCCTTCCTACTGTGCATGGTGTGAGACTGGGGCCGCTTTTGAGAATTCTCAAAAGCGTTATGCCGTGCATGGTGTGAGACTGGGCCAATCCTGCTGCTGTATCACCGCTCTGTTACTTCCACTCCACATTCCTTGATTTCGTCTCGTGCCACAAAACAGACGGGAGGTTGCCGGACGGCCTTCGGTTGTTGTTGCGCTTGGAGGGACCCCTTTCCGCGGAACAAAGGGAGAGGCTTTTGGAAATAGCAGGTGAGAGCAGCCCATACATGGTAAGCATTTACATTGCTCCGGTGGAGGATGAAGCATTAAGATGTCATTTGTTGTGTGTGTGTGCGTGTGTGTGTGTGTGCTTCCACGTGCGCGTGGCCGTGGGCGTGTGCCGTGTGCACCGTGCATGCATGTGGCTTGGTGCATGTGTGTGTGCGTGCGTGCACGTGCGCGTGGGTGTGGGCCTGGGCGTGCACCGAGCCCGCCGTGCATGCATGCATGTGGCTCGGTGCATGTGTGTGTTGTGTGTACAGGGAAATGCCCGGTGAAGCAAATGATGCTAGGTAAGATGCCTCAAGCCATCAAGACGACACTAGTTGATACCTAGCCATTAGGGATAGTGTGCATATGCATAAATTGGCATTATTTCTGTATATAATACATGTGTAAGCTATCCAGGGCTTGTGCATTGTGCCTTCCCTCAGCGCTGACAAGTTACAACTGTAGCGGTACCATAGAAGGCAATACCATGCATAGAGGTTGTTGCATTTTAATACGAACTCTACCAGGGCAGTGAGCGAGGCCGCAAGCGGGACTTGCCGGGAGGAGAATACGGTATGCCATGAGAACAGTGCAGAAACGTTTACTTTTATGAAACGACATAACCACACAGCTTGCTTGTGCATCCATATGGCCTGCTGGAAACATCCATGCGAAGAGCTCTGCTCTCATATCTTAACTACCGCTTGCTTGTGCATCCATAAGCAATACCAGTATCTGAAATCACGAACACAGGATTCAGCAAGCCAGGCAGGCACTGCAACACATTGCTAATATCATCACAGTACCATGCCACAATACCAAAGCCCAAATTCGAACCGCTGCCAATGGTCCTACCAATTGTAGAGCAACAGCGAGAGCGGTAGCACAAAGGAGAAGAGGATGCGGAATGTGTGCTGGCTGCTGTTGTGTGTCGTTCGTTCCCTCTGACTGTCTGCTGCATCGCCTCTACGCTACCAAAGCCCGAATTTTGAGACGTCTCAAAAGTCGTTCCCTCTGACTGTCTGCTGCATCGCCTCTATGCTACCAAAGCCCGAATCCAAACCGTTGGCGCCGATCGTACCAATCATAGAAGAGCAGTGAGAGCGGCAGCACAAAGAAGAAGAGGATGAGGAAGGTACGCTGGCTGCTGCCGTGGGACGCTGCTTTCTTCAGCTCCTTGTTGCCCTTGTCTATTCTCTCTGATGCTGCCACTGCCTGTCAATTCAAAGGGCACGAGCAACAAATGGGGTGGGCAAAGGAAGAGGATGGGGTGCTGCAGCACGTGCACGGCAAACAGGTGGTTCAGCCTTCCCACTAGTAGCTGACTCATTACCGTGTACAATTCCAACCCTTTAGCAGCACTCGCACCTCAGCGTACAGCTGCTGGACCTGCTCGCTCTGCTGCAGCACATGCACAGCAAACAGGTGGTTCAGATTCTTACACTGTCTGTGTACAACCCTTGAGCAAACACACACACACACACACACACACACACACACACACACACGCACGCACGCACGCACGCACGCACGCACGCACGCACGCACCCACGCACGCGCGCGCGCGCGCGCACACACACACACACACACGCGCGCGCGCGCGCGCGCACCTCAGCATACAGCTGGTGAACCTGCTCGCTCTGCTGCAGCACGTGCACGGCAAACAGGTGGTTCAGAGCCGCCAGCTCCATCACCCTCGCCTCTGTCTGTGCCGTGCTGCTCAGCAACCCCCTCAACTCCTCCTAAGCGCACTCAAATCTCACCTCAGAAGAGCTGCTGAACCTGCTCGCTCCGCCACAGCACGTGCAATAATAATAGCTGACTCACTACTCTCTATGAAACCTATCCTGAGGAAAGCCCTCACCTCAGCGTACAGCTGGTGAACCTGCTCGCTCTGCTGCAGCACGTGCACGGCAAACAGGTGGTTCAGAGCCGCCAGCTCCATCACCCTCGCCTCTGTCTGTGCCGTGCTGCTCAGCAACCCCCTCAACTCCTCCTGCAACGCCACCGTCTCTGCATCCTGCATCATCTGCTCGCGGCCCCGCTCTTGCCCCTGCTCTCGCCCCCTATCGTGCTCACCACCCCTCCCCTGCTGCTCGCCGCCCCGTTCCTGCCACCCCTTCCCCCCGCCCTGCTCCCCTCCGTCCCTTCCATTCTCCCGTACCCCCTTGAGAGCATGTATCCGTCCCTGCTTCCCTAATGTGCCCTGTCCTCCGCCCGGCCCTCCCCCTTGCCTCTGCCTCTGGCTGTCTGCCAGCATCCGCTGCAGCCTGGTTGATCTCAGGCGCTCAAACGTGGAGGAGAGCAGCTGCAGGTGCTCCGTTAGGATGAGAACCTGAGAGTGAGGGTTGGGGGTGGGAGGAGACACAGAGTTTCATAGTGCGTCACCCTGTCCTCCGCCCTGCCCTCCCCTTTGCCTCTGTCGCTGGCTGTCTGCCAGCATCCGCTGCAGCCTGGTGGCTCGCAGGCGCTCAAACGTGGAGGAGAGCAGCTGTAGGTGCTCGGTTAGGATGAGCACCTGAGAGTGCCGCACGGGGATGGAAGGAGAGATAGAGGGCAGAGTGAGTACCCCTTGTGCAGCCTGGTGGCTCGCAGGCGCTCAAAGGTGGAGGAGAGCAGCTGCAGATGCTCCGTTAGGATGAGCACCTGCAGAGGGAGGATCGGCAGGGGATGGGATGAGGATAGGAGCGGTTACAATTTAGAAAAGAGAGAAACAGGGAAAGTTGAGTGCCTGCTGTCTTGTCCATCCTCGTGGTTCTCAGGCGTTCAAAGGTGGAGGAGAGGAGCTGCAGGTGCTCTGTTGGAATGAGCACCACACTTACTCTCCACACCATGCTGATGGGCTGTCGACTGAACGTCCTGCCCCATTTCCCCGCGCTAGTGAGGCATGCATGCATGTGCATGATGCATGTAGGGTTGCACGCACTCACCACGCCATGCTGATGCGCTGTCGACTGCGCCTTCCGCCCCATGGCCTCTCCTGGCAGAAGCATGCTAGTACTGCAGTGATGCACGCATGCACGTGCCTCCTCTCCTCCTACTACGCCTGCACACATCCACACGCACTCACCACGCCGTGCTGATGGGCTGTCGACTGCGCCTTCCGCCCCATGGCCCCTCCTGGCGGAAGCATGCTAGTGCTGCGGCTGCATGCATGCACGTGCCTCCTCCTCCAACCATCCCAGCTGCATGCATGCAAGCGAGAACATGCACACCCACATCCACTCACCACGCCATGCTGATGCGCTGTCAATTGAGCGTTCCGCCCCGCTGCCCCTCCTGGTGGAGGCAATCTGCGTCGCAGAGCCTCGATCCCCTCCTTGCACTCCTTCACCATGCCGCCCACCTGCACCCACACACAGAGAATGCGAAGAGATTGAGAGTAGGGTGAGGTTGAATGCAGGCACAACTAACGTCCCATCCTCTGGTGGAGGCAGTCTGCCTCTCAGCGCCTCTATCCCCTCCTTGCACTCCTTCACCATGCTGCCCACCTGCTCGGACACACATAACGCGAGGAGACAGAGAGTAGGTTGTGGTTAGATGGAGACACAGCTAACGTCCCGCCTCCTGGTGGAGGCAATCTGCGTCGCAGCGCCTCTATCCCCTCCTTGCACTCCTTCACCATACCTCCCACTTGCACGTACACAAAGAATGGGAAAAGATCCGGAGGCCACTTATCTTTCCCACCAACCCCACAGAGCTGCCAGAGCAAAAACGAAAGAAAGAAAGAAAGAAAAAAAGGTAAAACACCCACTGGAAGGACTTTCTGGTGATCAATAACAAGGCGAGGCATGACAAATGAGGATCGACCATACTTCCCAAATGGAATTCGAAAATGGGGCGAGTCAAGGAGGAGACTGGGGTGGGTATGGGGATAAGGAAGCGAATACAACCAGAGGCACAACCACATATTTTTTATGCCACGTTGCAGTATTTCTACCCCTCACTTCCTTCCCGTCCCTTGCTTTCACCACAGCCACATTCCCTTGCTTGCCTCCCTGCGTCTGCTTTTATTTCATCTACCTTTGCTTCAAAGGCGTCTCGCCGTCTCTCCATCACGGCGTGCCCAACGACATGGTCCGAAGCAGCACTGCAGTATTCCCGCCCCTCACTCATTAGGACGGAATGCAGAGCACGTTCGTCTGATAGCTGATTCAGAGGAAAGATGAGGGGGAAGCGAACGACGGGGGGTAGGAGTGGGAGTAGGGGAAGGGGTGCGAAGGGGTAGAAAGGGGTGGGAAGAGCGGAATTTTAGCACATGGTTTGAAGCAGCACTGCAGTATTCCTGCCCCGCGGTCATTAAAAGAGTATGCAGAGAACGCTCGTCTGATAGCTGATTCAAATGAGGGGGAAGACAAGGTTGGGGGGAATGGGGGGCTGGGGTAGGGGTGGGAGTAAGGGAGGCACGGGAACGGAGCAAGGGGGGTGGGGAGAGAGGCGCCTTGGCTTGTGATTGCGTACAGCATTGCATCACTCAAGGAAGAGCAGAGAACGCAAAGAAGATTCGAGAGAATGGAGGAGCGGAAAGAGTGGAAAGGGGAAAGGAAGGGGGAGGAGGGGGGGCGTGGGTGAGGAGGGAAAGAGAAGGGTGGAAAGGAGCACATCGAACGCGTGGAGTCCCTTAACAAAACAACCTTTAACCTTTCTTTATTCCCTTCTCCCTCCCTCCCTCCCTCCTTCCCTCCCTCCCTCCCTTCACCAGTCTTTCCCCCACCCGGACCCTCTCCAACACACGCCTTCCTTCCTCACCCTCCCACCCTTCCCCTCTCTTTTCTCCCCCCCTCCCACTGATCCCTACGCCTCCTCCCTCTATTCTTCTCCCCCTCCAGCCAAGGCACACACACCACGTCAGATGCCAGCCTGGCGAAGGCGTCCTTCGTGGAAGCTTCGCCGCCCCCCGAGGTGGGTTTGAGCATCATGGCAGATGAGACCTGCGCCAGGCGAGCCTGGCAGGCGGGGGAGACAGAGACAGAGGGAGGAGGAGAGGTGGAGCGAAAAAAGATACGGAAAAGAAAGGGAACGGATTGGAAGTGGAGGAAAGCTAGCTAAGGGGAAAGGTGGAACGCGGGGAAAAATGGGGGATAGGGGGGGCGGAGAAGGGGGAAGGGGAGTGGGGGGGGAGGGGGAAGCGAGAGAGTGGGGAAAGTGGGAGGTGCTGTTGCCACGACAACAGCGCAGAGTCAGAGACATGTGCTTAGACGTTCTAGGTTGAGAATGCAAGACGGGAATTCCACGCGAAACTAAAAAACGTGCCAACGGACTTATTTTGCGCACCTGATCGTACCCAAGTCGCACTGCGAGAGACTTCACCGCATCGCGATAGTCTTCCGTTCGATCTACGGCCATGGTACCGTGAGATGCCTAGATTCCGACCAAGTTCCGCGCGAACTTGAACTACCGTAACGCGTCTGAGATACCGAAACTGATCGAGACACAAGGAAGACGAAGACGAGTGGTTATTCTGGTTCAAAAAGGAATGCTCTTCCTCGATATTGTCAATTCCGTCAATTTCCTCGCATCCAAAATGCTGCTCGCCAGAAAATTCTCCGTCGATCTGTCCGCCTTATTGAATAGATTCGGGATAGGTAATACTGGGTGGCGATTACTGGAATAGATTTGTTTGAGATGCTTTCCATTCCCGGCCTTTGAGGGCTTGTGTGAGGCCATCCGCGTTATTAAATTGCTACCGTTGCCTAAACACTTCCACGGCCATAAAGTGTTTCGGTATATTTGATTCAGTGGAGTTCATGAGAGCTATGCTGAAATTTAGAGTTCCAATGCAAAATAGAACAAAAATTAACTACTTACACCGCTAGTAAAACGTCAACGTCATCTCAACAGGTATACATAATATTGGCTGTGCAGAAGAATTAATGATAGGGTATTTAAGCTGTCAAATTGTATGTGAAGGGTTTGAGATTTGTACACCGCAAATTGGCTATTGGGTCCACGCCAGCCCCTGAATTCGGCTTGCTGGGCTACCTGCTGATTCAGCTTGGGCACGGTTGACATGGCGCGAGCTTTCCCAGAACTGAGGGTGACGTCACACTGCTCTGGCACTGTCCCAGATCCACGTGTTGCAGTGTCCTCATTTCCTGATGCCTGGCTCCCAGGCTCACCGATTTTCCGTGGCGATTTCGAGGGTGTTCTTGTGCTGCAACAACGGTTACAGGGAATGCTTGCTGAACACTTCATGATCTGGTGGTTCGTCCTGGCTCAAAAGCTTCCAGTCGTGGAATTCTAAGGCTTCGTGGTTCCATAAAGGTTTGCAACTTCAAGGCTTTGCTGTCCCGTCATTCCAATTTCATTGTCAGTCGTCGATATACCGTCAGCTGCCTTTCCTCTCACTGTTCAATTTTCGCAATCATGGAGAAGGCACGTCTCAGGCAGCAGGTTATCGCCGACCACTTGAGTCCTGGTCCGGTTTTCCAGCGAACGGATCTGGTATGCTCTAGTACGCTCTAGTTCGATGCACTTCCCATACTGTCGTTACTTGGAAATCGAATTTAACCTAGCGAAAGTATTGGTACGCAGGTTGCGTCGCCGTGCCTTGCTGGAGACAGTGCGGGGTATGCTCGCACGGCTGGCTATGATGACGATGTCGTTATTGTCAGGTGAGGTTCAGGAAAGTCCTGAAGTGGCTGGTGACCAGCTTCTTATTCTATCGACTTAACGATGCTAGTTTGAGGTTTGTGACCGTTCTGACTTGAGGATTGTTTGCTGCTGTACAGTGCGCGTCGCTCGGCCCTTTGTAAGGCCAAACGTGGCGCCTTCAAGGACACCCTTCCGGATGACATCCTGGCGCCGGTGCTCAGGGTCAGTGCTTTTATAATTTATCATAAAGCTAACAATATACGACAATTGAACCTATCCAGCACATTTGAGTTTTCGTTTTACTAACCTAACATTCTTGGCTTTCATGCTAACCAGGCTGTTGTCGATGAGGCTGGAGTGAGGCCAGAGGAAGTTGGTGACATCATTGTGGGAACTGTTCTTGCTCCTGGGAGCCAAAGAGCGAGCGAATGCCGGATGGCTGCTCTTTTCGCTGGCTTTCCTGGTGAGGAAAACCTTTATCTGTTTCTTTCATTGGACGATATATGCTGTTTCTGTTTGAACCGCAATAAGATCATGTTTTTGCCCCCGTGCAGATACCGTTCCGGTGAGGACGGTGAACAGGCAATGCTCGTCTGGTCTCCAAGCGGTTGCCGACGTGGCTGCGTCTATCAAGGCTGGATACTACAAGATCGGTAAGTGATACGAAGTTGCAACAGGACGTTCCAGTCTTCTGGGGCTTGGTCGTTGATAGGAATACAAACATGTGACGCTGAAACAAGTAGCTGTGTTGATCTCGTGAGCAGGCATTGGTGCTGGGTTGGAATCTATGACAGTCAACCCTATGGCTTGGGAAGGGAGCGTCAACCCGAAGGTAAGGGATAAGCCATATGCAGTCTGTTTTATCTCATTTGAACAGAACATTTCAAGCTCAAATAAGTGATGTTCACTGCAGGTTGAGATGAACCAGAAGGCTCAGGACTGCCTTTTGCCTATGGGGATCACATCAGAGAATGTTGCTGAGCGCTTTGGAGTCAATCGGAAGGAGCAAGACGATGTTGCGGTGAGTGGAGTCTTTAATATACTTCGCCAGAGAGCTTCAGTGAACGATAAACGAGCAGCAGTTGACGTTTACAACGCTTGTTTTCACAGGTGAAGTCTCACAAGAAGGCTGCTGCAGCTACCGCTGCTGGAAGGTTTCGGGATGAGATCGTCCCCATCAGCACCAAGGTAAGTGATTGAATACCAAGTTACAACAGCAGTGTTTGCATTGTTCAGGCTACTGGCAGTGAATTTATCCACACCCTTTGTTGCCTTTCAGATCGTTGATCCGAAGACAGGTGATGAGAAGCCCATTGTTGTCAGCGTAGATGATGGCATTCGTCCCGGAGCTACCATGGCTGACCTTGCTAAGCTCAGGCCAGTCTTTAAGAAGGATGGAACAACCACAGCTGGAAATTCCAGTCAAGTGAGCGACGGTGCTGGAGCAGTGCTGCTGATGACCCGTGGAGAAGCACTTCGTCGAGGAATCCCCATCCTTGGAGTTTTCAGGTGTGTACATTGCCAAGCACTACATGAGGGTTAATAAGCGCTGGACATACAAGCGGCTGGTTCTGTGATAATGGTCTACTATATGTTCATCTGTCTAGCCAGTCAACTAGTGCGCCTGATTTCCCTCCGTTATATGAAGTCCCCTATCTCCCTGATCACCCAACCATGGGTATGTTCCTGTTTTAATGTAGCTTCTCTCAAATTCTGACTTTCTTGAGTTTGCATCGAATATCTTCCACAGGAGTTTCTCCGTCGTTGGAGTTGATCCTGCTGTTATGGGGATCGGGCCTGCGGTCGCCATCCCTGCTGCTGTCAGTGCAGCCGGATTGGAGGTTGATGACATTGACCTGTTTGAGATCAACGAGGTGAGCAATGGTGCAACTCGCATGCATTTCTGGAAGTGACAGCCATGACTTATCTCAGCTCCCTAAGCTTCTGCTTGTTCTTAAAACAAATGTGTTGATGTTTAATTTCTGGTTGCTTTCAGGCATTCGCTTCCCAGTTCATCTATTGTGCTCGCAAGCTTGAGCTTGATGAGGAGAAGATCAATGTGAACGGTGGAGCGCTTGCTATTGGTCATCCCCTCGGAGCCACAGGTTAGTAAAATGTCATGCACATTCTAAGAAACATTTGTTCTGCCTATAGGACATTTCTTTGATTCACTGCTTCGACAACTGTTTTGTTTCTGTTACAGGGGCACGGTGTGTGGCAACACTCCTGCATGAGATGAAGCGACGAGGAGTTGATTGTCGATTTGGTGTTGTGTCCATGTGCATTGGTGAGTGCAAGGTTCAGTCAATTTCCAGATGAAAACTTTGTTGGTGGAATTCCAGCTGTGCACTTGTAGAGGCCTTACAAGCCTTGTTCCTCACCATACTCTGTCATCTGTATTGCACTGCACTGTTTCTGTGACTTCCAGGAACTGGCATGGGTGCAGCTGCTGTCTTCGAGCGTGGTGACTATGTATGCCCTCTCACCAATGCCCAGCAAGCCTGACTTCCATGATATTGACAGTGTTCCGCATGTGGAGGACGAGCCTAGTAACAGTTTGATGGGACAAAAGACAAGGTTGTAGATAAGGTTTTGTGTGCTTATTCTACCATATTCATTGAGATAGCTCCACAAATTTCTTGGAAGGCGCCTTACCCTGCGGCGGTCGTATGGGAGTGACTGCTGCTTCAAACAGAACAATGGTACTTCTGAAACGAAAGTACAGTAGCTGTTTCCTGGATCCTGACCTAATTCCCTGGTTCATATATTATTCTTAGGAGTGCCCAGAAATTTGGCACTGACTGAAACATCTGATACATTAATCTGTGCTTGTGGAAATGACGGTACAATCTGTGTCCTACCACTGAAGTCACACGTAGAGTCTCTTGCCAATAAAAAGGGCACATCAAGCGAGCCTCCATACATGGCAAAAATATGTGAGCCTCATGCAGATGAGAGGTGGGTTGGGACCTTGGGGACCCGAGAGGGGGTTGGGACATAGTCCCCTGGGGTGTATTTGACCACACAGTCGTAGATGCGACCACCCAGGAAATCAGCCACTTCCTTGTGCTTCACCTGGGGAAGATATTAGGGAGGAAAGATGAGAGGCACGAGGGGAGGGACTGCATGAGAAGGAAGAGGTCGGAGAGAGAAAAAGAGACGATGGTGGTTGGGTGGAGCAAGGAACAAGTAGAGAGCAAGTGGAGGCGAGGTGAAGGGAGAGGGGGTGCTTGGATGGAGGGGAGAGGGGGTGCTTGGATGGAGGGGAGAGGGGGTGCTTGGATGGAGGGGAGGGGGGGTGTTGTCTGTTTCAAATGGGGAAATAGCAGGTTGAGGCATGTGCTTCATGTTACCAGTGTCATGCCACCAGTGCCACAGCACATGCCACCAGTGCCACAGCACATGTCACCAGTGTCGCGTACATGTCACCATCCAAACACTGAGGGTCAGCTCACCATGCCAATGTTGAGCTTGTCACATGTCATTAGCGCATGCAGATTGGTCTCTATGGCACGACCCTGTTGCGCAGGGGAAGAAAATCGAGAACCAAAAAGATGAAGGGAAGGATAGGTAATAAGAGCTGCAGACACATGCTGCCACCCATTAGTCAGAGTTGAAATTCACAGTCGCATCACTCCACTACACGGATTCCAAGGCCCAACTCAAAAAGAGCTAAATGATACCATGCATGTGTGCATCACATACCATGCATTCGTGCATCACATGCCATGCATGCGTGCATCACATGCCATGCATGCGTGCATCACATGCCATGCATGTGTGCATCACATGCCATGCATGTGTGCATCACATACCATGCATGTGTGCATCACATACCATGCATGTGTGCATCACATACCATGCATGTGTGCATCACATACCATGCATGTGTGCATCACATACCATGCATGCGTGCATCACATACCATGCATGCGTGCATCACATGCCATGCATGCGTGCATCACATGCCATGCGTGTGTGCATCACATGCCATGCGTGTGTGCATCACATGCCATGCATGTGTGCATCACATGCCATGCGTGTGTGCATCACATACCATGCATGTGTGCATCACATGCCATGCATGCGTGCATCACATGCCATGCATGCATGAATCACAAGCCATGCATGCGTGCATCACATACCATGGATGTGATGTGTGCATCACATGCCATGCATGTGAGTGCATCACATACCATGCATGTGTGCATCACATACCATGCCCTCCATAATGACCAGCTCAGCGTCTTCAGCAGCAAATGCCAGCTCAGGTGATATGTGCGCCAGGTCAGCAACCTGTGCAAGAGAAAAAAGGGGGGACCAGAGGAGTGGATGAAAACACAAGAGAGAACCGGGGATGGAGAAAGTGCAACACGAAGGTTAGGGTAAAGAAAGAGTGAGCATAGATGCGGCATGTGACAAGAGAAAGAACTGAAGGCATTGTGTGAAGGCGATAAATCAAGGATTCTGCTAAAGAGAAAAAGGCTCACGGGAACATCACTGCCTGAGTTGACAATAAGAAGCCGCCCGCTGTCGATGCCTGCGCTTATAGTCTCGTCCTCTACTGTCACTTGCACCTGACGTTGGGATGCATTAAGACAGACGGACAGAGAGTGTCGAGAGGATAACAGATATATTATTGTCTATACCCACTGGCAATGCATGTACTGAGCTGATTATTGATAGTCTCGGCTTCGACCATAATCTAATTTGAAACAGGGACGGCTCCCCAGCATCAGAGAGACCAACCCTTTCCACATTACAGGCAACATACACCTTTTGCACAAGCGACAGGAGTTCGTTGTAGGTGACGTCATTGATAGAGGGCATGTCGTTAGCCGCCACCACCACCTGTGCGCCTTGCCTCACCAGCTCCCTCACCAGCGGCAAAACTCCCAACACCAGGTCTGCTCCCGAGTTGTCGCAGAAGACAACCACCTGAGGGAAGTAATGGGAGAGAGAGGAATGAGTTGAGAACCTGACTCTATTGCCTCATTAGCCCCCTCACCAGCTCCCTCACCAGCGGCAGCACCCCCAACACAAGGTCTGCTCCGGAGTTGTCACAAAATACGACCACCTGAGGGGAGTGAGATGGGTGAGGGGAGTGAACGCAGTGATTGAAGTGAGATGAAAAACTGAGTTTCTTGCCTCACCAGCTCCCTCACCAACGGCAACACTCCCAACACGAGGTCTGCTCCAGGGTTGTCACAGAAGACAACCACCTGAGGGGAGTGAGATGGGCGAGGGGAGTGAGCGCAGTGAGGAAGTGAGATGAGAAAGTGAGTTCCTTGCCTCACCAGCTCCCTCACCAACGGCAACACAAGGTGTGCTCCAGAGTTGTCACAGAAGACCACCACCTGAAGGGGGTGAGGGTGCAACAGGAGTCTCAAGTCAGTGCCACCACCACCACTTGAGCTCCCTCCCTCACCAGCGGCAGCACCCCCAACACGAGGTGTGCTCCAGAGTTGTCACAAAAAGCGACCACCTGTGGGGAGTGAGGAATCGAGGGGAGGGAAAGAAGTGAGACAGGAGTCACAAGTCAATGCCACCACCAGCATTGTTGGCAGCACTCCCAGCCGAGGTCCGTCCTGGGATCGTCACAGAAGAGTAAGAGAAGTGAGGGGACTCAGCCGCATGGCCAATGACGCGGCAGACGAACACCAATCATGCACCTTCTTTCCCCGACCTTTCTCACATGTGGCACACGCACCCTCTTCCACGTGCGGTCGAGCCACGCCTTCTGGAACTCAGCCACGTGGACAAACACCCACGGCAACCCCAAGTATCAAGCATTCAAAGGGTCGCGTTGACTTGGAATTTATTGTATTGCACAAACACACAGGGGAGGCACTAGCACCTTCTTCCACGTGCGGTCGAGCCACGCCTTCTGGAACTCAGCCACGTGGTCAAACACCCACGGCACCACCATCTTGGAAGTTGAAACTTGTAATGCTGAATTTGTAACGGATAGTTCTGGCGGAAAATGCTCACCTTCTTCCACGTGCGGTCGAGCCACGCCTTCTGGAACTCTGCCACGTGGTCAAACACCCACGGCACCCACTCACCAGGCACAATGTACCACGTTGACGACAGGGGCACCACACGCACCTTCTTCCACGTGCGATCGAGCCACGCCTTCTGGAACTCAGCCACGTGGTCAAACACCCATGGGCGCGGCAGCAGCTCCTGAAAGCTCTTTTCGAACGACAGCCCCTCGCCCTCCACCAACGCTGCGGACTGTGCAGATAGGTTTGGGGGGGAGGGCAGAAGGGAGTGCGGAGGTTACACACTCAGGACAGCAGCTCCTGGAAGCTCTTCTCAAACGACATTCCCTCGCCCTCCACCAGTGCTGCGGACTGTAGTAGAGAGGGGTCGTGCGGGATGGGGGTGAGCGAGAGAGAACGGAGAAAGGGGAGGGGCGAATGCGAAGAAGATTGATGGGAGGACAACAGAAGCAGCTGCTCAAAGCTCTTCTCAAACGACAGACCCTCGCCCTCCACCAGCGCTGCGGACTGTGCAGATAGGATTGGGGTGGAGGGCAGAAGGGAGAGCGGAGGTTACACATTCAGGACAGCAGCTGCTGACACCTGTTACACTGTTACGATGTTACACCTGCTACAGGGTTACAGAGTCACAACTCACGTTGTTGGCCCCCAGGTCGAAGATGTTTCCAGCCAGCACGCCCTTGACCAGCACCTCTATCCTCTCTTTGAGGTCCTCCACCGCATCGATTCTCTTCAGCGTCGCCGGCAGCATCGCCAGCGCCTTCTCGTTCTCCTCCGCCTGGGTGGGGTCCAGGGTTTGAAGTTTCGGGTTTGGGGTTGTTCAATAGGGTTCAGAGTTTAGAAAATATCGGGGTTTGAGAAAGTGGGGCAGGGGAGGACACATGGGTACGACAGGGATAATGAAGGGGGAGAGGTTGGTCACCCAACACCTTTGCATACGCTATTGAGGCTATTCAGTGTGTGGATCCACTTTAAACCGTATCACACCGTCCTGCACTGCACTGCACCCAAACGTACCTTGGTCTTCTTGAAGATGTCTTGGAAGCCAGCCTCTGTCAAGCAGACCTCCCTCAGCCGGCACAGATTCTGCAACGGGCGGCAGGAAATAGGAGAAAGTTCACAGATTCTGAGGAGCCAAAGGAAAAAAACACATCGCACCCACTACGAGTTGAGTGGGCCTTCCGAATATCTAAGAACTAGTTGCATGAACATTCAATCTGCCAGTGTATTCATCTAATCCATTGGCAGATGAGCATTCTACTCACTACTGGGTTGGGAGGGCCTCCGTGGCTGCTGGGATCCTTGGCAAAATCATCGAGGATTGCTGTGTATCTGAGCATTAGGGGGGAGAGAGAGCATGGGTTAGGGTATGGAGGATGGATTAGCAAAGGGATGGTGGGGTGGTGGAGGAGAAGGAAATGGAGGAGGAGGAGGGGGAGAAGGAGGAGGAGGAGGAGGAGGAGGAGGAGGAGGAGGAGGAGGAGGAGGAGGAGGAGGAGGAGGAGGCGGAGGAGGAGGAGGAGGAGGAGGAGGAGGAGGAGGAGGAGGAGGAGGAGGAGGAGAAGGAGAAGGAGGAGGAGGAGGAGGAGGAGGAGGAGGAGGAGGAGGAGGAGGAGGAGGAGGAGGAGGCGGAGGCGGAGGCGGAGGAGGAGGAGGAGGAGGAGGAGGAGGAGGAGGAGGAGGAGGAGGAGGAGGAGGAGGAGGAGGAGGGGGAGACCTCATCAAGTAGGATGAGTCATTGCAAGGATTGCCAATGTGCATATGGATTGACAATGAGATGGGGTCTTAGAGGAAGCAGATGGAATGGAGAGAGCGGGTCATAGCAGGGTCGGAGGAGATAACTGGGAGGCAAGGAAGCAAAAGGCACGGACGAACGAATGATGACTGAATGACTGACTGAGGGACTCACTTCTCTTCAAAGACCTTTGCCTTCTCAGCAGCGTTCTCCACAGACTCGTCACCAGCTGCCCGCTTCCTGCGCACATGGAATGGATCACAGAAAGGAAAAAAACGCAGCAAATAATATTCAAGGCGCCTACAAAAAAGTTGTTGAAAGGTGTGCCTGCCACCGGCTGCCCACTTCCTGTGCATATGGAAATCACAGGAAGGAGATATAAAGCAGGAAAAGAGCATTCACGTCCTATCTAATAGCAGCTGACAGGCGTAGCGCAGATGGGGGGGGGACAACATGCACTCTACGGCTCAGGGTTTGGAACTGACAGTAGAGATGAAAGAACCACTGTGAAGAAAAGGAGGGTGAGAGGAGGCGAGCAGTGGCAGCAGCAGCAGCAGCAGCAAAAGAATGCACTCGAAGGGCTTGATGCTGCTGCTTCTGTGGCAAGTCGTGTTCGACGGCGCCTGGAAGGCAACGTATAGCCCCCTCACACATGACAGTCAAACAGACAGCACGACTCACCCGAAGGGTTCAATGCTGCGGCGGAAAACGTCAATCCACGTGGTCTCAGTGTCAGTGAGCTGACCAGGAGGGTCCTTGGCACTGCGGAAGGGGATGGTCCAGGGGGTGTAGGCCTCTGCGCTCAGCAGCAGTGGGAAGGGCACGAGCGTGGATGCAGGGATGGCAGCGTACGGCGCTGTTGCCTCTGAGTCTGCTTCAAAGCTCTCGGAAATGGCAGGGGCCTCCTGGTCCTCCGCCTTGAGCGTGCTGAGCTTCAGCCCCTCCTTCTTGACTGCCAACATGGCTGCATGGGGGGAGGCGAGTGTGGAGGAGAAAAAAAAGAACAATGGGAGAGATTTTAAGCTCTCGGGATTGGCTGGGGCTTCCTGGTCCTCCGCCTTGAGCGTTCTGAGCTTCAGGCCCTCCTTCTTGACTGCCAACAAATATACTTTCAAGCCCTCGGGATGTTGCCAAAGCGTCCCGCTCCCAAAGCGTCCCGCTCCTCTGCTTGAGCGTGCGGAGCTTCAGGCCTTCAGTTTTGACCGCCAACATGGCTGCTGCGAAGGTACGCATAGGATGCTTTGAGATATGAGTTTTGGTAAGATTCAAAAGTCATGTTGCAGACGAGTAAAAAAACTGAGGCCGGAGTTTGCAAAAGGACGGGATTACTTCCCGTCTTGATACGGTTCTCACAAAATGTCGAAATTCGCATCTTCTCTGACTCTGTCACTTAATACGAAGAATGGCGGCTACGCATTCCGATATTGAGAGGACGCGGCTGCTGTGCACTACGTCTATCACTCTCAGAATCCAACATCCTATATGGGAAACCAAAGAAGGCTGCGGACGGGTACGTCTGGCATCAGCATTGCCTTCCGAGGCGCCTCAAGATTCGTATTGCTGAAGTAAGAATCCTCAAGAATCTTGATGACGTGAATTCACATTCGTCCTGCGTCTAACTTCCCATCGACCGTGAATGTCCGGCATTCCCGGGACAACGATGTGTCATTCTCGGCAAGATCCGTATTTCAGAACAATTTCTTTGAATTCACCGGACATAAAAACAAATTTGGACCAGAACACGCATTTTCCAGGTTACTGGTCAAAGAGCCTGCGTAGTGAGGGAAATAGACGGAATACGAGATGATAGTATCCTCATAAGGACGTTCAGTGTGAGAATAGTCGATGGTTTCTGGTGACAGATCCACACCGTTGCTCCTCCTTAGATTTGGCATACGCAATATCGTCCGCTTTTATAAATGCATTCAGATGCTATCTACGCATTGCTAGTTGTCGGACATTTATCCATTCCTCCTGAACCCCACGAGCAGACATACCTCCAATGTTTAAAATAGCAGGGCCTGATGGATTCCGCGAGATATACCGGAACAATGCCGAGTAGGAGACAGCAAGCAGCGTCAACAGCGCCTGGAGAGAATGGCAGGCGAATTCAGCAAGTCAAGAATGGAAGCTGTGCGGAACTCCAGTCAGCTGTGCGGAGGCTTTCGAGGGATCTCGGATTCTTGGTGATGGTGTGGGGGTGATCTAGCAACTTCTCGTCAATCCCAATGGTGTTGGAGATAACTACACTTCAAGGGTTTGTAACACTCTTATATATTATAAATGACGGTTTTGTTATGAATGGATGTGGAATATTGGGCGAAGAATAGAGATCTATTTTGGAGTTAATTTTTCAGAATAAGAAAAGATAGAGGGTCGTCTGAATAATCCTTATAAGAGTTGAATTGCAAAAGCTAATATTTAATCTGCATACGGTTGATAAGATACGTGATTTTTCTCGTTTGAAATTACGCAATGCTGCCTTTCCTGCTTCAAAGTCTTCCTCATGACAGCTCTCTTGTAAAATTCCCGAGATGTGATAAATGAAATAGTAGTTTTGGTATGAAATAGTAGTGTACCAGGCTTACATTAATCGGGTTCAAATCGTTTGAAATCCACAGACAATCGGATGCCCATGTAGAATCCTGCAGATACAACCTTTGGAGAAGTCAGCTTTTAGGCCGCGCCGCTGTGGCCTCGTGCGTAGAATCGTTACGTTACATTACATACTTTGCTATCACGGGCGTTGCTCGGTTGAGCATACATGATCGTGAGGTTGACGGCATATCCGTACCATTACTAGTTCAACTAAGCGAGGATGGTGATGGGGCGATGGTCTTTCTGGTGATGTTTGATTGCCTGAGGCAATGTACAATTCGAAGTTGCCGATACGCGATGGTCTTTTAGGGGCGAGAAGCGAGTTGGCGGTGAAGGAGATTAAGGCGGACGCCGCGACGGACTTTTGAGTCGACTCAACAGGTGTTTCTCGATTGAAGCTTTGAAGGTGTCTCAAAAGGCACCGTACAGATCAAAGATGCCGATGGGCGACGATGGTGTTTTAGGAGCGAGAACCGTGCTGGCGGTGAGGGAGATTAAGGCTGACGCCATGACGGAGCCGCTGCTCTGCCATCGACTGGAGAAGGATAACTTCCCCGTGGTGCGTGCTGCTGACGTGGCGTGTGCTGCTGACGTGGTGTCTGATGCTGATATGCAGCTTGTCCTGCTGACATGGGGCTTGTTTCAGCTGACTTGGTGCATGCGCTGCTGACGTTAGCCCATCCGTCCTCTTTCCCACCCCCGCGCTTTATCCACGTGTCAGGTATTGAGAGGAGCAGTGGCTGATTGGCCGGCGGTGGCCCAATGGGACCTCATCAACAGCTCTCACGCACGGGGATACTTGCAGGTGCACGACATTCCATGTAGCACTTGGCTTTTGGGCGTCTGGGGAGTTCTGTGTTTGGCTTTTCTGCTATATTCCACACGCTCAGGCTCAGCTACCCTTTCTTCGCCTGTTCGCCTTTTGAGGCGCCTCAAAAGGCGTCTGGGGAGTTCTGTGTTTGGCTTTTCTGCTTCATTCCACGCGCTCAGCTACCCTTCCTTCGCCTGCCCCCCCCCCCCTTCCCCCTCTCCCCCCGCGCACACCAACCCCCTTCTTTCTCCCATTCCATGCAGCATCTGGTGGGATCAGCTCCCGTGCAGCTCATCACGACGCACTCGGAGCCAGCGCATACAGCATACTGCCACCACGCGCTCAGATGCTCCTCCTTCAGGGTGTTTTTGAGAATTCTCAAAAACACCCTGTTTCGTCTCCCTTGGTACACCATCTCCCTTCCTCTCCCATTCCATGCAGCATCTGGTGGGATCAGCTCCCGTGCAGCTTATCATGACGCACTCGGAGCCAGCGCATACAGCATACTGCCACCACGCGCTCAGATGCTCCTCCTTCAGGGTGTTTTTGAGAATTCTCAAAAACACCCTGTTTCGTCTCCCTTGGTACACCATCTCCCTTCCTCTCCCATTCCATGCAGCACCTGGTGGGATCAGCTCCTGCGCAGCTCATCATGACGCGCACAGAGCCACTCATCTCTGCCATGCGACTCTTGAGTCGACCCAAAAGCCACCTCACGCTGACTGCCCCCCCCTCCCCACTCCCATTCCATGCAGCACCTGGTGGGATCTGCTCCCGTGCAGCTTATCATGACGCGCACAGAGCCACTCATCTCTGCTGTGCGCTCACAACAATCACACGGGGCACAGTCACATGCGACAGAGTCACACGACGCACAGTCACGTGCATCGCAGCATCAGCAGCCCTTTGCGTACTTTGATGGAGCATTGCGGAAGCACGAGCGGGTGAGTTGAGTCCTCATATTTTCTGCTGTTTGTTTCGTAACTTGCCTGTTTCGACTTTTGAGAATGGTTGCCTTTGAATAGTTTGGAACAGTTTTGACAAAATAATAATATGTGTTTCGCCTATATTCCTTCTTGGACTGACTCTTCCAAGCAGCAGAAGTCTCCTCACCCTTTCAAGTCTCCTCACCCTCCCATCCCTGATATTGCTCATGTTTCTTACCCGCCCTTTTCTTACATTCCCTTTTCTTATATTGTCCATGTTCCTTACCCAGATAGCAGCTACATTTTCTGATGCTCTTGCACTGGCGTGTGCGTCTCCCCTTGCTGCGGGAGCTGAAGCAAGCACCAGGGGGAGAAGCCATGGTTTTGCCTCTGCCGCTCCTGCCACTGGTGCTGCTAACAGTGGTGCTGGCACTCCTGCCCCTCCGGCCACCGCTGCTCCTGGGAATGGTGCTGCTGGCAGTGCTGAGGAGACAGGAGACGGGGCCCGACCGCAAGGGGGTGAGGGGAAAGGAACTGAGGCGGGAGGGGGCGAGGAGGAGCAGGGCAGTGGGTTGCAGGAGATGATACGAGCCATGGCGTCTGGTGCAGCGCCACTGGCGTTCTACCTCGCTCAAGTATGCATGCCCACTCTCTCACATGCCCACTCTCTCACATGCCCACTCTCTCCCATGCCCACTCTCTCACATGCCCACTCTCTCACATGCCCACTCTCTCACATGCCCACTCTCTCACATGCCCACTCTCTCACATGCCCACTCTCTCACATGCCCACTCTCTCACATGCCCACTCTCTCACATGCTCACTCTCTCACATGCTCACTCTCACATGCCTACTCTCACACATGCTCCTGCCCGCACACACCCTGCCTCCTGTACCCTCATCACTTGCGTTCATCCTTTCCCCCTCCCTGCCCCTCCTCTCCCCCCCTCCCCTTTTTCCCTCTACGTGCCACATACACACACATTCCTGGAGCAACTTTTGAGGCGCCTCGAAAGTCGTACACACATTCCTGGAGCAGAACCCCATCTTTGACCGCTAGCAGCCACACCAGCAATTCCCCCTCTCAAACTCTTCCGCCCTCCCCCTCCCCCGCTTCCCCCACGTTCTCCCCACATGCCCCGCACACACATGTTATGAGCAGAACCCCATCTTTGACCGCCAGCAGCCACACCAGCAATTCCCCCTCTCAAACTCTTCCGCCCTCCCCCTCCCCCGCTTCCCCCACGTTCTCCCCACATGCCCCGCACACACATGTTATGAGCAGAACCCCATCTTTGACCGCCAGCAGCCACACCAGCAATTCCCGCTCTCGCCCTTGCTGCAAGATGCTCCTATTGTATGGTAACCAGCCATTTCAGTACCCTTCAAAGGAGGCATGATGAATTTCGAGGCGCCTCAAAACTCGCGTGCAGTGAGGTGAATTTTGAGGCGCCTCAAAAATTTGAGGCGCCTCAAAAATTTGAGGCGCCTCAAAACTCGCCCTTGCTGCAAGATGCTCCTATTGTATGGTAACCAGCCATTTCAGTACCCTTCAAAGGAGGCATGATGATGAGCATGGGCTGGCCCGGCCAGGGCCCACCCACAGTAGCCTCCTCTTGTCGGATTTGCCCAGCCCGGGCCTGACCCGCCCGCCAACCCTTCTAGCGCGAGGTTTGTATGACGGACAGTTTTTCTCACTGCTGCTGTTGCGAGTTTATTGTTTTTAAGTTGTTCACTAACGGATTTTTCTTTCCAATTTAACATCCCCCTCAAAGATTTGTCCCTTCCGCCTGTCCAGCCATCAGGGCTAGACGCATCTCGCCTGACGTCCGCCAATCTGTGGATGACACTTGGCGGCCCCTCCTCCTCCTCGCCTCACTACGACCTCTTTCACAACCTGCTCTGCATTGCAACCGGTTCTAAAACAGGTGAGGATGGTGGTGACGATGGTGGTGGTGATGGTGAGGATGGGTGGTGATGGTGAAACACCCACTCTTTCACAACCTGCTCTGCATTGCAACCGGTTCTAAAACAGGTGAGGATGGTGGTGACGATGGTGGTGGTGATGGTGAGGATGGGTGGTGATGGTGAAACACCCACTCTTTCACAACCTGCTCTGCATTGCAACCGGTTCTAAAACAGGTGAGGATGGTGGTGACGATGGTGGTGGTGATGGTGAGGATGGGTGGTGATGGTGAAACACCCACTCTTTCACAACCTGCTCTGCATTGCAGCCGGTTCTAAAACAGGTGAGGATGGTGGTGACGATGGTGGTGGTGATGGTGAGGATGGGTGGTGATGGTGAAACACCCACTCTTTCACAACCTGCTCTGCATTGCAACCGGTTCTAAAACAGGTGAGGATGGTGGTGACGATGGTGGTGGTGATGGTGAGGATGGGTGGTGATGGTGAAACACCCACTCTTTCACAACCTGCTCTGCATTGCAACCGGTTCTAAAACAGGTGAGGATGGTGGTGACGATGGTGGTGGTGATGGTGAGGATGGGTGGTGATGGTGAAACACCCACTCTTTCACAACCTGCTCTGCATTGCAACCGGTTCTAAAACAGGTGAGGATGGTGGTGACGATGGTGGTGGTGATGGTGAGGATGGGTGGTGATGGTGAAACACCCACTCTTTCACAACCTGCTCTGCATTGCAACCGGTTCTAAAACAGGTGAGGATGGTGGTGACGATGGTGGTGGTGATGGTGAGGATGGGTGGTGATGGTGAAACACCCACTCTTTCACAACCTGCTCTGCATTGCAACCGGCTGTAAAACAGGTGAGGATGGTGGTGACGATGGTGGTGGTGATGGTGAGGATGGGTGGTGATGGTGAAACACCCACTCTTTCACAACCTGCTCTGCATTGCAACCGGCTGTAAAACAGGTGGCGATGAGAGTTGTGATGGAGGTAATGGTGGTGGTGATTATTGTAATGGTGATGCTGGTGGTAGTGGCAGCTGGCCACCCTCTTCCTCCTCGCGTCACTACGGCCTCTTTCACAACCCTCTCTGCATTGCCACCGGCTCCAAAACAGGTGACGGTGAGGGTGAGGTGAGGGGCAGGGGGTGGTGATGAAGGTATGAGTGACGGTGTTGGTAGGCAAACAGTCTCACCCACTTTTTCACAACCTGCTTTGCATTGCAACGGACTCTAAAACAGGTGACGGTGGTGATGGTGATGGTGGTAGCAGGTCGTCTATGGCCCCCCCTCGCCAGCAGCCCAGATTCTGTTTCTTTTCCTCCTTCTCTCCTCCCTTGCACACATCTCTTGATACCCTGCTTCACAGCACCCCACCCCTCCCCTCCGCACCCGATTCCTCCCCTCCGCACCCCATCCCTCCACACCGTACTGCACCAGAGCAGTTCGCCTGTGGCCTCCATCATCAGCGCATCTCTTGGACCCCATGCCTCTCTACTCCGAGTCATCCAATCACGTGTCAGCACTTGTCACTTTCTTGCTTGAACGAAGTTCTGGGACTAGCTCCCTGCCTTTCTTTCTTTGATCACGTGTTTGTACCTATTTCTCTTTTTTTCCAATCCAGCATACCAATCCTCCAAATTTTGCCCTTTTGTTTGTCACAACGTTTGCCCGTTTTTTGTTGGGTTTTCAACTAGATCCGGAAAACATTCGACATCTTTGTCTGTCACCGTTTTCTCATCTTCTCGCCTCTCTGTCCCTACTAATCCCTCCTCTCCATCTGTAACCTCTCCTTTCCTTCTGCTTCCTGCTCTCTTCTCTCCCATGCTCTCTTCCCATGCAGCCATCCCCATCCGTCTCCTCTCCATCTCTCCCCAGAGGCAGCAGCAGCAGCAGCCACTGTGGCTCTTGATGCTGGGGATGCGCTCTTCCTGCCCGAAGGCTGGTGAGCGAGGGAAGAGGGGGGGGGAGAGGAAATTGTGAGGGCATGTGTGCATGGTATGGTCACTGGTAGCAGCAGCAGCAACAACAACAGCAGCCACGGTGACTCTTCATGCTGGGGATGCGCTCTTCCTGCCTGAAGGCTGGTGAGGCTAGAGGGAGGGAAGGGGGGTGGGGTGGGGAGGGGATGACGAGGACAAGAGGTGCCGGTGCTGGGAATCTGGCAGCAGTCACGGTGAGTCTTCATGCGGGGGATGCGCTCTTCCTGCCTGAAGGCTGGTAAGGGGGGGGAGGGAGGGAACGGGGGTGAGGGTGTGGGTGAGGGGTGTGGGGATGAAGTGCGTGAGGGTGAGGGTAATGGAGGGCATGTCCCTCAGGTGCATGGTTAGGTGTAGCTGGCGCAGTGAATGTGAGCATTCAGGTTCAGGATTTACGTTTCACCTGTCCTGTGTCATTCCGCTCTATCTTATTCCACACTTCCACTTTCCATGCCACTGCCACATGCCACCATGCCACCATGCCACCATGCCACCATGCCACCATGCCACCATGCGTCCATGCCACCATGCCACCATGCCTCCATGCCACCATGCCACCATGCTACCATGCCATTACATGCAACTATGCACATGCAGGTACCATCAGGTTACCAGCCACCAGCCACCATCGCCACCATGCCACCATGCTAATACTTGTGCATGAAAACTCTCGAAAGTGACTCCAATACACCATGGCGTTGCATGCATGCAGGTACCATCAGGTCAGCAGCACACCTGCCACCATCGCCACCATGCCACCATGCTAATGCGTGCAACCATGCGGGTGCATGTATGCTCTTGTGCATGCAGGTACCACCAGGTCAGCAGCACACCAACCACCATCGCCATCAACTTCTGGTGGCCCTCCCTAGTGTGCCTCTCGTTTGGGTCACACATGGACCTCTACTATGCGAGGAGAGTGCTTACAAGGTGATCTCCTGTGGTTCACCTTTCCTGGTGGCATGTTATTCGCGAGGAGGGTGCTTACAAGGTGATTCACTTGATTGTGGTTCATTTGTTACTGCGCCTCTCAGAAGTGTGTCTCTCATTAGTGTGCGTCTCGTTATTGTGCCTCCGCCTCTCGTTTGTGTCACACATGGACCACTGCTCTGCAAAGAGAGTGATCACAAGATGATACTGGCATTCACTTGGACTGTGAATACCTGACAGGTCTTATAGGCATGATAGGTGCAGCTTGCACAAAACCTGATTTGAGGAGGTTAAAAAACTCCTTTCCTTTCTCCATTTCTTTCACCTGACCTGTTTCTCCTGTTCCCCATCCGTTTCCCCTGCCCCTCCCCCTCTCCGTTTTCCTCTTCCTTCCCCCCCCTCACATTCTCTCCTGGCTGAAGCCTGCTTGAAGCGCACAAGGTGTGAGCTTCTCCTTTTCCTCTTCGTTCTGCGTTGACTTTTGAGTCCACTCAAAAGTTCCTCCTCACGAATGCTCAAGATCGTTTCAGCAATTTGACCCATTTTCTGAGCCTCCTCGAAAACAAACTTGCCCTCACATACCACGTTTCTCGAATGCTCTCTGACTGTTTTTGCCTTCATGATTCTCTGTTGTGTGCCACTGCGGCTGGTCGCAGGAGTCCATTTTGTTTGAGGTTGATTTTGAGAATTCTCAAAATCAACCTCAAACAAACTGTTTTTGCCTTCATGGTTCTCCGTTTTGTGCCACTGCGGCTGGTCGCAGGAGTGCAAGGCGAAACGAGCAGCACTAACAGACGCAGGAGGAGCAGAGGGTGAAGGGGCTGCTGTTGAGGTGGCTCAAGAGACAGGAGCAGTGGAGGGTGAGGGAGGAGGAAGCAACGGGCGGACAGTGAAGTCGGCAGCAGCGCTGACAGATGCAGGAGAGGCGGAGTATGAAGGGGCTTCTCTTGAGGGGCCTGAAATGGCAGGAGCGGTGGAGGGTGAGAGAGGAGGAGGCAACATTGGGCGATCAGCGATACCAGCAGCAGTGGACAGCAGGGGTGGGGATCGTCAGCAGCAGCAGACAGCAGCAGAGGTGACTTCTGAATCGCCTGGAACGATGACAGGAGGGGTGCGGATCGGAGGAGGAGAAGGAGAGAGGGAGGAAGAGGGGAAGGGAAGGAGGGAGGAAGAGGGGAAGGGAAGGAGGGAGGAAGAGGGGAAGGGAAGGAGGGAGAAAGGGGGGAAGGGAAGGAGGGAGGGGAAGGGGAGGAGGGAGCTGATGGAAGGGTTGAGTGAGAGGGAAAGAAGGGCGGTGGAATATCTTGTTCTTGCCGCTGCTGCTGCTTCTGCTGCTGCCGCTGCTACTCCTGTTGCTGCTGCTGCTGATGCTCATGCATCTCCTGCTAATGGTGTTGCATCCTCTGCTGCTGGTGGGTTGGGGAAGCGTAAACCTGTTGGCGCGAGGAAGGATGGGGGGAAGCGGAGGCGGGAGGAAGGGAGACACAAGGGCGAGGAGGGCAGTGAGGCGGGTGGTGAATCCGAAGAGGAAGGAAGAAAGAAAAAGAGAGGGGAGTGGGAGGAGATGCGAGAGGAGGAAGAGGAGGACGAGGAAGAGGAGGAAGAGGAGAAAAACAGAAGAGACGTTTCTTCGAGAGTGGAGGCTGCGATTGCTGCTCTACCCCCAGCCTCACTACGCACTGTCCTTCTAGTCATGGCTGTATGTGCTTCCATGGCCCTCATGTGCTTCTACTCATGGCTGTATGTAATTTTTTTCGACTTGTCCAAAATCGCTCGAAAGGGCTGTATGTAATTTCTGAGACTTGACTGAAATTGCTCGAAAGGGCTGTACGTGCTTTGAGAGTGGAGGCTGTGATTGCGCAGAGAGGCCCACTTGATGCCTCACTACGCAATGTGCTTATAGTCATGGCTGTATGTAATTTCTGAGACTTGACTGAAATCGCTCAGAAGGGCTGTACGTTCTTCGAGAGTGGAGGCTGTGATTGCTGCTCAACCCCTGGCCTCTCTGCGCACTGTGCTTCTATCCATGGCCGTACGTTTTTGCACAGCTGCACACGATTTTTGAAACCTCTCAAAAATCGCTCCCATGTCTCTCCAAGGGTTGTATGTGCTTCCATGGCCCCCATGTGTGGAGGCAGCGAGCTGTGTTCTACCCCCGGCCGCACTGCGCAATGTGGTTCTAGTCATGGCCGTACGTCCTTCCATACCCCTCATCAGAAATTTCTCCGCTTCTCATGTGATATGAGTTACGTCCACAACCTAACACACTTTTCTTTCTCTCTCCCTCTCCCTCCCCTTTCCCCGCCTCTTGTCCCCACAGCACGCCTTCCCCCTCTCCTCGCACCATCTGCTGCACCACGCACTCTCGCCGCTCTCCGCTTTCCTCATCACCTCACGACTCGATGCTGACGCCGTGCCACCATCCCTTCCCACCGCTGCCACTGTTCCCACCACTGCCACCGCTGCCACTGCTGGTTGCGGTGATGCTGCTGCTGCTGTCCGCGCGGCTGATACTGCTGCATATGGCAACGGCAGCAGCAGCGGCACCAGTGGGAGAGGTTTCTTTGAGGAGTTCTACGATGCTCTACCTGATCCCGCCTCTGCAGCTGCCGCAATACTCCAAGGCGTGGAGGAACACAATAAACAGGTCAGTCAGTCAGCAGGTTTGCAGCAACAGAATCGAAAGCACCAGCCACAGCAGCAGCAGCAGCACCAGTGGAGGAGGGTTCTTTGAAGAGTTCTATGATGCGCTTCCTGATCCCTCGTCTGCAGCTGCTGCAATTCTCCAGGGAGTGGAAGAGCACAACAAAAAGGTCAGTCAAATGGAGCAAGATGTCCTTTTGAGTTCTACGATGCGCTTCCTCATCCCGCATCTGCAGCTGCCGCAATCCTCTGAGGCGTGGAGGAGCACAGCAAACAGGTCAGTTAGTTGGTTGGTTTGCAGCAAGCAAAGTCGTTTTGAGGCGCCTCAGAAGACAGCTTCTGCATCAACGGCTGCCGCAATACTCCGAGACGTGGAAGAGCACAGCAAACAGGTCAGAGGGCACCTTTTCAAATGAAGTGTCCTTTGAAGCCAAATGGAGCAAGGTGCTCGCAATTCCAGTCAGCCATTGGTCGACTGCTGTGTTCAGTCAGCCATTGGTCGACTGCTGTGCTCACCCTCGCTTTGCGCGACCGCTCAAGGGCACCCCGTGAGGTGTATTTTGAGGCGCCTCAAAATGCAATTCCAGTCAGCCATTGGTCGACTGCTGTGCTCACCCTCGCTTGGAGCGAACACTCAAGCCCCTCTCAAATGCTCCTCCAAACATACCGTACCTGCCTCCTCATCGAAACGTCACGATCCTTGGCATGCCTACCTGCCATGCCTGCTACCGTACTCCTTGCCCGCTCTCTGTGCTTCACCCTTAGCAGTCGCGGAATGAGTTGGTGTGTTTGGTGTGTGCACGAGATAAGTTTTTGAAGCCAAATGGAATGGAGCAATATGTTTGCAGCGCTTTCAAACACATCATCTCCTCGTACACTCCCTCACACCCACCCTCATCCCTCCTCCCCTGCACCCGTGTGCCATTGTAACATAGGAAATTTCATATTTTCCTCCTGATACACCCCTCACACTCACCCGGCAACCCCCATCCCTCCGCTCCTCTCCTCTCAACCCCCCTTGCAGTCGCTGAAAGAGGTAATGGAGCTGGTGTGTGCGTTCAAGTCGAGACCCGAGTAGGAAACACCTGCAGGTGTATAATGGGAGTCTTGTTAGTTATAGATATTATACCCATACAATGAAACCTGCATCATGTTCCTCCCAAATCAATGACCTGGAACTGTTGTTTCATAACACTAACGTTCCACTCTCATCTGAATACCGGGTAATATGTTGTGATGTTTTCCAAGAGTCCTGACCTTATGCATGACCATTATGCAACACCACACTGCTTGCAAAATTTTTTTTTTTTGGGTTGCGAAGCAACCCTTTACGATCGATTTTGCCAAATTTTATTTTCATATTTATATTTTTTCTTATAAAATCATGAAAATAATTTTTGTCAACTACAGTAATACTCTTCCCCCACTGTATGCATGTTGAGCAGTTTTGAATACGGTACTTAGTGCATTAAACCATATGATGTTTTTGCAATTGTTTAGTGTAGATTTACTGTACTGTTTGCGTTATATGTTACTGTTAGATGATGTTGTGTAATGATAAAGAGATGCATGCGTAATGCATAAACGATGCTATACAATGCATAATGCATAGAATGATGCTATATAATGCATGTGATATGTCATGAATGATGCACATGCACATGATAAAATGCGTGACAGTTAACAACCCAAAAACTAAGCTACCGCCATCCCCTGCCTAGCATGGGGGGGAGGTCAATAGCTTAGCTTTTGAATAATCAACTACCACATGAAACAACACAATCTGTGAAGTCTAAAAACGAGATCAACCTACCAAATCCAGTTCAAGTGAGCGTACCGGTTCGAGTGTAACTCAATGAACCTTTGGGAAATGATAGAACCGATTCTCATTTCTAAAAACCACAGACATGCATTGTTAATGAAATAATAGACGGATAATGATATGGTAGATGAATGCCACACATACGGACACATACGCACGCAATCAGACGGACACACGCACGCACAGAAGCTCGGAACAAGCCAATGCAAAAAGAACTTACGAAGGAAAAAAAAAACACAGAAGATGCAAAAGATCACTACCAAGCAATACAACACAATTAGACCTAATCGCCACAAATGTGATCGTTCCTCCTTTAAAAATGACCTTCAATTCCCGAATGGTACAGCAAAGCCTCTGAAAAGTAGGAAATAGGGAAACGAAAGGGGGGAAATGGGGAATAGAAGTTGAGGGGATATAGATGGCGACTTTGAGAAAAAAAAACCACAAGCTGGCTTTCTGAACACAAATAGCAGGGAATAGGAGTAAACGGAAAAGAAGAAAGAGAAAAAGGTAAGAAGAAAAGTCCAAAGAGCTACACGTAGGTAAGAATGGAAAAGTACAGAACAAAGGAAAGAAGAATGATCATCGAAAGAAGGGGAGAGGAATGGAAATGCAGAGAGGGAGGAGATACCTCATATTCAAAATGCTAAAAGTTTTTCTCCACTAACTTGAGAGCGAGCTGATAGAAGAAGGGTGGGGTTGGAAGTGATGCTGGGGAAGGGGAGGGGGAACACGAGGGAAGGTGCACAAACAAACGGAAGCAATAACAAAAACGAGGAAGAAAACGAGAGGCTCTCCAATGAAGCTCATATTCAAATATCGTAAGCTAGCCAGAATGTGGTAGTATGAGAGAAAGAGGGAGAAAGAGAGAGAGGCGGTTGAAAATGAGAGACCACGAGAGAGAAACCGCCGAGCGAAAGAGTTGGACAAGAAAGAGAAAATCGTAACTATTTCTCTGCAGCCTTAGCCTTGTTGTAGGCCTCCAGTTCAGCAGCGTATCGCACCTTGTCCTTCTGAGACAGTTGCTCGTACTTCACCTTGTCACCAGCTGCACGGGGGAAAAGGAGGGAGAGGGGACAGACGGGTGACGGGAAATGATGAGGTCCTGTCCTGAGAAGCTGGCCCTCACTTCAACTTCACTTCACCTTGTTTTGTGACGTCTCGAAGCTTGCTTTCAGCTCACCTTGTCACCAGGTGTGAAGGAGTGAGGAATGGACAGAGGAAAGAAGGGGTTGAGGTGGGGGTGAGGGAGGGTGAGAAGGGAAACACTTTGCCTGTCCTTCTGAGAAAGCTTGCAGGAAACGGAGGGAAATGATGGACGAGAAGAGAGGGTAGAGGGTGGTGGGTTTGGGGCGAGGGAGGGGAGGCGGGGAGAACGAGGGAGCGGGGGAGTTGGGGAAGGGAGGGGGTGGTGGGAGGAGAGGAAGGTCAGAGAAATGATGGGGAGCGGGACGCCTACGGCAGCAATAGTGAGGTCAGAGGAAGGGGGAGAGGATATGCATATGGCCAGCTTGAGAAATTTTAAAAGTGATTACTCTAGAGCAATGGTAAGGCCAGGGGAAGGGGGATAGGATGTGCATACGGTCAGAGGTGAGGGAAACGAGGAAATAGAAAGGTGAGGACAAGCGTACAATGGCGGAACACAAACATTGAATTTCTGAAGACATTTGGATGTTCTTGGATCGCGAACGGGACCTAGTTGTGGAATTCCCAGTAGGCTAACTGTGGGAATAACGCACTGCTCGCGAATCTCCTACCTGTGAGGTTTCGCCACCGTTCGCCAATGTCCTACCTGCGAGGTTTCGCCACCGTTCGCCAATGACCCTGCCGACATCGGCGAAGGCTATGTCGGGCTTCTCGCGAATCACTTTCTGTCGCACAAACGAAAAGGGAAATTCGCGGGAATGCACCGGAAGGAGAACTCGGAGAGAGGAAGGCCGGAAATATATAGATGCACGAAATTCACGGGGAGAAATAAAAAAAGGAATTGCGGATTCAGGTGATCAACGGATAGCAAATCCACAAGGCGTCAACTCCGTGGGGTAAAAGACCAACAAACAATGCCATAGAAGAGATGGAAGAACCGAAACAATCACAACCATGGTGACAAAAACTAGCTAGATGACAACAACAGCGATGTAATCGAATCAGAAAGCACGAGACGGCGCCACGCACAGCTATATTGGTTTTACCTTTGAGAAATCTCAAAAGCAACACCAATCTAGATGAAAACAACAGCGATGCAGTTGAATCAGAATGCACGAGAGAGCACACGCACAGGTCGCTTTTCAGTCGTGACGTCCATTTAAGGGGACATGGGTCGCTAAGGACAGTCGGGTGTGTTACGAGTCAACTTAAAATACACAAGGCCACACGCACAGGTCGCTCATGAGTCGCGAAGACTATATACGCCGACATAGGTCGCTTAGGGCTGTCATCCTTGGGTTTCCGCGTCGCCTTCGGCTTCTCGCCTCCCGCCTTTCCAGCTGACGCCGCTTTCTCGCCTCCGGCCTTTGCGGCGAAGCATCGGAACGCGGTTCCGGCGATTTCGGAGGCAGATCCGGGCGATGCGCGGGAGAACGCGAGACGGAAAATGGTTTGGGGAGTTGCCATGGCGTGGAGCATGACAGGTGTGACTATAGCGAGGGTACGCGAGCGTCGTATGCGGAAAGCCGCCGAGGCGGTCGATGCAGAGACTACGAGATAGTAGAGTGGTGACGACGGGAATTCTTGGAAGCGGCTGACGACGGTTAGAGACTGTTGATGCCAACAAGAAGCGATGCGCAACCGTCGATGCGGAGTGGGTTGGATGCGATTTGGGATCAATGGCGGGAGGGGAGGAGGTGGGACCAGGGGAACTGAACTGACGGAGGCAAGTGGCTGGAAACGAGGAGGTCAGGGTTAGGCGCGATCTGGTGGTTTTTAGTATGGTAGGGAGAGTCTATATTCCCGAGGTTCTCTCGATATTGGCTAGGGTCTCAAGGGTGATGATTTGGGACGGGAAGGAAATTCGCTATATGCAACACAATGGCACTTCCAAACAAAGCTTACCCGAATGTCTGACTTATCTCACAAGCTCAAACTAAACTTGCAAGGAAGTGGGTTATACCGTAACCACATGCCAGATCACAAATATACCATAAATATACCTCCGGGCACCCTAGAATAAAGTTACCGTAAGGCTTCTTAAATAGACCTACATGACCAAACACCTCACTGGGTCCGATCATATGACAGTCCTAGTGTCCAAGATTACTCATCAGTTGCTTCCACAGTCCACCCCCTCTATAGGTAGTCATCAGGATCACCTTTAAGCACATCGGATGCAAGGCGAGGCTCTCTTCCTAACGCATAAAGAGGCTCCTCTGACGTCGTAGCTCCCATTTCAAGAAACTTGGCACGCTCCGATTCGTCGACAATCTGATCGCCGCCTTTAGTGATGTACACTACAGATGTGATGAGCAGTACAAGCACACCCATTACTGCCACGCCTGCTATCACCCAGACCACCACCCCCAAGCCTTGAGGTGCAGGCGCCGTGTGAACTGTAAGGAAGGAAGGCGGGCACAGGGAGAGGGGGGGTAAGGATGAAGGATTGATGAAGGAGGGAAGAAGGACAGAGGACGGAGAGATGGGAGAGGGAGGAAGGAGGGAAGCAGGAGGGAAGCAGGAGGTGAGAATATGTGGAGGAGGATGTGGATGAGAGGTTTGCATGGCATCCCAAGATTGAAGGTCCAGCAGCAGTGTACACCACTCAACCCAACAGACAGAGAAAGACAGAACATACAGAAAGAGAAAGAGACAAAAACAGAGAAACAGGACAGAGACAGAGACAGACGAAGACAGGGGGAGGGGACCAGCTTACCGTCGCTTTTACCCTTGCACACACGTAGGACATGACAGTACAAACTCCAAAGTCCCCTTTGGTCCGGCCAGCAGCAGCTCCCCAAAGCCCGCAGCACCACTCAGTCCGACAGACAGTGACAGAGACAGAGACATAGACACACATTAACCCAGCTTAACCACTCAACTCACCATCTCCTGTGCTCATTTCCAGGTCCCTCACACATGCGGGGCACGAGAGCACAAACTCCAGTGTGCCCTTTGGATCGGCCAGCAGCAGCTCAACCCAACTCAACCCAGCTCAGCCACTCAACTCACCGTCGCCTGTGCTCATCTCCATGTCCCGCACACAAGCAGGACATGACAGCACAAACTCCAGTGTGCCCTTTGGTTCGGCCAGCAGCAGCTCAACCCAACTCAACCCAGCTCAGCCACTCAACTCACCGTCGCCTGTGCTCATCTCCATGTCCCGCACACAAGCAGGACATGACAGCACAAACTCCAGTGTGCCCTTTGGTTCGGCCAGCAGCAGCTCAACCCAACTCAACCCAGCACATACAGACTCAACTCACCGTCTCCTGTGCTCATCTCCAGGTCCCTCACACAAGCAGGGCATGACAGCACAAACTCCAAAGTGCCCTTTGGGTCCGCCAGCAGCAGCTCCCCAAAGCCCGTAGAACCACTCAGCCCAACACACACGGACTCAACTCACCGTCTCCCGTGCTCATCTCCAGGTCCCTCACACACGCAGGACATGAGAGCACAAACTCCACAGTGCCCTTTGGGTCGGCCAGCAGCAGCTCTCCAAAGCCCGCAGCACCAGGAGCGGGCGAGTGGCCCTCGGGGGCGGAGAAGTTGGACTGGCAGAGCGGGAAGAGCAGGTAGGGGCAGCAACAAGAGACTGACAGAGACAGACAGAGACTGACAGAGGCTGACAGAGACAGACAGAGAGAGACAGACAGAGACTGACAGAGACAGACAGAGACTGACAGAGACAGACAGAGACTGACAGAGGCTGACAGAGACAGACAGAGAGAGACAGACAGAGACTGACAGAGACAGACAGAGACTGACAGAGACAGACAGAGACAGAGAGAGAGAGACAGACAGAGACAGAGACAGAGACAAAGTGAAGAAAACCCTGCTCACCATCGCCTGTGCTCATCTCCAGGTCCCTCACACACGCGGGGCACGAGAGCACAAACTCCAGTGCCCCCTTTGGTTCTGCCAGCAGCAACTCTCCAAAACCAGCAGCACCGGGCGCGGGCGAGTGGCCCTTGGGGGCGGAGAAGTTGGACTCGCAGAGCGGGAAGAGCAGGTAGGGGCTGTCTGCTATCCACCCCTTCTCGTATATGCCACATGTCTTGCAGCCGCCACTGTCCATTTGAAATAGGGGCTGGAATGGGGGAGGGCGATGGCAAAGGAAGGGAGGGGGAGGGAGGGGGGGTGGGTCGGGGGAAAAGCAAAGGAAATCAGGCATGGGAAGGAGTACGAGAGGGAGGAGAAGTGTGGGCGGGCGAGTGGCCCTTGGGGGCGGAGAAGTTGGACTCGCAGGGCGGGAAGAGCAGGTAGGGGCTGTCTGCTATCCACCCCTTCTCGTATATGCCACATGTCTTGCAGCTGCCACTGTCCATTTTGAATAGCGGCTGGGATGGACGGGGTGCAGGGAGGGAGGCGAAGGGAGAGGGAATGAGTCGGAAAAATATCAACTGTGATGAGGCATGGGAGAGGGGCTGGTTGGAAGGAATACGAGGGGGAGGAAAGGTGGGGGGAAGTGGGGGGGACATGGAAGGGCGAGTGGGCCTTGGGGGCTGAGAATTTGGACTCGCAGAGTGCGAAGAGCAGGTAGGGGCTGCCAGCGACCCATCACGTGATAATAAAAGTGTTTTGAGATGTCTCAAAACCCATCACCGTACAACCGTCATACGGGCGTTCCATTCCAGCCCTCACCTTCCACTCAGCCTCACCTGCCAGTCCTCCTTGCCCGTGAGGTTCACTTGAATGTTGAGCGGCGGCGAGAAGGGCAAGTAGGAGCGGTAACCATCAACCCCCCACCCACCGCCTCGCACAACCGTTACACGCCCATCACCTTACAACCGTCATACAGCGTTCCAGCCCTCTCCTTCCACTCAGCCTCACCTGCCAGTCCTCCTTGCCCGTGAGGTTGACTTGAATGTTGAGCGGCGGTGAAAAGGGCAGGTCGGAGCGGTTACCATCAGCACAGAGGAGGTAGACCTGGGGGAGGAACACCCAGTTGATGTGCTTGTGCAGCGTGATGCTCGTTAGAGTCACATTCGCCACACCTAGGAATAGGGGAGGTGGGGGATGGAAAGAAACAGGAAAGAGGAGTGGGGAGGAGGGAATTGAGAGGCTGATTGAACAATTCGGAGTGATTGTTATCGGCACAGAGGAGGAAGACCTGGGGGAGGAACACCCAGTTGATGTGCTTGTGCAGCGTGATGCTCGTTAGAGTCACATTTGCGACAGCTGAAATGGGGTAGGAGGGGAGGGGGGTTGGTTCTTTGTATGTTGAGAGGGGCGGAGGGGGGTGTGGAACGGCGAAGAGGAGTATACTGAATCTTGAACCCCACAAGGCAGACGACTCGAGTTGACTTTTGAGTCGACTCAAAAGTCAACGTGGAGGGGCGAAGAGGAGTATACTGAATCTTGAACCCCCCAAGGCGGACGACTATGAGAAATGCAACCCCGTTGACGGGATGCAGGAGGAATTCTGGGAGGGCGGAGAGGGGTGCTTGTATGTTGAGAGGGGCGGAGGGGGGTGTGGGACAGTGAAGAGGGGTATCTTAGATCTCGACCCCATGCACAGCGGACGACTTGGTGAGATGCAGCCTTGCAGATTGAATGCCAGGGCGTGGCAGGGAGGAGGCGGGGGTGGGTGAGAGGGAGAAGTAAGGGGGGGGGAGGGAGAGAGGGGGAGGGGGAGAGAGAGGGGTGGGGGGTGGTGTAGTAGGGGAGGGAGGACACGAGAGGGAGACGGGTACGACTGAGTACGAAGCACTAAAATAAGCCGCTTCGCTTGTGCAGGGCGATCGATGCTAAGGTTATGGGTTCTGCGACTTGAATTGACACGGTCACAACGCGTTTCTGGAAAATCATATGATGCTAGGGTTACGGCCGCTACAGCTTCAGCGGGGGAAATTGCGGAGAAGAGGGGAAGAGGGGAGGGGGCGTGGGGGGTTGGGGAGGAGATATGGGGGAGATGTTGAAGCAACCATCTTGAGGCGCTTAGGAAAAGGAGATCGGCCGTGGACCAATTGAAGAACAACGGACACTCACCCGCCACGTGGATCACTTGTAACGCCACGATTGTAACGAAGATCGCAAGGACTCCTCCTGTTTGCAGTAACCCACGAGATTTCGCCATCTTTCGCGCTCGGACTTGCGCGATCGCGAGGCGCTTGTAGAGCTTATTTCGACGAGTTTGACGAAGGACTCGAAGTAACGCACCGGCTCGCGTATAGTGCGGAGACCCTGACCTTATTCTCAACCGTCCAATATACCGAATAGGTTGTAACGAGTCTGAAGCGCCTCAAGCGTCCAACTTAAACCGCCTAAGAGGAGAGCCGTAGGAGAAGCAGGCAGAATGAAGAGGCACTCGCGATGATCAATTAAAAAACGATCGTTCAGCGAAGAATGATCGAGGCGCCTCGAATGATCCGCTCCGGAGGGGCCTATGCAGTGACAAACACAAGCATGTGCCAGAAAGTTACGCTACGCTACGCGGAACAGGTTGCGGATTGCGATGTCAACAGGTTATTTAGGGTTGCGACCTAGATCCGCATCGCACCTCAGCAAAGAATAAATAGCGTACGACGACAGAGGTATGTTGCAAGTGTACTGAACTAGCAAATGTGGGGCCCATACATAAAATAAGGAGCACTTTTTGGGGAGTTACGCTGCTGTAGTCATGGGATTCTTGATGATGGTCTGGTTCTTCGGTGAGGTCCGGTGGAGGTTCGACTGTGTGCGAGGAGACTCGGTTTTCGCGAACCCCTGGCGCAGCCTCGGTCGGAACTTGTTCGGGTTGTTGGTTTGGACCTGCGTTCCCCAAGGCGATTCTGTACAGGTAACAAGACCCGAATTTCGCTTTCCCGGTCGGAGAGAAGTGCGGTTCATTTGCGGTTCAGTCTGAACGGGGTCGGAACAGCAATGGGTTCGTTGGATTCACTGTGCAGAGTGCCCTGAAGGTATATTCGTGACTACATCGAAGGGAGATGGACAAGACAAGAGTGTGGACACCAGTTGCAGCCAGATGCATAAGTGACACAGCGTCACGAAATCACAGATGCTTGTGCCGAATGAGACATCCAGGCTCGACGCAAGCTCAGGTTGAAGCTGTCTCTATCTCGTGAAGCTGTCCCTAGGGCAATTTGTTTCGGCTGGTGATTGCACAAGCCACCCCTCCACCGCTCCGAGCCCCTCCTAAACCTGTTCCACCACTTCTTCACAACCACATACCCATTCCCCAATAGCAGCAACATAAATTCTTCCACGGAAGTACCATCCAACCAACCCGCCCTGAAATCAACTACTCTGCAAATTCGTACGCGTTAGTGTGAGGCTCTAGCACACCTCGAACCGCTGGGTGCTAATAATAAACTACCCTCATTCACGAGCCTACCGCACGGTAGCAGCTCTACTGGTGTGTCGACCCTAATTTTCTGCTTTCGAGTCATGACCTCGCGGCACGGCCAAGCGAGTGAGGCTGAACTCTCTTCTCGCGCCGCGCTTCCGCCAAGCGCCTCAGACCTCCACTCCATTCCCACGATTTCCCTTCCCCTGTCCGCCGTTCCCGCCTCCTCTGCGCACGTTAACGCGCGTCGAGCCGCCTCGGCGTCGGCCGTCACTACCCTCGGCGGTGCTTCCAATGGGCTACGCGCGAGGAGCCGCAATGGGAGCCGGAGCTTTCGACGCAGCGCCGTCAAACGCGGCGGTAGTCACGGCAGAAGTCCCGGCGGCAGTCACGGCGACATTCACGGCGGCAGCGACGGCGGAATCAGCAGCGGCATCAGGAGCCTTAGCGGCCGGATGATGTCAGGGATGTTTGGAAAGCGGCGCGACAAGATCCAAGACAGCGGTCCTCTGAGACCCTCGTTTCACGGTGGAATGGTGCGACTCGTGTCACAGAATTTCCCGGAAATTCCGCTCGAGGAAATGAAATCCGACGCGCTTTGGGGGACCACATGGTGGTGGTTCGGACGAGTATTGGATCCGCGTACAACGCGTATGAAGCGATGGATGAGATTCGTCGCCTTGGTTCACTCCGCATCGCTAGCCGTTGATCCCTGCTTTCTATACCTCATCTCTTATAGTCCGGACGTATCGTGTCTATTTCTGGAGACGATTTTCTCGATAGTCCTCATGGTGCTTCGGAGCGGGTGCGACTTGGTTTTTCTAGTGGATGCGTTTCTGTCGTTACGCACGGCTTACGTGTCGAAGGAAGCTATAGCGAGGGGGCACGGCAGCGAAATGGTGACGAATGCGAGGGCAATCGCGCGGTCGAGGTGTTCCTTTGGCGGGGTGGTCTTCGATATCATCGCGACCTTGCCGATTCCGCAGGTGGGCATGATTGGCGGTTGGAGAAAATTCAGATAATTGTAACTAGGTAACAGTGAAGGTATTCGCTCCAATAGTTGACCATAAAAATGTACAGGAATGGTTGTGGCTGAAGAAATGTGGGTAACTTGGTAAAAATATGAAGGTCGTGCTTTACTCTAAGAAATAAAGAAGCTATCCTCTTTTCCCCCCCTCCCCCTTCCCCCTCCCTTTCCCTCTTTCTCAATATTTCCAGGTTTTTGTGTGGGTGATTGCCCCCATGCTAATCCAAATGGACAAGGCTACATATGAATTCTCTACAGGCGGCGTCACTATAGCCTTCGCCGCCATAATTCTACAGTACATTTTCAAGCTCATTCTCGCCGCCCGGTTCACCGTTCGATCGCAGCGGGTCAACGGCTACATCTTCGGTGCGGCGTGGTGGGGCTTTGCGTTGAATTTCGTGGCGTACATGATTGCTGCTCATGTGAGTGAGTGTCGGAGCTGGTTCTCAGGATTTGATTTGCCATGCGAGTGTGAAACGGTTGAACGGCCACATCTTTGGGGCGGGTGCCTGCCAGGTGGTGGGGTGGTGGGGCATCGCACTTCACCTCGTGGCGTGCTTGATTGCTGCTCATGTGAGTGTCGGAGCTGGTTCTTAGGAAATGCCGTGCGAGCGAATGTGAAGCGAGTGAATGTGAAGCGAGTGAATGTGAAGCGAGTGAACGGCTACATTTTTGGCGTGGTTGTGTTAGGGATGAGCAAAGGGCGAACACGAACATGTTCGTGTTCGCCCCTTCTCGAACACCCCCTTTTGCCGAACCGAACACTGTTCGGTTCGGCGAACAGTTTAGGCAAAAACAGGTGTTCGCTGTTCGCCTGTGGAGGCGTGTTCGGGCGAACCTCGAACACGTTCGTGTTCGACACAGGGCGTTCTGCAGCAGCGCCACGAACACGAACATGTTCGGGCAAACCTCGAACACGTTCGGGCGAACGATTTAAGCTGAAAAACAAAACCTGTTCGGTTCGCCTCGAACGTGTTCGAGGCGAACCGAACAGGTGTTCGCCACCTTGCTCAAGCCTAGGGTGTGTGGTGGTGGGGCTTCGCCTTAACCACTTGGCGTGCGTGATTGCTGCAATGCTGCCCATGGGATGGGAGTCTAGGAAGCTCGTTCTCAGGATTTGTATGCAAATCTCGTCCTTAGGATTTGTATGCAAAGCTCGTTCTCAGGATTTGTATGCAAAGCTCGTCCTGACATGACAAGAGTGCAGAGAGTAAACGGCTATATATTTGGCATGGCGGTGTGGTGTGGTGGGTGGGGTTTCGCATTGAATCTCGTGGCCTGCATCATTGCCGCCCATGCGAGTGTAGGAATGTTCGAGTTTGGGGATGTGCGAGTCTGGGAATGTGTGAGTTTGGGAATGTGCGAGGCTGGGAATGTGTGAGTTTGGGAATGTGCGAGTCTGGGAATGTGCGAGTCTGGGAATGTGTTAGTTTGGGAATGTGCGAGTCTGGGAATGTGTGAATTTGGGAATGTGCGAGTCTGGGAATGTGCGAGTCTGGGAATGTGTGAGTTTGTGAATGTTAGAATCTGTGCATGTGTGAGTTTGAGAATGTGAGTTTGAGAGTGTGAGTTTGAGAATGTGAGTTTGTGAATGTGAGTTTGAGAATGTGAGTTTGTGAATGTGAGTTTGTGAATGTGAGTTTGAGAATGTAACTTTGAGAATGTGAGTTTGAGAATGTGAGTTTGAGAATGTGAGTTTGAGAATGTGAGTTTGAGAATGTGAGTTTGAGAATGTGAGCTTGTGAATGTGAGTTTGAGAATGTGAGTTTTAGAATGTGAGTCTGAGAATGTGAGTTTGAGAATGTGAGTTTGTGAATGTGAGTGAGTTTGAGAATGTGAGTTTTAGAATGTGAGTTTGTGAATATGACTTTGAGAATGTGAGTTTGAGAATGTGAGTTTGAGAATGTGAGTTTGAGAATGTTAGTTTGAGAATGTGAGTTTGAGAATGTGAGCTTGTGAATGTGAGTTTGAGAATGTGAGTTTTAGAATGTGAGTTTGAGAATGTGAGTTTGAGAATGTGAGTTTGAGAATGTGAGTTTGAGAATGTGAGTTTGAGAATGTGACTTCAAGAATGTGATTCTGAGAATGTGAGTTTGGAAATGTTCACCTCCCCTTCTCCTCTCCTGCTCCTCCTCCTCTACTCCTCTCCCCCCCACGCTCTTCCTCCTCCGTGCAACCCCCACCAGGTGTTCGGGTCCCTCTGGTACCTGCTGGCGTCTGAGAGAGTGGCCTCATGCTTCCAGATGCTGTGCCAGCAGGTGCGTGAGAGGGCATGCAGGCTAGAGGCTGTGATGTCTTGAAGCCACTCCCTTCCTCTGGTACCTGCTGGCGTCTGAGCGAGTGACAACATGCTTCCAGATTCTGTGCCAGCAGGTGAGGAGAGATCACACAGGTGAGATTCTGAGAGGCTGGGATGGCATGCAGGTGAGTGAGAGGCTATGATGCTGTGAAACCACTCCCTCTGGTACCTGCTGGCGTCTGAGAGAGTTGCCTCATGCTTCCAGATGCTGTGCCAGCAGGTGCGTGAGAGGGCATGCAGGTGAGGGCATGCACTGCATGCTGTGCCAGCAGGTGAGTGGGTGAGTGAGAGGGGGACGGGATGGCATGCAGGTGAGGGGCGGGATGGCATGCAGGTGAGGGGCGGGATGGCATGCAGGTGAGGGGCGGGATGGCATGCAGGTGAGGGGCGGGATGGCATGCTGCCATGCATGCATGCTGTGAAACCGCTCTCTCCAGTACCTGCTGGCGTCTGAGAGAGTGGCCACATGCATGGCATTGCTATGCCGCTTGCCATACCATGCGCTGCCATGCCACACCATACCATGTCATTCTATGCTATACCATGCCATGCCATGCCATACCATGCCAAACAGTGCCACACCAGGATGCACACCGTACCGTACCGTACCATCCCATGCCATGCCATGCCATGCCATGCCATACCATACCATGCCATACCATACCATACCATACCATACCATACCATACCATACCATACCATACCATACCATACCATACCATACCATACCATACCATACCATACCATACCATACCATACCATACCATACCATACTTCCATACTATGCCATATCGTGCTATGCCATATCGTGCTATACCGCGCCATGCCATGGACCAACCCGAATGCTACTTCATGCTGTCTGCAACCCCAGCTTCTTCACCCATCCCAATCCAATCATCACACTTACTTGCTCGTGCCTCCTTTTCTCCCTACTCCCCTTTACCCCCCTTTACCCTTTTCCTCTCCCTTCCTCCCCTCCCCTCACCCCCCAGGTCCCCACGTCTGAGTGCAACCCCAACTTCGCCACGTGCCCCAACGCAAGCGAGACATCAGCTTCCGACGTGAGCCCTGTGTGTTTGCTCCTCCCCCCTTTTTCCCTTCCCCTCTCCCCTCCCTCCCCTCCCCCCCTTCCCCAGGTCCCCACGTCTGAGTGCAACCCTAACTTCGTCACGTGCCCCAATGCAAGCGAGACATCAGCCGCCGACGTGAGCCCGGCGTGGGCAGCATGGGGCGCCAACGCTACTCTCGAGACGACGTGCTTCGAGGGCGATGGCACGTTCAACTTTGGCATCTACCACATGGCGCTGCAACTCATGAAGGATGGGTCTGCGATGGCCAAGATATTCTACGGCCTCTTCTTCGGGATAATGACTCTCAGGTGCGCGTCCCTGTAGATGTGTGAGAGTGGCACTCCATAAAGAGTGTGACTGTGGGGAAGGGGGCATTCAACTGTGGCATCTATAGCATGGCGCTGCAACTCATGAAGGATGGGTCTGCTATGGCCAAGATATTCTACGGTCTCTTCTTCGGCATCATGACTCTAAGGTCCGAGTCCCTCAAGATGTGAGAGTGGCACTCCATAATAAAGAGTGTGATTGTGAGGAAGGGGGCAGGCACGTTCAACTTTGGCATCTACCACATGGCGCTGCAACTCATGAAGGATGGCTCTGCTATGGCCAAGATATTCTGCGGACTCTTCTTTGGAATTATGACACTCAGGTACTGATGTGATTTCAATTCTGCTGCCATTCCTGGGGTGGGGGTTCAGCACGACAGCACCACATGGCACTGCAACTCATGAAGGATGGGTCTGCTGTCGCCAAGATCTTCTACGGTCTCTTCTTCGGACTCATGACTTTTATGGTCTCTTCTACGGTCTCTTCTTCGGCAGGGCGAGCCCGTGTGCATGATGCTGTTCCTCATCCGAGGCACCATCCGCAGCACACACACCATCCGCAGCACACACACCATCCGCAGCACACACACCATCCGCAGCACACACACCATCCGCAGCACACACACCATCCGCAGCACACACACCATCCGCAGCACACACACCATCCGCAGCACACACACCATCCGCAGCACACACACCATCCGCAGCACACACACCATCCGCAGCACACACACCATCCGCAGCACACACACCATCCGCAGCACACACACCATCCGCAGCACACACACCATCCGCAGCACACACACCATCCGCAGCACACACACCATCCGCAGCACACACACCATCCGCAGCACACACACCATCCGCAGCACACACACCATCCGCAGCACACACACCATCCGCAGCACACACACCATCCGCAGCACACACACCATCCGCAGCACACACACCATCCGCAGCACACACACCATCCGCAGCACACACACCATCCGCAGCACACACACCATCCGCAGCACACACACCATCCGCAGCACACACACCATCCGCAGCACACACACCATCCGCAGCACACCACACCATCCGCAGCACACACACCATCCGCAGCACACACACCATCCGCAGCACACACACCATCCGCAGCACACACACCATCCGCAGCACACACACCATCCGCAGCAACACCACACCATCCGCCAGCACACACACCATCCGCAGCACACACACCATCCGCAGCACACACACCATCCGCAGCACACACACCATCCGCAGCACACACACCATCCGCAGCACACACACCATCCGCAGCACACACACCATCCGCAGCACACACACCATCCGCAGCACACACACCATCCGCAGCACACACACCATCCGCAGCACCCACACCATCCGCAGCACACACACCATCCGCAGCACACACACCATCCGCAGCACACACCACCATCCGCAGCACACACACCATCCGCAGCACACACACCATCCGCAGCACACACACCATCCGCAGCACACACACCATCCGCAGCACACACACCATCCGCAGCACACACACCATCCGCAGCACACACACCATCCGCAGCACACACACCATCCGCAGCACACACACCATCCGCAGCACACACACCATCCGCAGCACACACACCATCCGCAGCACACACACCATCCGCAGCACACACACCATCCGCAGCACACACACCATCCGCAGCACACAACACCATCCGCAGCACACACACCATCCGCAGCACACACACCATCCGCAGCACACACACCAATCCGCAGCACACACACCATCCGCAGCACACACACCATCCGCAGCAACACACACCATCCGCAGCACACACACCATCCGCAGCACACACACCATCCGCAGCACACACACCATCCGCAGCACACACACCATCCGCAGCACACACACACATCCGCAGCACACACACCATCCGACCACACCCATCCGCAGCACACACACCATCCGCAGCACACACACCATCCGCAGCACACACACCATCCGCAGCACACACACCATCCGCAGCACACACACCCATCCGCAGCACCACACACCATCCGCAGCACACACACCATCCGCAAGCACACACACCATCCGCAGCACACACACCATCCGCAGCACACACACCATCCGCAGCACACACACCATCCCAGCCACACAACCATCCGCAGCACACACACCATCCGCAGCACACACACCATCCGCAGCACACACACCATCCGCAGCACACACACCATCCGCAGCACACACACCATCCGCAGCACACACACCATCCGCAGCACACACACCCATCCGCAGCACACACACCATCCGCAGCACACAGAAACCATCCGCAGCACACACACCATCCGCAGTCAACACCACCATCCGCAGCACACACACATCATCCGCAGCACACACACCATCCGCAGCACCACACCATCCGCAGCACACACACATCCGCAGCAACACACATACCATCCGCAGCACACACACCATCCGCAGCCCACAACACACCATCCGCAGCACACACACCATCCGCAGCACACACACCATCCGCAGCACACACACCATCCGCAGCACACACACCATCCGCAGCCACACCACACCATCCGCCAGCACACACACCATCCGCAGCACACACACCATCCGCAGCACACCACCATCCGCAGCACACACACCATCCGCAGCACACACACCATCCGCAGCACACACACCATCCGCAGCACACACACCCATCCGCAGCACACACACCATCCGCAGCACACACACCATCCGCAGCACACACACCATCCGCAGCACACACACCATCCGCAGCACACACACCATCCGCAGCACACAACACCATCCGCAGCACACACACCATCCGCAGCACACACCATCCGCACCACACACCATCCGCAGCACACACACCCATCCGCAGCACACACACCATCCGCAGCACACACACCATCCGCAGCACACACACCCCATCCGCAGCACCACACACCATCCGCAGCACACACACCATCCGCAGCACACACACCATCCGCAGCACACACACCATCCGCAGCACACACACCATCCGCAGCACACCACCCTCCGCAGCACACACACCATCCGCAGCACACCACACCATCCGCAGCACACACAGCCATCCGCAGCACACACACCATCCGCAGCACACACACCATCCGCAGCACACACACCATCCGCAGGCACACACACCATCCGCAGCACACACACCATCGCAGCACACACACCATCCGCAGCACACACACCATCCGCAGCACACACACCATCCGCAGCACACACACCATCCGCAGCACACACACCATCCGCAGCACACACACCATCCGCAGCAACACACACCATCCGCAGCACACACCACCATCCGCAGCACACACACCATCCGCAGCACACACACCATCCGCAGCACACACACCATCCGCAGCACACACACCATTCCGCAGCACACACACCATCCGCAGCACACACACCATCCGCAGCACACACACCATCCGCAGCACACACACCATCCGCAGCAAACACCATCCGCAGCACACACACCATCCGCAGCACACCACACCATCCGCGCAGCACACACACCATCCGCAGCACCACAGAATACCCTCCGCAGCACACACACCATCCGCAGCACACACACCAATCCGCAGCACACACACCATCCGCAGCACACACGCCATCCGCAGCACACACGCCATCCGCAGCACACACAGCCATCCCGCAGCACACAACACCATCCGCAGCACACACACCATCCGCAGCACACACACAATCCGCAGCACACACAACCATCCGCAGCACACACACCATCGCAGCCACACACACCATCCGCAGCACACACACCATCCGCAGCACACACACCATCCGCAGCACACACACCATCCGCAGCACACACACCATCCGCAGCACACACACCATCCGCAGCACACACACCATCCGCAGCACACACACCATCCGCAGCACACACACCATCCGCAGCACACACACCATCCGCAGCACACACACCATCCGCAGCACACACACCATCCGCCAGCACACACACCATCCGCAGCACACACACCATCCGCAGCACACACACCATCCGCAGCACACACGCATCCGCAAGCACACACGCCATACCGCCAGCAACAGCCATCCGCAGCACACACGCCATCCGCAGCACACACGCCATCGCAGCACACACACCATCCGCAGCACACACACCATCCGCAGCACACACACCATCGCAGCACACACACCATCCGCAGCACACACACCATCCGCAGCACACACACCATCCGCAGCCACAACATCCGCAGCCATCCGCAGCACACACACCATCCGCAGCACACACACCATCCGCAGCACACACACCATCCGCAGCACACACACCATCCGCAGCACACACACCATCCGCAGCACACACACCATCCGCAGCACACACACCATCCGCAGCACACACACCATCCGCAGCACACACACCATCCGCAGCACACACACCATCCGCAGCACACACACCATCCGCAGCACACACACCATCCGCAGCACACACACCATCCGCAGCACACACACCATCCGCAGCACACACACCATCCGCAGCACACACACCATCCGCAGCACACACACCATCCGCAGCACACACACCATCCGCAGCACACACACCATCCGCAGCACACACACCATCCGCAGCACACACACCATCCGCAGCACACACACCATCCGCAGCACACACACCATCCGCAGCACACACACCATCCGCAGCACACACACCATCCGCAGCACACACACCATCCGCAGCACACACACCATCCGCAGCACACACACACCATCCGCAGCACACACACCATCCGCAGCACACCACACCATCCGCAGCACACACACCATCCGCAGCACACACACCATCCGCAGCACACACACCATCCGCAGCACACACACCATCCGCAGCACACACACATCCGCAGCACACACACCATCGCAGCACACACACCATCCGCAGCACACACACCATACGCAGCAC